GTCTCTGAATGTCCTTGAGTGGCCCAGCCAGAGCCCGGACTTGAACCCGATCGAACATCTCTGGAGAGACCTGAAAATAGCTGTGCAGCGACGCTCCCCATCCAACCTGACAGAGCTTGAGAGGATCTGCAGAGAAGAATGGGAGAAACTCCCCAAATATAGGTGTGCCAAGTTTGTAGCGTCATACCCAAGAATACTCAAGGCTGTAATTGCTGCCAAAGGTGCTTCAACAAAGTACTGAGTAAAGGGTCTGAATACTTATGTAAATGTGATATTTCTGTTTTTTATTTTTAATCCACTTGCAAAAATTTCTAAAAACCTGTTTTTGCTTTGTCATTATGGGGTATTGTGTGTAGATGGATGAGGAAATGTTTTATTTAATCAATTTTAGAATAAGGCTGTAACGTAACAAAATGTGAAAAAAGTAAAGGGGTCTGAATACTTTCCGAATGCACTGTATATTGTCACAGATATGCAAATATGAAGGAGGTTATGACATTGATTTCAATGATGTGATCCATGTCGGTCAGAGAGCTGTGATTGACGAACTGTAAAGTGGACCAAATAACTCCCCTTTGTCAGGATTATTGTGTCAAATTGTTTAATTTGATCCTTTTTAATACTGACAAAGTTCTACAAAGTGTTTTTTCATTGAGAAATCAGTCAAACTCGATAAAGAGTGAAGAGGTTGATGGTCATGAATAATTGTTATCACAAAAAGAATGAAACCATGTATAACTAAGGCACTGAGTTATTGGTCCCACTCAAAATGAACAACTTATGAAGGCTTTATTAGAACTACATCCTGTATATGATTCACAAAATAAATTATAACTACATGAAGGATCCTTACATCCGATACATAGCCAAATTTGGCATAACCCTTTTGCTACACGTAATATATTCTTAATTATTTATGATTTATGAAGCATCTTATATAGGCATTATAAAGGGTTTATGAAGGCTCCATTATTAAACCATAGTGGGACTGAGGTATTGATAGTGGCCAACACTATAGCTAGTCCTCTGGCTACATTTTATCCAATATAAGATACTTTTCACCTCCATGTAATAGCACAAACCTCTTATTTGGAATCATCAAGAGCTCATTATCATTTCCAGCACCTAAAAGAAAGACCATAGTATTTATTTATTAGTATTACATTATTTAGGCTTCCTATTGAGACCATGGTCTATTTTCAAAGGGAGACCTGCATGGCCTGCATGGCCCCAGAGTCTGCAACACCACTAAGCAAGGGTCACACCACCAAGCAAGCGGCACCATGAAGACGAAGGAGCTCTCCAAACAGGTCAGGGACAAAGTTGTGGAGAAGTACAGATCAGGGTTGGGTTATAAAAACATATCAGAAACTTTGAACATCCCACGGAGCACCATTAAATCCATTATTTTAAAATGGAAAGAATATGGCACCACAACAAACCTGCCAAGAGAGGGCAGCCCACCAAAACTCACGGACCAGGCAAGGAGGGCATTAATCAGAGAGGCAACAAAGAGACCAAAGATAACCCTGAAGGAGCTGCAAAGCTCCACAGTGGAGATTGGAGTATCTGTCCATAGGACCACTTTAAGCGGTACACTCCACAGAGCTGGGCTTTACTGAAGAGTGGCCAGAAAAAAGCCATTGCTTGAAGAAAAAAATAAGCAAACACGTTTGGTGTTCGCCAAAAGGCATGTGGGAGACTCCCCAAACATATGGAAGAAGGTACTCTGGTCAGATGAGACTAAAATTGAGCTTTTTGGCCATCAAGGAAAACGCTATGTATGGCACAAACCCAACACCTCTCATCACCCCGAGAACACCATCCCCACAGCATCATGCTGTGGGGATGTATTTCATCGGCAGGGACTGGGAAACTGGTCAGAATTGAAGGAATGATGGATGGCACTAAATACAGGGAAATTCTTGAGGGAAACCTGTTTCAGACTTCCAGAGATTTGAGATTGGGACGGAGGTTCACCTTCCAGCAGGACAATGACTCTAAGCATACTGCTAAAGCAACACTTGAGTGGTTTAAGGGGAAACATTTAAATGTCTTTGCCCAGACCTCAATCCAATTGAGAATCTGTGGTATGACTTAAAGATTGCTGTACACCAGCGGAACCCATCCAACTTGAAGGAGCTGGAACAGTTTTGCCTTGAAGAATGGGCAAAATCCCAGTGGCTAGATGTGCCAAGCTTATAGAGAAATACCCCAAGAGACTTGCAGCTGTAATTGCTGCAAAGGGTGGCTCTACAAGGTATTGCCTTTGGAGGGGTAAATAGTAATGCACGCTCAAGTTCTGTTTTTTTTGTCTTATTTCTTGTTTGTTTGACAAAACATATTTTGCATCTTCAAAGTGGTAGGCATGTTGTGTAAATCAAATTATACAAATCCCCAAAAAAATCTATTTTAAATCCAGTTTGTAAGGCAACAAAATAGGAAAAATGCCAAGGGGGTGAATACTTTCGCAAGCCACTGTAGGGGCGCATAGGCTGCATTTACACAGACAGACCAATTATTTTCTTTTTTTTCACTAATTGGTCTTTTGACCAATCAGATCAGCTCTGAAAAAGGGCTGATGTGAAAAGATCTGATGTGATTGGTCAAAAGACCAATTTGTGGGAAGAAATATCAGAATTGGGCTGCCTACCATATATGGATGTGTTTAGACAGGCAGCCCAATACCGATCTTTGTTTCACACTAATTGGTCTTTTGACCAATCAAATCAGCCCTGAAAAAGATCTGATGTGATTGGTCAAAAGACCAAATAGTGGAAAAAATATCAGAATAGTCTAAACGCAGCCTAAGTGGAATTGAAAAAGTTACAGTGTGGTGTTAACAAATCAAATGTAAATACTGAACATAATATACAATAGGTGTGTGACAAATAATGGAGGAGATGCATAGATTACTATGCAACCAAACTGATACAGATGCAGGGAGAGAGAGCGCAGCCAGCTGTATCATTCCAAAAGAGCTGAGCCACCCAAAGTCTTTCTTCTCATTCCTTCCTCGTTCCCAGGGGCGGTGTGTTCATTAGGGCGATATGGGCGACGCACTGCCAAACGGGAAAAGGGATTTTTTTTCTAATCAATTATATCACGGCAACAGTAGTTATCAGTGTTCTAATCTAGACGTCTGATCTGCCACTAAATGTCCAATCAGGCTAAAGTCGTGCTTCAAATGGCCCCGCCCCTTTTGGGGCGATTTCAGTCAGGTTGAAAATCGCCCCAGAAGTCTCTCATAGACTCTCATGTAAAATCTTTTTTTTTCAAATATCAGAGCTTTCAATACAATCTCTATGGGTTCCGGGAGGGCTTGCACTTACGCGCTTTCGTCATACGTAACATAACCATGAACGTAACTAAGAAAAGAGCGGGTAGCAGCGTCAATCAATTCACGTACTACTGTCAAGATGGCTAGCGTTCAGTGCAACTCGATTGTCTCTTTGAAAGAAGTTCCTTTTTGTCGGCGAACAAATCAAGATAAATTGGCAACGAAACAATTAGGACCTCCCAGACCAAATTTAATAATTCAACAGGTTTCTACTAAAGGCGGAAAGTCCTACACCCGAGGATTTTCCAAAAATTGGTACGAACGAAAAACCTGGCTAGCAGGCTGCGATGTAGCTAATGCAGTCTTCTGCTACCCCTGCTTACTCTTTCACCCTGAAGGCGGCACGGCAGACAGCACCGCTTGGACAGCGACTGGTGTAACGGACATGCACCATCTTTCAGAAAAGATTAAGAAACATGAGCTGTCAAAGACCCACATGGATAGCTGTTTGAGATTGTCTGCTTTGGGGAGAGTGAACATTGCCACTCAACTGGATGAGGGATACAGGCTAGCTGTCCGCCGCCACAACGATGAGGTTAGCAAGAACCGCCACATCCTCAGCCGGCTAATCCAGTGTGTGAAGTTTTGCGGAGTGTTTGAGTTAGCTTTGCGAGGCAAAGATGAAACTGAGGGCTCCACCAACCCTGGTATTTTTCTTGGACTTGTCAACTTTGTGGCACAATTAGATGAGGTGTTTTATGGAAATGCATATTGTTTATGCAGTGTTGAGGAATGTGAAAGAACACCCTTGATTATTTTTACTGTGATAACTTATTTTGCTTTTGTAAGCCAACACTTTTGAGATCAGTCAATAAATGGTTCTGGTATTGACTTATATGCTGCCCCTGTCTTCATGTTGTTGCTGGACATATCTTTTTTAAAATGTGTGTAGGTCACCTAAATCATCAGAAAAATTGCCCCCCCTGAGAATTTTTTCAGGAGCCGCCACTGCTCGTTCCCTGCCTGCTCCGGTATCTTCTCACCTCTGTGCCCTGGGCAATCAGGAGGAAAGATGGCCCCATTTGGGGCCTGCTGATTGGTTCCCACCCAGTACCTGCGCTTTAGCTCAAAAGATGCCAGAACACCTTTTGTATTTGACTCCCTCGTATACTAAACTAATTGGGATCCTGCAGTCATTGTGAAAGATGGGATTGGTAGGAGCAATAGGTTTTTCTTTAGTATTGGTATCTCTAACACAGGTAAATATATCTTTTTTTTATTGAAATATACTTTTTGTGTGCAAACCTTTATATTTATATTATATTGTTTCGTCAAATGAATTTTGGAGTTTAATTCACATATTTTGGCTGTTTTTCCAGATATCATACACAAAAGCACAAGGTAAGTCTCCAGTTATATAATTTGTTTATGGACTCTGAATATAGGGACGATGTTGATGTCAAGCAGTCAATACTGTTTATTTATTCATTGTTTTATATGATTCTGTGTTCAAATGTTGAAACTTCAGAAAGAGTGTAACTGAAAAATGACACAATTTGGGGGAGATGAACTTGAAAACGTATTGTCATCCCCTCAGGCAATGATGCTTGATAGAGTATTGAGATGTCTACTGATTTACTCGAATTCTAGTAGGCTATTCTCTCCTAGATCGATTTTTTCAATTGAATTTTACTCAAACTTCTCTCTCTCACTTTCAGTATGCAATATTACATCAATAACATCTCCAACTGCGTCAGCGCTTCTGGTGAAATGGAACAAATACATTGGAGCAACAAATTATTTTTTGGACTTTCGGGTAATAAATGCGACAGATATAGCACCTGTCGTGGTAACGCTACCAGCTACCAGTACGGAGAAAGTGGTCCAGGGCCTGAGACCTGGAACCTTGTATAGTGTTACGGTCAAAGTGTTCCAGTTCTACTATGTTATGTGCTTGGATACACAAGTGGCCAAAACAGGTAAGTATCATTCTCCACCGGAAAGCAAAGTTGTGATAAACATGAATTTTAACCAGTAAACTCAAATATCTAGTCTTAAAAATGGGTGCTATTTATCAAACCTAGTCTTATTTTCCAAATAAATTTTTTGCAGATTTACGCATGGACTTTTACACATGGACTGGTCTACTGAACAATATTCTATAAATGCTAATAATAGCTTACATTGCCCCCTCTCGTTACTATTTTAGTTCCCGACACGTCTCAGATAACCTCCTCGAGGGCATTATCAAGTACTTCAATCCAAATAGAATGGGCGCGCGTGTACCCCGCCGACCGTTATCACCTGTTGATGGAATCAAAGTCCAGCGGAGAGAGACACAATCTGACCTTCACCAACGTGAGCGCTGTGGTCCAAAACCTGCAGCCATCAACCGTCTACGACTGTTACATCTACACCGCAAACCAAGCTGGTCTTGGAGCGAGAAGCAGAGTGAGGACCATTTCTACCTGTGAGTGACCTATTTCACCTCGATTAACATTAGGCTACATTCAGGTTGTGGGTAAACTGGTAGTAAATGCGAGTTTTAAAGAATTTTAAAAGGCAGGGTATTCTAGCTTAAATGTTTAACTTTTGACTTTTAGCTTTATACTTCAGGCATTCAGCCTTCAACTAGCCTACACTCTAAAAAGAAAAGGTTCCTGGAGTATCCTTTAGGGGTTCTTCAAATGAAACAGTGGGGGAACCCCTTTAAGTTCTTCCAAGTTCTTCAAATAACCTCTTTTAATGGATCCTCGAAGAACCTTTTGGGGTTAATTTTTTAACTACCCCCATTCCCCTATTATTAATAATAATACACATAACAATAACAACAATAACACAATATTTTAGTTCTCAGTGTTTATTATGATTTTAGTGGCAAAGCGGAATAAAAAATCAAAATATGAGGTAAACTCCCAGCAGAGCCCCAAGTCCAATGGGTATATCCTCTCGCGTGTTGATATTCTCTGTATCCATAGCCAGAATGATTTTGCAGTGCATGATGATTGAACAGGTTTCCTGTTATATTCATCAGAGGTGTAGGGAGGGTGAAGTCTGAATTCAAGAAATAGTAATTATACAGATGATTAATAAAACATGCACACAACAGAATTCATATCTTGTTTTTTGAGGTAAATGTGAATGAAAAAAAAAACTGTTTTGATAATGGTTTTCATACACATACCTTGTCCATAATGTAGAGGCCTATGGGACATTAATTGAAGAGGTAAGGAAGGAGGATAGTAAATGTGATCTACATAACATACCATGTAGTCCCATGTACCTCAGTTGGTAGAGCATGGTGTTTGCAACGCCAGGGTTGTGGGTTCGATTCCCACGGGGGACCAGTATGAAAATGTAAGCACTCACTAACTGTAAGTCTCTCTGGATAAGAGCGTCTGCTAAATGACAAAAAATGTAAAATACCAATACCTTTGTATGCCTCCTCGTCTGTATACCTGCAGACACAGACACATAAGGGAGCAGTTCAGTCATCTGCACCCAATACAGCTAGCCTGCAACATATTCTTATAGCCTACACATTCTTACCTCTTTGTTGATTAATATCCATTGAATCATGTCCATTTTCTGTTTTAGAAAGATTTGCACAAATATGAAAAGATAGATGGTATCATCATAAAACAATATCAATTTAGATCATACAAGGGACAAACCTTACCTTAAATTGAGGAGATCTTTACATTTTTCAGTTAAGTGCCTGCACCTGCTGTCCTTTAAAATCAAAATGTTTCAGTTGGGCAGTTAGGTTGCTGCAATAACCCCCACCAACTAAGGAGGTTCCTTGATAAACCCCACCTCCTATGGGGTTCTTGGAAGAACCTTTTGGGGGCCATTTTCAGCGCCAAGAACCCTAAGGTTCTTCAACTAACTTTGAGGATCTTAGAAGAACCCTTGTTGAACCTCTAATTTGTAGAGTGTACAACAGGTGAGCTCTAGTCAGTGGTCCGTTATAGGCCTACATGACCGTTCATTTGTCCCTCCCTAGTGATCCAACCGCCAAAGGGAGTTACAGCCAAGCAGACTGGAAAGAGTACGGCGCGCCTGTTCTGGGAACCAGTGGAAAAGGTTATTCTTTACCAGGTGACCGTTACCTACCTGGATGAACCGGACCACCCGCTGTTCAAGACAAAAGTGTCACAAAACCAACTGGACATACAGGATATCCTGCCATGTTCCTCTTATCAGATATCAGTGGCTTCTGTCAACACCTTACTGGAGCCAGGAGAGCCCGCTGAATACACATACACTACAAACAGTGAGTAAGCTTTTATAATTAATTACTGTATGATAAACTAGGTATTTTCAGACCTACTGTATATATATATTTTTTAATGTAATAGCAAACATTTCCTCAAAGTTTTCTCCTTTGCACTGAACTGATAGCTAATAAATCAACATGTAATTTTCAAGTAGGCAAGCACTGAATGAACCTCACATTCACATGAACCAAATCCAGTACTTATGCAAGTATTATGTCATTTTCAGCATTAAGTGCTGTGATGTCCATATCAGTGGACTACAGCTGTACCAATGGCTCAGCCATGGTGTCCTGGGCCCAAGTGTCCGGAGCAGACTCGTACAGAGCAGCAGCTACCGGCAGCGGCAGGACTGTCCTGTCCTGCACCTCTCAGGGCACAGAGTGCCAGATCACAGGGGTGGGCTGCGGAGAGGACTACCTGGTGCAGGTCACCGCTGTGTCCAAGAGCTGTCAGAGCAAAGTAAACACCACCTCACACTTTGTCACAGGTAAGAACACTGAGACCAAGGAGGTATACTTTTGGACAGGTGAGACAGTGAGACACTTTTGACATATGTAGGACACCTGGAGACAGGTGAGACACAGTGACACAGGTGGGACACTGACTGAGAAAAGGGACACACCTGAAGAGAGGTGAGGCACTTTACACAGGTAAGATAGACAGGTAAAAATGTAAAAACAAGCTAATTCTTGGAACCACAATAAGACAGAGGACAGAGTGGAGGGCAAAGATTCTAGAAGGCTGAACGAATGGCACTCTTACACTTCTGACCCTTTAATCCCTCCAATCTGATGTACAGCCATGCTCCCCCCTACTGTAGGCTACAGCTTAACCGACATCCTATCTCTCACACACCCTCCTGAGGCTGCATTGTGTACCAGGGCTTAGCTGCTGGAGATCAAGGGCAACAAACAAGTGCTGTTGTTCACAGGATGTACAATACACCCACTGTACAAGTGATGTGTCCAACAAAGTGCTTCACCTAAATACACTTCTTACATCAGATTTGACACATATTACAGTTCACATAAGATGACAATATAATGCAAAGCTGTAAACAGCCTTTCTTTTGCTGTTTTGGTTTAGGATAATATCGGAGGTCATATAGCTGGTCATTAGGGAATAGTTGTTTACCTTCCTGCTTTTCCATGGTCCTCTGTCTGTTTGTTTCTTATTCACATAGACACAGACCACACCCACACATTACTGCATAGGCATCATCCTTGAGAACTAGGTCCTCTATTGAGCTGCAAAGTCACGTTATATTGTATTCTGTAGCCTATTTAGAGAAAACAGTCCCTTTGTAGAACTCTATACCCCAATGGTGTGCTGTAATCGTAAACATCAGGGTTTTGATGTATGACCCCATTTTCTCTCTGTTCTCCCTTTCTTCACTCTCACTCTCACTCTTTCTCTCGCGCTCTCATATTTCTCTCTTTCCCTCCCTCCCTCCTCCCTCTCTCTCCCTCTCAGTCACCTGTCCTCCCAAGAATCTCAAACTGTACCGTGAGTGTTCCAGCAACGTGATCATCTTCTCCTGGGATGCCACCAACAACACGGCCCACTACAGGGCCACGGCCGTGGACTCAGAGGGAAAACACATGTACTGTATGACCTCAGACACTTCATGTTTCTTCACCAACACTATGTGTGGCCGTCGCTACACCTTCACTGTCTACTCTGTCAGTAGCGGGTGCAACAGCCAGGCCAGCCCACCGGTAACAGTCCACACCGGTACGACCACAGACACACTCACAGGCTGCTTCTGAAATGGCACCTTATTCCCTATATAGTATGTTTTACATATTAGACATTTAGCAGACACTCTTATCCAGAGCGACTTACAGGTGGTGCATTCATCTTAAGATACTGTAGCTAGATTAGACAACCACAAGTAGAACTTTTGACAAGGGCCCATGGCTTTTTCATTATGAGAATATGGTAGACCATAGTGGTCAGCTGTTTGTTCACCTGCACACGCCCGCAATTGCTAATAACCCATCTGCAACTGCCCGACTATATGTGATAAAATGAAAATCTGAGGCCTGCACCCGACCCTAACCCACTAATATAGAAAACGCACTGTAAGCTACAGTCAAAGACAGAGGAATGATTTTTTGACAGGGGGTTGCGGATGGGATTTTTTTAAATGCCTGATTTAGATAGGTTTCTGCTTATAATTTCCGACATTTTGGTAGGCTATTTGTTAGTCAACTTGTTTATAATTATATACATGCAGCTTCTCTTCTGTCATTATACAGTATGTTACCCTATAAGACTAAATAAACCCTTGCTCACCAGAATAATGTCATAAATCGATAGAATGAATGCTTCAATCTAGTTGACATCGGTAAAGTTCTCTCTGTCATCTCTGACTCTTTCGTGGAGTAAATACGTTTAGGGACTGGGGAGAAAATGCAATAACTCAACAACAAAAAATGGGAACGATTTTCTGTGCAACATTTCCAAATGACATGTTTCTGATAAGATTTCTGTTCGGCTTGGATGCATATTTTATGTGGTTGAAATACTATCATATTTTATGGTGCTGATAGATAGCACCTCTACAGATGGTATCTAACTGCACATTCGCATTCTCTCAAGATGCTGAAAGAAATAAATCATATTTCTCCATTCAAGATTTAGCCTACATTTGGTTTGTCATTTTACTGCAAGAAATGCTTAATTCTGCAGGAGTAAATATTAAGGCTATGTGAGAGGTCATAGACCTACAGTCAGTGTTCAGATTTCGGTTTCAATTGAACCCTTCTGAACAGTAGGCTACAGTTCCCTTGACGTTCCATAGGCCTGTTTGAAGTCCCCGCCTTTTGACTGTTGAATTTGTATAGAGCCTCACAATCATCACACATAACATATCATCCAATTTTACCACTTCACCAAATCTTTCCCGAAAATGTCTTCTTTATTTTCAACTCTCCATTTCGCAGCTTTTCTCTTATTGAATTAAACGCCGACATTGTCCTTTTTGACTCCGTGAATCGATGTAACCTTGTTATACCCATTCCCAAAAGCATTTGGCGTGTAGGTTACTTGGCGCGCGTACAATTAGGCCCTGATGCTTAGGCTTACGCACTAATATTAGATAGCTAAAAATAATGAAAGAAAAACAGCAATGTAGCCTATAGATATAAATTGCACAAGATAAGATATTGTTTTCTCTTTATTCAATCCACCCGCCACCAACTCTCCCTTCATCCACACAATATTTCATGACCCCTAAACCTGCCCAACCCGCGGTTATAACCGCGGGGACTGCGAGTTATGAGTCAACTAGTAGACTACACTCATATTCTGGATGATTAGGATGACAACTGGCGCTGTGTGGCACCCTCTAGTCTAGCGTCTGATCTTGACGTTCTAAAGAGAGGACCAGTAGGTGTCAGGCTTTAGCTCCAGTCTTAGCACCCTGACTATCCATGACTTGATTGGACTGCACTTTAAAAAAGCTAGAAACCCCCCCCCATCTGATCTATAAGCATAATATAATTAGCATAATAAAGAAACAAGGTTTTTGATAACAATTTAGTGTACACGCTTAGAAAAAAGGGTTCTTCACTGGCCCATAGGAGAACCCTTTTTGGTTTCAGGTAAAACCATTTTTGGTTCCAGGTAGAACCATTTTGGGTTCCATGAAGAACCCTCTGTGGAAAGCGTTCTACATGGAACCCAAAAGGGTTCTACCTGGAATCAACAAGGGTTCTTCAAAGGGTTCTCCTATGGGGACAGCCGAAGAACCCTTTTAGATTGTAGATTGCACCTTTTTTTCTAAGAATGTAATTTACAAAACTACAATGCTCATGAAATAATAATAACTTGAGTGGAAAGACTAACAGCAACTCTTTATCATCCCTCTCCAGCCCCCTGTATGCCCCAGAACATGTTATCCTCAGCCAACTGTCAGTCTGCAGTCCTGACCAGCACATGGGACCGTGCTGAGGGGGCTCTGTCCTACATGGTTGAGGCATGGGGAAACAACGGTGAAAGCAACCGCTACAACTGCAGCTCCTTCACCAACAGCTGTTCCATACCCTTGGTGCAATGTGGGGAGAGTTTAACCATGTATATCACAGCCTTCGATGACAACTGCCCCAGCGACAGGACTCTGGGACAGGTGGCCGAGACAGGTGAGACGTGGTCAACTCTTCACTGCCAGTATATCACATACATTACATCCACCTGATTCTTCGAGCCGTTACCCTCCACTCAGTACATTAGCTATATTGATGTAACTTTCATGCACAGTTTTTACAACTGGCTCAATAACCTTAAATTTAATTCAGGGGGAATAGCCATTAAGCAGTGTATATTGTTCAACTGGGGCATTCACTACCCTAGTAACTGACTAGCTATAGTACCAAACCACACACAGACAGTCTGAAACCAACACACACTCAACTGAATGTTCCCTCCCCGCTGCAGTTCCCTGCGTTCCTCATAACGTTTCAGCGGCGATGTACTGTGGATCCGACTCCATCACTCTGAACTGGCAGGTTTCCTACGGCTCTCTGTTCTACATCGCCACGGCGATGGATGACGCTGGCGTGGTTCACACCTGTAACTCCATGGATACCATGTGTCAGATTAAAGGCCTGCGCTGCAGCTCCACCTACACCGCCTTCGTTACCGCAATCAACCTCAAGTGCAACAGCTCCAACAGTGAGATAGTCACCATAGAGACAGGTATGTTACTGTCCATCAATCAATCAGATATATTTATTAAGCCCTTTTTACATCAGCAGTTGTCACAAAGTGCGTTTACTGCACTGCCCTCTCCAGTTAGGGGACAGGCAGGCTGGTGATGAGTTCTAAATAGTTTTATAATAATAATAGTAATAATAATAATGATAGTTTTATTACACAGGAAGTAGTAGTAGTAGTAGTAGTCTTGTTATTCTGTGCCTTTTGAGCAAGTCCTACTATACAGCTCAATAGGTACATGATTTCCAAACTGTTATTTGCCATGTTTTATACAAGTGTTGAGTGTCTCTCACATCACATGATCCCCTCCCCCTCCAGCCCCCTGCCTTCCGGACCACATCGAGGCCTTCCTGGACTGTGCAGTGAACCACGCTCTGATTGTGTGGCAGGGCCATCACAGTATACTCTCCTACACAGCCACCATTGAGGACACGGAGGGAGGCCTGCTCAGCTGCAGCACCACGGGAAACAACTGCAAGGTCCCCAGCCTGAAGTGTGGCCAGCTCTACTCTGTCTCCGTCATGCACCACGACGGCATCTGCCCCAGCATGCCCTCCCAGGCCATCACCATGGAGTCAGGTAGGAACCTCCACCATTAACAGTAAACACAATACTAGCCCTAATTTTCAAATTTGGCAACCGCCAAATCCTTAATCCAACAACTAGAGTCAGGTAGGGCATCTCTATGACTTATATGCAACTTACTCAACTTAACACAAATTGATTCAATCCTACTCAGTTTCGACTTCAGTCCCAAACTTAACCCCACTCCACAGTTATATGACCCCTAGATTTATACAGTAGTATACTAAAATAGAAGTGTATCAGGGTTATGATACACTTCTATTTTAGTATACTACTGTACATACTGCATGTCTTTGGTCAAACTTACCTCCTCTCTTCTCCATCACTCTCGCTCTCTCGCTCCAGTCCCATGCGGGCCTGCCAATGTACAAACTGAGATTGATTGTGGGTCTGGAACGCTGACGGTGAGCTGGGACACGTCGCTGCATGTGGAAGGTTACACCACCATCATCTACCACGACAACAGAGAGCAGGTGACCTGTAACTCCACGGCAACCAGCTGTAGCGTGGACACACTGGACTGTGGCGAGGAGTATGTTGTGGAGGTTTTGTCTGTTAACGGATCCTGCCTCTCTATGCCCAGCCAGGCCATGGTCGTCAGGGAAGGTGAGACAGGATACAACTAGTTTGTGAAATTCAGTAGACATAACAATGGAACAAAAACGCGTTATATAAAGTCTCTTTCCAATATTGCTCAACTCAAATTCAAGGATGTTAGAACTTTTATAACTCATCAGTTACTCTACATAAACTGTAAAAATCTATTTTTAAAGCAATATGTTCTAATTTTGTCCTCATCTTCCTCCCCTCTCAGTGCCCTGTGTGCCCACTAACGTGACAGCGAAGCATACCTGTGGAGAGAGCTCTGTAGCCGTCACCTGGAATGCCAGCCGTGGGGCCAAGACCTACACTGCCATCGCCATGGGCAACAACGGCCACCGTACGGAGTGCACGTCCAACGACACCACCTGTAGTCTGGAGGATCTGCTGTGTGGTCAGACGTACAGCCTCAGCGTGATGGCTGTGGACGACGCCTGCTCCAGCATGGAGAGCAGTATGGTCACCATACAGACAGGTAAGGACAGAGTAATACCCAGGGAGGTTGATGTGATATGTTTCTGGGTTAAGCAATCAATCAATCAAGCAACCTGCTTGATTGGTTAAGTCAGGAAAAGCCATGAACATTATTATTTTTGTAAACTGCATTAATGTGCGTTTGGAGTCATATTCTCAACAAAACCATGTTGACAGATATACTAGTATGTGGACACCCCAGATACACAGAAGTATGTGGACACAACTTTAAATTAGTGGATTCGGCTATTTCAACCACACCCGTTGCTGGCAGGTGTATAAAATGAGAACACAGCCATGCAATCTCCATAGACAAACATTGGCAGTATAATGGCCCGTACTGAAGAGCTCAGTGACTTTCAACGTAGCACCGTCATAGGATGCCACCTTTCCAACAAGTCAGTTTGTCAAATTTCTGTCCTGCTAGAGCTGCCGTGGTCAACTGTAAGTGCTGTTCCTGTGAAGTGGAAATGTCTAGGAGCAACAACTGCTCAGCCGAACGTGGTAGGCCACACAAGCTCACAGAACGGGACTGCCGAGTGCTGAAACGCATAGCTCGTAAAAATTCTGTCCTCAGTTGCAACACTCACTACCGAGTTCCAAACTGCCTCCGGAAGCAACGTCAGCACAATAACTATTCATTGGGAGCTTCATGAAATGGGTTTCCATGGCTGAGCAGCTGCACACAAGCCTAAGATCACCATGCGCAATGCCAAGATTTGGCTGGAGTTGTGTAAAGCTCGCCACCATTGGACTCTGGAGCAGTGGAAACGCGTTCTCTGGAGTGATGAATCACACTTCACCATCTGGCAGTCCGACGGAGAATCTGGGTTTGATGAATGCCAGGAGAACGCTACCTGCCCAAATGCATAGTGCCAACTGTAAAGTTTGGTGGAGGAGGAATAATGGTCTGGGGCTGTTTTTCATGGTTCAGGTCCATTAGTTCCAGGAAAGGGAAGTCTTAACGCTACAGCATACAATGACATTCTGGTCTGCACAGATCCCTGACCTCAACCCCATCAAACACCTTTGGGATGAATTGGAACGCCGACTGCGAGCCAGGCCTAATCGCCCAACATCAGTGCCCGACCTCACTAATACTCTTGTGGCTGAATGGAAGGAAGCAAGTCCCTGCAGCAATGTTCCAACATCTAGTGGAAAGCCTTCCCAGAAGAGTGGAGGCTGTTATAGCAGCAAAGGGGGTACCAACTCCATATTAATGCCCATGATTTTGGAATGAGATGTTCGACCAGAAGGTGTCCACATACCTTTGGCCATGTAGTGTATTTTTGGAGTGGTGTATCTCAAAGCATAAGGCTAACTACATTACACAGAGCCATAAACAATCCAAGTCAGACCATAACCCTGTTCTCTCCTTCTCCCCTCCTGCAGTGCCTTGCCCTCCCACCCACGTCTCCAGCTGGGTGGACTGTGGCAGTAACACAGCCTCCCTCTCCTGGGATGCCAGCCCCAACGCCATCTCCTACTCTGGCATTGCGGTGGGCATGGATGGGCACAGTGTGAGCTGTGGCCCTGCCTTCCCAGGGTGCCAGATGGCTGGGCTGCACTGTGGTCAGGAGTATGTCTTCACTGTGTCTGCCTCCGACGGTAGCTGTGAGAGCCCCGAGAGTGACACGTTCACACAGGAGACAGGTGAGAGAAACAGAGACAGCATCTTCTTCTTCTGTTCAATTAGAGATAATATTACAGATAATATTTTCTTCCTCTACTATCTACTACTATAACTACTACTACTATTACTACTACTAATTCTACAGAATCTTTCAACTTCCTCTCACATTCCTCTTTGCTACAGTACTAAACATTCAAAAATGATTTTCTATTCCATTTGATCTAAATTAGTATTCTTCCTCTCCTCTCCCTGTCAGCCCCCTGTGCCCCCCAGAGTGTAGCAAACAGTCTGTTCTGCAGCACAAACACTCTGCGCGTCAGCTGGGCCCCTGCAGCCATCGCTCTGAACAACAGCGTCACTGCCATGGCTGGTGATGGTACTGCACTCTCCTGCACCACAGAAGGCTCCACCTGCGAGCTGGATGGACTGCAGTGTGGACAACAGTACACTGTTGCCGTGACAGCCATCAGCAGCAACTGTACCGGACCTACCAGCGCACCACAGACAGTCCAGACAGGTGTGTTATCTGTCTTGCATTGCAGTTGGAATTTAAAGAGAGAGCAGTTGTACTGTACTGCATACTGTTATTACATAGAACTCACACTTTCTGTTCTCTCTCTCTCAGTGCCATGTGTTCCCTCCAGTGTGCATGGGGTTGTGGACTGTGCCTCTAACACCCTGCAGGCCTCTTGGGATGCCACGGATGGGGCTCACGCTTACATTTCCATGGTGACCGGGCCAGACAGTTACACTTCGACGTGCTCTACCGCCAACCTGACCTGTTTCTTCACCGGCCTGGAGTGTGCCAAGGAGTACAGCGTCAGCGTGGTTGCAAAAGACAACCAGTGCAACAGTTCTGTCAGCGTTGACGTATCAGTGACAACAGGTAAGTTCAGAGAAGAAATCCTGCCTCCTCTTCAAACTGTACGTTGTAATGTGACTAATAATCCTTGTATTCCATTGTATTAATGTTACATTGATGTACAAAAACCCTCTCTGACCCTGTTGCATAGTCTCCTACAAATTGGTCCTTTGAGCCGGATATGAACAAGCAACCTATAGGCCAGGGATCATCAACTAGATTCAGCCGCGGGCCGATTATTTTCTTGAGCAGATGGTAGGGGGGCCGGAACATAATTACAAATAATTTGTAGACGGCAAATTGACTGCAGGAAGCGCAAATTGATATAATGTTTGACTAAAACATTATCATTTCAAACCTTGCTTACTTTTGTTTACAATCCCGTTTCTTTCTATTATGCGTGAATACTTGGGAACAGATTTCTTAAATTAAAATTACTTGGAGCTGATTTCCTGGTGTTTTTAGTCTATGTCTAACAATAAAACATATATTTTAAAAAAGCAATTTTTTTGTTGCAAATAAAAACACCCGCGGGCCAAATTGGCGCCGCCAGTTGGGGAACCATGCTATGACTAGGCTTATTCCCCAAAACATGTGTAAACATACTGTGAGCACATTATCAGGTCATGTGACCAGTAAGAAAAAGGTATGAAAATGTATGCACTCACTACTGTAAGTCGCTCTGGATAAGTGTCTGCTAAATGACTAAAATGTTATTATGTTCTCTGACCTCTCTTTGACCCCCTCCCCAGCCCCATGTGACCCAGAAAACGTGGTTTCCCTGCTGCAGTGCAGCTCAGGCGTGGTGACGGTGTCCTGGGAGGCCAGTGCTGGAGCCACCGGCTATACCGCCTCGGCACAGGAGGACGGAGAGACACACTTTACTTCCTGCAGCACCACAGGCACTTCCTGTGACCTCACCCAGCTGGAGTGTGGAGAGGTTTACACCGTGACAGTTGTGGCCGGGGATGGAATCTGCAACAGTACCTTGCTGGCCACAACCACCATCCAGACAGGTAAAGGAGGGAGAAAGATAGTATGTGCGATAGAGAGAGAGTGACAGACAGAAATATAGAGATTGAGATAGAAATTACAACCAAAGAGAGATAGATAAGATAACAGTATGTATCTCTGTGATATATCATTTCGAACACAGAGAGAGAGCCGTTTGATATAACAGACAGACACTAGTCCATCTCCAGTCCCTAACCTGTCCTCTCCTCTTCTTCGCCTGCTCCAGCTCCCTGTCCCCCCACCATCAAGGACCACTCCCTGGATTGTGCCTCAAACCAGGCCTCCATCTCCTGGGTTGACGATGACGATGCTGTGGGCTTCCTCATCAACGCCACCTCTGCCCTGGGTCACACCCCCTTCTGCAGCTCCACCAACACCTCCTGTCTCCTTGACGACCTACTCTGCGGACAGACCTACACCGTGCATGCCATCGCCCAGGGAGACCAGTGCAACAGTGAGCCCAGCGAGTCGTTCGAGATCGTCACAGGTGTGTTTTTAGACTAGAGCTGTGTGTGATTGACGTGGGATTAATTTGCTGTTATTATTATAAAACGCAGCTGGTCCACTAACGGCCCACTACTGGAAAAGATGGCGGCCCACTGGCCCCACTCATGTTGTTGTGACTAATTGTCTCCTTTTGACTGACCAAGTGTATTTGTGTATGTTTCCACAGCCCCTTGCACCCCAGCCAACGTCCGGTCCCAGTATGAGTGTGGTACGAGCATAGCTCTGCTGAGCTGGGACGAGACTCTGGGGCGTGATAGCTTCATCACCCGTGTAGAGTCTGGTGACCACAGTGACTCCTGCAGTACGACTGAGACCCAATGCTCTTTGACCACGCTCATGTGTGGTCATCTCTACAATGTGACCGTGGATGCTCTGGCCGGACACTGCAACAGCAGCCATTCAGCTGCCACACAGATACATACAGGTAAATGGGGATAATGGTCCCCAGTGTAGTCAGTATCATTTACAGTAACAGTTTATTACTTTAACATTGTCCCCCTCTCCTACCCTCCCTTCAGCTCACTGTGCCCCGCAGAATGTCAGTGCCAGTCTGCTGTGTGCCAACAACACAGTGGCTGTAACCTGGCTGGCCAGCTCTGGTGCTGTGGGCTACAATGTGACCGCCCTGGGCCACGACGGTGACACCAAAACCTGCACCACAGACGACACCAGCTGTGATCTACCAAACATGCACTGCGCTCAGACCTATGACATCACTGTCACGCCCTTCTCTGAGACGTGTAAAGGCTTCCAGAGCACCGCCTTCACCTTCATTGCAGGTATGGAAAACAAATACAGATCAGAGAAGCTACTTAAAGACATTTACATTCTTAAGAGTACTCCATTGGATGCTGTAACTCTTAAAACATTTAACATTCTAACATTTAAGTCATTTAGCAGACGCTCTTATCCAGAGCGACTTACAAATTGGTGCATTCAACTTAGGATAGCCAGTGGGGGGGGGGGGGGGGGGGGGGGGGTAGAAGGATTACTGTTATACTATTCCAGGTATTCCTTAAAGAGGTAGGGTTTCAAGTGTCTCCGAAGGTGGTCAGTGACTCCGCTGTCCTGGCGTCGTGGGGGAGCTTGTTCCACCATTGGGGTGCCAGAGCAGCGAATAGCTTTGACTGGGCTGAGCGGGAACTGTGCTTCCGTAGAGGTAGGGGGGCTAGCAGGCCAGAGGTGGATGAACGTAGTGCCCTCATTTGGGTGTAGGGTCTGATCAGAGCCTGAAGGTAAGGAGGTGCCGTTCCCCTCATAGCTCCGTAGGCAAGCACCATGGTTTTGTAGTAGATGCGAGCTTCAACTGGAAGCCAGTGGAGTGTGCGGAGGAGCGGGGTGACATGAGAGAACTTGGGAAGGTTGAACACCAGACGGGCTGCAGCGTTCTGGATAAGTTGTAGGGGTTTAATGGCACAGGCAGGGAGCCCAGCCAACAGCGAGTTCAAATCAAATCAAATCAAATTTTATTGGTCACATGCGCCGAATACAACAGGTGCAGACATTACAGTGAAATGCTTACTTACAGCCCTTAACCAACAGTGCATTTATTTTAAACAAAAAAAAGTAAGAATAAAACAACAACAAAAAAAGTGTTGAGAAAAAAAGAGCAGAAGTAAAATAAAGTGACAGTAGGGAGGCTATATATACAGTAAAATAAAGTGACAGTAGGGAGGCTATATATACAGGGGGGTACCGTTGCAGAGTCAATGTGCGGGGGCACCGGCTAGTTGAGGTAGTTGAGGTAATATGTACATGTGGGTAGAGTTAAAGTGACTATGCATAAATACTTAACAGAGTAGCAGCAGCGTAAAAAGGATGGGGTGGGGGGGCAGTGCAAATAGTCCGGGTAGCCATGATTAGCTGTTCAGGAGTCTTATGGCTTGGGGGTAGAAGCTGTTGAGAAGTCTTTTGGACCTAGACTTGGCACTCCGGTACCGCTTGCCGTGCGGTAGCAGAGAGAACAGTCTATGACTAGGGTGGCTGGAGTCTTTGACAATTTTGAGGGCCTTCCTCTGACACCGCCTGGTATAGAGGTCCTGGATGGCAGGGAGCTTTGCCCCAGTGATGTACTGGGCCGTACGCACTACCCTCTGTAGTGCCTTGCGGTCAGAGGCCAAGCAGTTGCCATACCAGGCGGTGATGCAACCAGTCAGGATGCTCTCGATGGTGCAGCTGTAGAATTTTTTGAGGATCTGAGGACCCATGCCAAATCTTTTTAGTCTCCTGAGGGGGAATAGGCTTTGTCGTGCCCTCTTCACGACTGTCTTGGTGTGTTTGGACCATGATAGTTCGTTGGTGATGTGGACACCAAGGAACTTGAAGCTCTCAACCTGTTCCACTACAGCCCCGTCGATGAGAATGGGGGCGTGCTCAGTCCTCTTTTTTTTCCTGTAGTCCACAATCATCTCCTTTGTCTTGGTCACGTTGAGGGAGAGGTTGTTGTCCTGGCACCACACGGCCAGATCTCTGACCTCCTCCCTATAGGCTGTCTCATCGTTGTCGGTGATCAGGCCTACCACTGTTGTGTCGTCGGCAAACTTAATGATGGTGTTGGAGTCGTGCCTGGCCATGCAGTCATGGGTGAACAGAGAGTACAGGAGGGGACTGAGCACGCACCCCTGAGGGGCCCCCGTGTTGAGGATCAGTGTGGCAGATGTGTTGTTACCTACCCGTACCACCTGGGGGCGGCCCGTCAGGAAGTCCAGGATCCAGTTGCAGAGGGAGGTGTTTAGTCCCAGGATCCTTAGCTTAGTGATGAGCTTAGAGGGCACTATGGTGTTGAATGCTGAGCTGTAGTCAATGAATAGCATTCTCACGTAGGTGTTCCTCTTGTCCAGGTGGGAAAGGGCAGTGTGGAGTGAAATAGAGATTGCATCATCTGTGGATCTGTTGGGGCGGTATGCAAATTGGAGTGGGTCTAGGGTTTCTGGGATTATGCTGTTGATGTGAGCCATGACCAGTCTTTCAAAGCACTTCATGGCTACAGACGTCAGTGCTACGGGTCGGTAGTCATTTAGGCAGGTTATCTTAGAGTTCTTGGGCACGGGGACTATGGTGGTCTGCTTGAAACATGTTGGTATTACAGACTCAGTCAGGGACATGTTGAAAATGTCAGTGAAGACACTTGCCAGTTGGTCAGCACATGATCGGAGTACACGTCCTGGTAATCCGTCTGGCCCTGCGGCCTTGTGAATGTTGACCTGCTTAAAAGTCTTACTCACATCGGCTACGGAGAGCGTGATCACATAGTCATCCGGAACAGCTGGTGCTCTCATGCATGCTTCAGTGTTGCTTGCCTCGAAGCGAGCATAGAAGTGGTTTAGCTCGTCTGGTAGGCTTGTGTCACTGGGCAGCTCGCGGCTGTGCTTCCCTTTGTAGTCTGTAATAGTTTTCAAGCCCTGCCACATCCGACGAACGTCAGAGCCAGTGTAGTATGATTCAATCTTAGACCTGTATTGACTCTTTGCCTGTTTGATGGTTCGTCGGAGGTCATAGCGGGATTTCTTATAAGCGTCCGGGTTAGAGTCCCGTTCCTTGAAAGCGGCAGCTCTACCCTTTAGCTCAGTGCGGATGTTTCCTGTAATCCATGGCTTCTGGTTGGGGTATGTACGTACGGTCACTGTGGGGACGACATCATCGATGCACTTATTGATGAAGCCAGTGACTGATGTGGTGTACTCCTCAATGCTGTCTGAAGAATCCCGGAACATGTTCCAGTCTGTGCTAGCAAAACAGTCCTGTAGCTTAGCATCTGCGTCATCTGACCACTTTTTTATTAACCGAATCACTGGTGCTTCCTGCTTCAGTTTTTGCTTATAAGCAGGAATCAGGAGGATAGAGTTATGGTCAGATTTGCCAAATGGAGGGCGAGGGAGAGCTTTGTATGTGTCTCTGTGTGTTGAGTAAAGGTGGTCTAGAGTTTTTTTCCCTCTGGTTGCACATTTAACATGCTGGTAGAAATGAGGTAGAACGGATTTAAGTTTCCCTGCATTAAAGTCCCCGGCCACTAGGAGCGCTGCATCTGGATGAGCGTTTTCCTGTTGATTAATGGCCTTGTACAACTCATTCAGAGCAATCTTAATGCCAGCATTGGTTTGTGGTGGTAAATAGACAGCTATGAAAAATATAGATGAAAACTCTCTTGGTAAATAGTGTGGTCTACAGCTTATCATAAGATACTCTACCTCAGGCGAGCAAAACCTCGAGACTTCCTTAGTATTTGATTTTGTGCACCAGCTGTTGTTTACAAATATACACAGACCGCCGCCCCTTGTCTTACCAGAGTCAGACGTTCTGTCCTGCCGATGTAGCGTATAGCCTGCTAGCTGAATGTTATCATTGTTGTCGTTCAGCCACGACTCCGTGAAACATAAGATATTACAGTTTTTAATGTCCCGTTGGTAGGATAACCGTAATCTTAACTCGTCCATTTTATTCTCAAAAGATTGAACGTTGGCTAGTAGGATTGATGGGAGAGGCAGTTTACTCGCTCGCCGTCGGATCCTTACAAGGCACCCGGATCTGCGTCCGCGATATCTCCGTCTCTTCCTCACGCGAATGACGGGGATCTGGGCCTTGTCGGGTGTCTGTAGGATATCCTTCGCGACCGCCTCGTTGAAGAAAAAATCTTCGTCCAATGCGAGGTGAGTAATCGCTGTCCTGATATCCAGAAGCTCTTTTTGGTTATAAGAGACGATGGCAGAAACATTATGTACAAAATAAATTACAAATAACGCGGAAAAACACACATAATAGTACAATTGGTTAGAGGGCTGTAAAACGGCAGCCATCTTCCCCAGCGCTGTTCTCTGCAGTAATCCAGATGGGAGATGACAAGTGCCTGGATTAGGACCTGTGCCGCTTTCTGTGTAAGGTAGGGTCGTACTCTGCGAATGTTGTAGAGCATGAACCTGCAGGATCGGGTCACCGCTTTGATGTTAGCGGAGAATGACAGGGTGTTGTACAGGGTCACGCCAAGGTTCTTTGCACTCTGGGAGGAGGACACAATGGAGTTGTCAACCGTGATGGCGAGATCATGAAGCGGGCAGTCCTTCCCCGGGAGGAAGAGCAGCTCCGTCTTGCCGAGGTTCAGCTTGAGGTGGTGATCCGTCATCCACACTGGTATGTCTGCCAGACATGCAGAGATACGATTCGCCACCTGGTTATCAGAAGGTGGAAAGGAGAAAATTGTGTGTCGTCTGCGTAGCAATGATAGGATAGACCATGTGAGGATATGACAGAGCCAAGTGACTTGGTGTATAGAGAGAATAGGAGAGGGCCTAGAACTGAGCCCTGGGGGACACCAGTGGTGAGAGCACGTGGTGCGGAGACAGATTCTCGCCACGCCACCTGGTAGGAGCGACCTGTCAGGTAGGACGCAATCCAAGAGTGAGCAGCGCCGGAGATGCCCAACTCGGAGAGGGTGGAGAGGAGGATCTGATGGTTCACAGTATCAAAGGCAGCAGATAGGTCTAGAAGGATAAGAGCAGAGGAGAGAGAGTTAGCTTTAGCAGTGCGGAGAGCCTCCGTGACACAGAGAAGAGCAGTCTCAGTTGAATGATCAGTCTTGAAACCTGACTGGTTTGGATCAAGAAGGTCATTCTGAGAGAGATAGCAGGAGAGTTGGCTAGAGACGACACGCTCAAGAGTTTTGGAGAAAAGAAAGAAGGGATACTGGTCTGTAGTTGTTGACATCGGTCTCTGTCTCAACAACTGTCCTTAACAACAACCCCCCCTTCTCTCTTCCTCTATCCTCCCCCCCCAGGTCCCTGTCCCCCCACCGAGGTCCAGACCTCTCTGCATTGTGAGAGTAACGTGGGTTCCGTGTCCTGGGTCGCCGCCCGTACCTCCCAGATGTACGTTGCCACGGCAACTGGCCAGGACGGCCACGCCCACACCTGCATCACCAATGGGACGGCGGGTTGCTCCTTCAGTGACCTGAAATGTGGCGAGACCTACACCGTCTCAGTGGTAACCATGGAGAGGGGATGCCAGAGCAAGCCCAGCGCACCATTCCCCCTCAAAGCAGGTGAGAGGAGAGAGTAAATCACTATACTAATGGCTGTACTCATTAGCATTAACTTAACGATAACGATCTGCTAACTGTATATCTCAGTTTAAGTCTCCATATAATCTTTTCATCAAACCTTGACACTGAATGCATTTAGCAAAGTAATGATAATTATTGGGTGGGTTTGATACAGTGAGGGGAAAAGAGTATTTGATCCCCTGCTGATTTTGTACGCTTGCCCACTGACAAAGACATGATCAGTCTATAATTTTAATGGTATGTTTATTTGAACAGTGAGAGACAGAATAACAACAAAAAAATCCAGAAAAACACATGTCAAAAATGTTATAAATTGATTTGCATTTTCATGAGGGAAATAAGTATTTGACCCCTCTGCAAAACATGACTTGGTGGCAAAACCCTTGTTGGCAATCACAGAGGTCAGACATTTCTTGTAGTTGGCCACCAGGTTTGCACACATCTCAGGAGGGATTTTGTCCCACTCCTCTTTGCAGATCTTCTCCAAGTCATTAAGGTTTCGAGGCTGACGTTTAGCAACTCGAACCTTCAGCTCCCTCCACAGATTTTCTATGGGATTAAGGTCTGGAGACTGGCAAGGCCACTCCAGGACCTTAATGTGCTTCTTCTTGAGCCACTCCTTTGTTGCCTTGGCCGTGTGTTTTGGGTCATTGTCATGCTGGAATACCCATCCACGACCCATTTTTTTCAATGCCCTGGCTGAGGGAAGGAGGTTCTCACCCAAGATTTGATGGTACATGGCCCCGTCCATCCTCCCTTTGATGCGGTGAAGTTGTCTTGTCCCCTTAGCAGAAAAACACCCCCAAAGCATAATGTTTCCACCTCCATGTTTGACGGTGGGGATGGTGTTCTTGGGGTCATAGGCAGCATTCCTCCTCCTCCAAACACGGCGAGTTGAGTTGATGCCAAAGAGCTCGATTTTGGTCTCATCTGACCACAACACTTTCACCCAGTTCTCCTCTGAATCATTCAGATGTTCATTGGCAAACTTCAGACGGGCCTGTATATGTGCTTTCTTGAGCAGGGGGACCTTGCGGGCGCTACAGGATTTCAGTCCTTCACGGCGTAGTGTGTTATCAATTGTTTTCTTGGTGACTATGGTCCCAGCTGCCTTGAGATCATTGACAAGATCCTCCCGTGTAGTTCTGGGGTGATTCCTCACCGTTCTCATGATCATTGCAACTCCACGAGGTGAGATCTTGCATGGAGCCCCAGGCCGAGGGAGATTGACATTTATTTTGTGTTTCTTCCATTTGCGAATAATCGCACCAACTGTTGTCACCTTCTCACCAAGCTGCTTGGCAATGGTCTTGTAGCCCATTCCAGCCTTGGCCATGGTGGAGAGTTTGGAATCTGATTGATTGATTGCTTCTGTGGACAGGTGTCTTTTATACAGGTAACAAACTGAGATTAGGAGCACTCCCTTTAAGACTGTGCTCCTAATCTCAGCTCGTTACCTGTATAAAAGACACCTGGGAGCCAGAAATCTTTCTGATTGAGAGGGGGTCAAATACTTATTTCCCTCATTAAAATGCAAATCAATTTATAACATTTTTGACATGCGTTATTCTGTCTCTCACTGTTCAAATAAACCTACCATTAAAATTATAGACTGATCATTTCTTTTTCAGTGGGCAAACGTACAAAATCAGCAGGGGATCAAATACTTTTTTCCCTCACTGTATGTGTGCGATTTCAAAACCAAAAAGCTCACACTCTTTCCCTCTTCCTGTTTTTTCCTCTCTTTCCCTCCCTCTCTCAGCCATCTGTCCTCCTACCAGGCTGGCTGGAGTGACGGCCTGTGGCACCAACGACCTGACCATCACCTGGGACCAGAACCCCGAGACCGGTGTCACCTATTTCCTGTATTCCCAGAAAGAGGGCGGAGCCAACACCAGCTACTCCACCGTAGACCCGTCCCATGTGATCTCAGGGCTGCAGTGTGGAGAACACTACAGCTTCAGGGTCATGGCCAAGGACTCTGTCTGCACCAGCAGCCTCAGCTCAACCATGGAGATAGACACAGGTACCAACCACAGGCAGGGTCTCTTTCCTACCTATTATCACATTAAAACAATGAGTCTTCATCCACTTTTTCTTATACAGTATTTGTATTTATTATGGATCCCCATGGCAGCAGCTACTCTTCCTGGGGTCCAGCAAAATTAAGGCAGTTATACATTTTAAAAACATTACAATACATTCATAACAGATTTCACAACATATTAAGTGAATGCCCTCAGGCCTCTACTCTACTACCACATATCTATAACACACAATCCATGTGTACATGTGTGTATAGTGCGTTTGTTATAGTGTGTGTGTATGCATGTGTCTGTTTGTGTTGCTTCACAGTCCCCGCTGTTCCATAAGGTGTATTTTTACCTGTTTTTTAAAATCTGATTCTACTGCTTGCATCAGTTACCTGATGTGGAATAGAGTTCCATGTGTCATGGCTCTATGTAGTACTGTGTGCCTCCCATAGTCTGTTCTGGACTTGGGGACTGTGAAGAGACCTCTGGTGGCATGTCTTGTGGGGTATGCATGGGGGTCCGAGCTGTGTGCCAGTATTCCAAACAGACAACACGGTGCATTCAGCTTGTCGACACCTCTTACAAAAACAAGCAGTGATGAAGTCAATCTCTATTCCACTCTGAGCCAGGAGAGACTGACATGCATGTCATTAATGTTAGCTCTCCATGTACTTTTAAGGGCCAGCCGTGCTGCCCTGTTCTGAGCCAACTGCAATTTTCCCAAGTCCTTCTTTGTGGCACCTGACCACACTACTGAACAGTAGTCTAGGTGCGACAAAACTAGGGCCTGTAGGACCTGCCTTGTTGATAGTGTAGTTAAGAAGGCAGAGCAGCACTTAATTATGGACATACTTCTCCCCATCTTAGCTTCTGTAGCTCAATTGGTAGAGCATGGCGCTTGTAATGCCAGGGTAGTGGGTTCGATCCCCGGGACCACCCATACCTAAAAATGTATGCACGCATGACTGTAAGTCGCTTTGGATAAAAGTGTCTACTAAATGGCATATTAATATGCTTTGACCATGACAGTCTACAATCCAGGGTTACTCCAAGCAGTTTATTCACCTCAACTTGCTCAATTTCCACATTATTCATTACGACATGTAGTTGAGGTTTAGGGTTTAGTGAATGATTTGACCCAAATACAATGCTTTTAGTTTTGGAAATATTCAGGACTAACTTATTCCTTGCCACCCATTCCGAAACTAACTGCAACTCTTTGTTAAGCGTTGCAGTTATTTCAGTTGCTGTAGTAGCTGACGTGTATAGTGTTGAGTCTTCCGCATACATAGACACACTGGCTTTACTCAAAGCCAGTGGTATGTCGTTAGTAAAGATGGAAAAAAGCAAGGGGCGTAGGCAGCTGCCTGGGGAATTCCTGATTCTACCTGGATTATGTTTGAGAGGCTTCCATTAAAGAACACCCTCTGTGCTCTGTTAGACAGGTAACTCTTTATCCACATGGGGTGTAAAGCCATAACACATACATTTTTCCAGCAGCAGACTATGATCGATAATGTCAAAAGCCACACTGAAGTCTAACAAAACAGTATGTCACTCAAAGTCACCAAATACTGTGAATGTGTATAACAGGCATACAGTTGCTACTTACTTAAACCTTTTACCGTTTTCTCCTGGAGCATAGGCCATCGACAACCGTTCCACCATTGTATAATCTATAAAGAACTTGTTTTGTACTGATTCACAACGTCCTTCCTTGTTCTGAAACTGATTTCCAATGCTCTTTCTGGTTCCCGTCCACAGCTCCTTGCCCGCCCACCAACCTAACAGCCCAGGCAAACTGTAGCACCAATGGGGGCATCATCACCTGGGACTTGAGTGCAGGTGGCGTCACCTACACTGCCACGGTAACCGGTACCACCCACAGCCTCACAGCTTCCTGTACTTCCAACACCACTTCCTGTTATGTGAAGCTGGACTGCGGACACCCTTACTCAGCCTCCGTGGTCGCCTCCACTGGGACCTGCAACAGCACCATGGACACCATCCAGTTCGACTCAGGTAGTTAACAAAATAATGAACTAACTAACTAACCAACCAACTGACTGACTGACTGTCTAACTGACTGACTGACTAACTGACTAACCAACTGACTGACTAACCAACTAACAGACTGACTGACTGACTAGAATTGAAGAGAATCGAATGGAATCTAACTTTTATTATAATTATAAACTACAGGTGAAATGTTCAATTAGTGAACAGATTAAATGTTATAAAGCTATTACTATCCTTCAGTGTAGACCTTCACTTGTAGTTGTCTTACATTAGATGACCATACTGTTACTCGACCCTGTTTTGATTCACTACAGATAATGCACCATGCACTATGCTACAGTAGCACCAGTCCCACGGTTATGTCTCTCTCCCACCTCCACCCCGGTCCCCCTCCACAGCCCCCTGTCTACCCGGCAACATAGCAGCAGCCCTGGACTGCAGTGCCAACACGTTTGCAGTGCAGTGGTCAGAGAGTGAGGGGAAACGTGACTCCTACACGGCCCTGGCCATCGGCAGCGACGGGTCTAATCTGAGCTGTGGCACCAGCTCTACAACCTGCACCATCAACAGCCTGGCCTGTGGCATCATATACAGCATCACTGTCAGCACCGCCAATGTCAACTGTGCCACCATCGAGGGATCAGACTACCAGATCCAGTCAGGTAAGGCGCTGGTTCAGAGTCAGACAACCACCCATCTTACTGTACACCTCAACTGCCTAGACCCAAGATCAATCAATCTATCCAAATTCTCAAGGAGTTCTGGTATTAAACCCTCATAAAGTTAATGTATTTTACTTCCTGTATGTATACTCTTTCTCCCCTCCTGTCCTCTCTCCACCCTTCCATCCCTCTCTCCACCCCTCTCTCCACCCTTCCATCCCTCTCTCCACCCTTCCATCCCTCTCTCCACCTTCCATCCCTCTCTCCATCCTTCCATCCCTCTCTCCGTTCTTACATCCCTTTCTCCATCCTTCCATCCCTCTCTCTCCATCCTTCCATCCCTCTCTCTCCATCCTTCCATCCCTCTCTCTCTCTCCATCCTTCCATCCCTCTCTCTCTCTCTCTCTCAATCCTTCCATCCCTCTCTCCATCCGTACATCCCTCTCTCATCCTTCCATCCCTCTCTCTCTCTCTCCATCCCTCTCTCTCTCCATCTCTCTCTCCATCCTTCCATCCCTCTCTCTCACCATCCTTCCATCCCTCTCTCTCCATCCTTCCCCCTCTCTCGCTCCATCCTTCCCCCTCTCTCGCTCCATCCTTCCCCCTCTCTCGCTCCATCCTTCCCCCTCTCGCTCCATCCTTCCCCCTCTCGCTCCATCCTTCCCCCTCTCTCGCTCCATCCTTCCCTCTCTCTCACTCCATCCTTCCATCCATCTTTCCATTCTTCCATCCCTCTCTCTCTCCATCCTTCCCTCTCTCTCCATCCTTGCATCCCTCTCGCTCTCCATCTTTACATCCCTCTCTCTCTCTCTCTCCATCCTTCCATCCCTGTCTCCATCCTTACATCCATCTCTCTCCATCCATTCTTCCATCCCTCTCTCTCTCTCTCCATCCTTCTCTCCTCCTCTCCCCTCAGCTCCCTGTAAACCAGAGAGCCCTGCGGTGAGCCTGGAGTGCAGTACTAACGTAGCCGAGGTGACTTGGGACAACGCTGGACCTGACCAAATCCACATGGTGTCAGCAGTGGACTTGCAGGGAGTGAAGAGCTCCTGTAACAGCACTGGCTCCAACTGCACCTTCAGCTCTCTGAGTTGTGGACAGGCCTATACACTCACTGTACAGGGCCTCACCGACACCTGCAAGAGCGAACGCAGCACCAGCATGAACCTGCTCACAGGTGACACACAGACAGATATGGTAGAGAGAAACTTTACAATGGAATGCCGTTCATTGGGTCCTACCATGTATATAAATAAATGTGTCATACTTAACAGTAGTGTAGTGACTCTAGGTTGAATATGCTTTGTATAAGAAAACATGCTTCATTTTGTATAGCATATGGTGTAAGCAGCATGTAGGCTACTCTCCTTGGATGTCACAGTGTAATCTTAGTTAAGTAGGGCATGGATCCATCTTTGGTTTTCCAGTCATTGGTCACACCTCTTTAATCCTCGTAACCCTGGACACAATGGAAGTGTGCTCATAGAAATAGAATCAAGTCAATAGGTCTGTGACGGGTGGATGGGTAGAATTCTCTCTCACTGTATCAGTATTAAAACCCAACACACACCCAGATCCAACACACACCTCTCTGTCCCACTGAGTGTGTATATTAACAGATATTAATCAAATATAATAGTGTTGCAATCATGTCAGTTGGTCTTTAAAGCCCAACACACGCACCCTCCTGATCAACACATCCCTCTGTCCCCTTTCCAGCCCCCTGCGTCCCCACCCACTTGACAGCCGATGTGAACTGTGAAGCCGGCATCACGTCTGTGACCTGGGACTCAGCCCGCGGTGCCACCGGCTACACAGTACATGCAGAGGGAAGCGGTGGGCACAATGCCACCTGTACCAGCTCAGACACCAACTGTGCCTTCCTTGATCTGATGTGTGGACAGGACTACACTATGGTGGTGCTGGCTAACCACGACAGCTGTGTCAGCCTGGCCAGCGAGTCCATCACCACTACCACTTGTAAGAACACCAGCACACTGGTAACCTTGAAAAACGATCTCGATCTCTCAGATCAACCAACCAAGAACCTTTTATCAGACAGTTATGAAGCCTCATTCACTGTAATTCACTAATAATGGTTAACTAAACCCATCTCTCTCTCTCTAAAACATATACACAACAACGTGTTTCTCTCTCTCCTCCCCCTCCAGTCCCCTGCCGTCACACTGGCCTGCAGGCCTCTCTGGACTGCAGCACCAACACAGCTCAGATCTCTTGGACGTCTGGTAATGGCATTCTGATCTACAAAGCCTTGGCCGAGGGCTTTGACATCAAACACCAGCTCACCTGCTCCAGCCCCGGCTCCGGCTGCAATATCAGCAAGCTGCAGTGTGGAGAGAGCTACAGGGTCAGCGTCAGGGGAGAGGGACGCACTTGCCCCAGCCCCGCCCGCGACTGGGTCATAGTCAACACAGGTAAATACAGTCCTACCATCATACCAACAGTCCTACCATCATACCAACAGTCCTACCATCATACCAACAGTCCTACCATCATACCAACAGTCCTACCATCATACCAACAGTCCTACCATCAAACATCTACACACACCTACATACATGCATAACCCAATACTGTACATCCAAAGACCAACTCAATCGCACACAAAAGCCTGGCAAACTACTTGAGTAAACCCCTAAACTCAGATCGTGAAATCCTTCACACACTCCGTACTGACACATCCTCGTCTCCCCTCTCCCTTCTCTCCTCAGCTCCCTGCCCCCCTACGGCCCTCAGCGTTCAGTCCTCCTGCAGCTCCGACAACATCTCTGTCTCCTGGGCAGCATCCCATGGTTCCGTCTCCTACACGGCTGTCGCCGAGAGCAATGAGGGCCACTGGTTGTCATGTAACACCAGCACAACAGCGTGTGATATCTCAGGACTGTTGTGTGGACAGGAGTACGAGGTCTACGCTGCCGGAGTGGATGACAGCTGTGTAGGAGCCAAGAGCAACATCCACATTGTCCATACTGGTGGGTGTTTTTCTGAAGACTGGGACAAGATCTTGGGATACAAAAATCCCACCACTTGTCACTGTCCACTTCTTACTGTTAAGAACACATCATAACACAGCTATATTATTGGAACAGATACTGTACAGCTCTTTCAAATAAACTTTGGATCCAACATACAATTCAATAGACAATCCCTTTGGTGATCCCCCTCTCTGACCTCTGACCCTCCTCTTTCTCCTCCCAGCTCCCTGTGTTCCCACGGATGTCCAGAACGACCTGGACTGTCTATCAGGTGTCCTCACCATCACCTGGCAACAAAGCGGCGACACCCCCAACCACTACCACGCCGAACTGACGAGCGGCGAGGGTTTGCTGACCGTGTGCGACACGAATGTGACCACGTGCGTGGTTCCCAGAATGCAGTGCGGTCTGACCTACAGTGTTGTGGTGGTGGCTCACGACAATGCGTGCAACAGCTCCTACAGCCCCGCACAGCAAGTCACAGCAGGTAGGACTCACCTCTGGTCAATACTTATTGGCCATACATAGAAATAGTGGCATTCAAGAATATAATGATGATGACTAGATAAATTGATATTTCCTTGAGATGCATCATAAAGTACTTATAATAATCCTTCTACACTACATTACCAAAAGTATGTGGACACCTGCTCATCAAACATCTTATTCCAAAATCATGGGCATTAATATGGAGTTGGTCCACCCTTTGCTGCTATAACAGCCTCCACACAGCTTTCCACTAGATGTTGGAACATTGCTGCAGAGACTTACTTCCATGCAGCCACAAGGGCATTAGTGAGGTTGGGCACTGATGTTGGGCGATTAGGCCAGGCTCGCAGTCGGCGTTCCAATTCATCCCAAAGGTGTTCAATGGGGTTCTGGGTTCTGTGCAGGCCAGTGAAGTTATTCCATACCGATCTCGACAAACCATTGCCACAAAGTTGGAAGCACAGAATCATCTAGAATGTAATTGTATGCTGTAGTGTTAAGATTTCCCTTCACTGGAACTAAGGGGCCTAGACCAAATCATGAAAAAAAAACACCCCAGACCATTATTCCTCCTCCACCAAACTTTACAGTTGGCACTATGCAATCGGGCAGGTAGCGTTCTCCTGGCATCCTCCAAACCCAGATTTGACCGTCGGACTGCCAGATGGTGAAGCGTGATTCATCACTCCAGAGAATGCGTTTCCACTGCTCCAGTGTCCAATGGCGGCGAGCTTTACACCACTCCAGCCAACGCTTGGCATTGCGCATGGTGATCGCGCATGGTGATCTTAGGCTTGTGTGCGGCTGCTCGGCCATGGAAACCCATTTCATGAAGCTCCCGACAAACAGTTATTGTGCTGACGTTGCTTCCGGAGGCAGTTTGGAACTCGGTAGTGAGTTTTGAAACCGAGGACAGACGACTTTTATGCGCTACGCACTTCAGCACTCGGCAGTGCCGTTCTGTGAGCTTGTGTGGCCTACCATTTCACGGCTGAGCCATTGTTGCTCCTAGATGTTTCCACTTCACAATAACAGCACTTACAGTTGACCGGGGCAGCTCTAGCAGGACAGAAATTTGACGAACTGACTTGTTGGAAAGGCGGCATGCTATGACAGTGCCACGTTTAAAGTCACTGAGCTCTTCAGTAAGGCCATTCTACTGCCAATGTTTGTCTATGGAGATTGCATGGCTGTGTGCTCGATTTTATACACCTGTCAGCAACGGGTGTGGCTGAAAGCCGAATCCACTCATTAGAAGGGCTGTCCACATACTTTTGTATATATACAGTGCCTTGCAAAAGTATTCATTCCCCTTGGCGTTTTTCCTATTTTGTTGCATTACAACCTGTAATTTAAATGGATTTTTATTTGGATTTCATGTAATGGACATACACAAAATAGTCCAAATTGGTGAAGTGGAATGAAAAAAATAACTTGTTTCAAAATATTCTAAAAAATAAATAACGGAAAAGTGGTGCGTGCATATGTATTCACCCCCTTTGCTATGAAGCCCCTAAATAAAATGTGGTGCAACCAATTGCCTTCAGAAGTCACATAATTAGTTAAATAAAGTCCACCTGTGTGCATTCTAAGTGTCACATGATCTCAGTGTATATATACACACCTGTTCTGAAAGGCCCCAGAGTCTGCAACACCACTAAGCAAGGGGCACCACCAAGAAAGTACATATCAGGGTTGGGTTAAAAAAAGCACCATTAAATCCATTAATAAAAAATGGAAAGAATATGGCACCACAACAAACCTGCAAAGAGAGGGCCGCCCACCAAAACTCACGGACCAAGCAAGGAGGGCATTATTCAGAGGCCAAAAATAACCCTGAAGGAGCTGCAAAGCTCCACAGCGGAGATTGGAGTATCTGTCCATAGGACCACCTTAAGCCGTACACTCCACAGAGCTGGGCTTTACGGAAGAGTGGCCAGAAAAAAGCCAATGCTTAAAGACAAAATAAGCAAACACATTTGGTGTTCGCCAAAAGGCATGTGGGAGACTCCCCAAACATATGGAAGAAGGTACTCTGATCAGATGAGACTAAAATTGAGCTTTTTGGCCATCAAGGAAAACGCTATGTCTGGCGCAAACCCAACACCTCACATCACCCCGAGAACAACATGTTTTTCATCGGCAGGGACTGGGAAACTGGTCAGAATTGAAGGAATGATGGATGGCGCTATATACAGGGAAATTCTTGAGGGAAACCTGTTTCAGTCTTCCAGAGATTTGAGACTGGGACGGAGGTTCACCTTCCAGCAGGACAATGACCCTAAGCATACTGCTAAAGGAACACTCTAGTGGTTTAAGGGGAAACATTAAAATGTTTTGGAATGGCCTAGTCAAAGCCCAGACCTCAATCCAATTGAGAATCTGTGGTATGACTTAAAGATTGCTGTACACCAGCAGAACCCATCCAACTTGAAAGAGCTGGAGCAGTTTTGCCTTGACGAAAGTTCTGTTTTTCTGTCTTATTTCTTGTGTCACAATAAAAAATGTGAATAGGGGGGTGAATACTTTCGCAAGCCACTGTAGTGTATCTTCACTTCTCTTCTCTCTTCACCTCTTCTTCTCTTCTCTACTCTCTTCTGTTCTCTTCTACCCCCTCTCAGCTCCCTGCCCTCCAGATGCAGTCAGTGCCGTGGTGGACTGTGCCACCAACATTGTCACGGTAACCTGGGACAACAGCGTTGCCAAGGTGCTGTACACAGTTACTGCTGAATGTCCCAGTGGTCAGCACTACACCTGCAATGTCACGGGAATGGGCTGTGACCTCAGCACCCTGTCATGTGGCACAGAGTACAATGTGACTGTCACCCCGTCACTCGGCGGCTGTGTCGGTGTCAACACACCGTCTCAGCTGGTCAAGACAGGTAGGGATCAATCAATTAGTAAATCAGTTAATGTCTGTAATTACATGTCAGTTAAATGTCTGTAAATCTGCACAAATACTCATGAACCCGACACACACACAAAGACACAGACACACTGCTCTCTCTCTCCTTCTAGCGCCCTGCGTACCCCGCCTCACCGAGGTGGTGATGGACTGTCTATCAGATTCCGCCTGGGTGAAGTGGGAGGAGTCGGCGGGCGCCGAGCTTTACGTTGCCGTGGCGACGGACAGCCAAGGGCAGACGTTTGAGTGCAACACAACTGACATTAACACGTGCGCTGTGCCAGACCTGCACTGCGGACATCACTTTACCTTTACCCTCACCGCCTCAGACCAACAGTGCTCCAGCGCACCTAGCAACACTGTGGTGTCCGAGACAGGTGAGAGACTGTCGTACTTGAAGCATGAGGGTTGTTAACATTTATATTAAAGTAGCTAAAATAGATATGTAGCAGTATATTGTCCTAGTGAAATTTCTACACTGCTCAAAAAAATAAAGGAAACACTTAAACAACACATCCTAGATCTGAATGAATGAAATAATCTTATTAAATACTTATTTCTTTACATAGTTGAATGTGCTGACAACAAAATCACACAAAAATTATCAATGGAAATCAAATTTATCAACCCATGGAGGTCTGGATTTGGAGTCACCCTCAAAATTAAAGTGGAAAACCACACTACAGGCTGATCCAACTTTGATGTAATGTCCTTAAAACAAGTCAAAATGAGGCTCAGTAGTGTGTGTGGCCTCCACGTGCCTGTATGACCTCCCTACAACGCCTGGGCATGCTCCTGATGAGGTGGCGGATGGTCTCCTGAGGGATCTCCTCCCAGACCTGGACTAAAGCATCTGCCAACTCCTGGACAGTCTGTGGTGCAACGTGGCGTTGGTGGATGGAGCGAGACATGATGTCCCAGATGTGCTCAATTTGATTCAAGTCTGGGGAACAGGCGGGCCAGTCCATAGCATCAATGCCTTCCTCTTGCAGGAACTGCTGACACACTCCAGCCACATGAGGTCTAGCATTGTCTTGCATTAGGAGGAATCCAGGGCCAACCGCACCAGCATATGGTCTCACAAGGGGTCTGAGGATCTCATCTCGGTACCTAATGGCAGTCAGGCTACCTCTGGCGAGCACATGGAGGGCTGTGCGGCCCCCCAAAGAAATGCCACCCCACACCATGACTGACCCACCGCCAAACCGGTCATGCTGGAGGATGTTGCAGGCAGCAGAACGTTCTCCACGGCGTCTCCAGACTCTGTCACGTCTGTCACATGTGCTCAGTGTGAACCTGCTTTCATCTGTGAAGAGCACAGGGCGCCAGTGGTGAATTTGCCAATCTTGGTGTTCTCTGGCAAATGCCAAACGTCCTGCACGGTGTTGGGCTGTAAGCACAACCCCCACCTGTGGACATCGGGCCCTCATACCACCCTCATGGAGTCTGTTTCTGACCGTTTGAGCAGACACATGCACATTTGTGGCCTGCTGGAGGTCATTTTGCAGGGCTCTGGCAGTGCTCCTCCTTGCACAAAGGCGGAGGTAGCGGTCCTGCTGCTGGGTTGTTGCCCTCCTACGGCCTCCTCCACGTCTCCTGATGTACTGGCCTGTCTCCTGGTAACGCCTCCATGTTCTGGACACTACGCTGACAGACACACAAACCTTCTTGCCACAGCTCGCATTGATGTGCCATCCTGGATGAGCTGCACTACCTGAGCCACTTGTGTGGGTTGTAGACTCCGTCTCATGCTACCACTAGAGTGAAAGCACCGCCAGCATTCAAAAGTGACCAAAACATCAGCCAGGAAGCATAGGAACTGAGAAGTGGTCTGTGGTCACCACCTGCAGAACCACTTCTTCATTGGGGGTGTCTTGCTAATTGCCTATAATTTCCACCTGTTGTCTATTCCATTTGCACAACAGCATGTGAAATTTATTGTCAATCAGTGTTGCTTCCTAAGTGGACAGTTTGATTTCACAGAAGTGTGACTGACTTGGAGTTACATTGTGTTGTTTAAGTGTTCCCTTTATTTTTTTGAAAAGTGTATTTTGTTGATGGCATTTTTCACAGTGTTTGGTTGCTACCACCTGTGAACTGTATACTGTATGTGCACCTCACTGAACCTCTCTGTTTCTCCCCCCGTCCTCAGCCCCTTGCCCTCCCCAAGACATGCAGACCAAGGTGGGTTGTGGGAACAATACGGTGAGTGTGTCCTGGACCCCCAGCATGGGAGCTCTGATGTACACAGCCACCCTGGAGCACACAGACAGAGAAACCACCTTCTGCACCACTGATGGCACAGGATGTGACATCACACAGCTGCCCTGCGGAGCGATGTACGTCCTGGTGGTGACCGCAGAGGGACGCACCTGTAACACCTCCCAGAGCATGCAGACCTTCGTCAGAACAGGTACACACACACTCACAGACGTTTTTCTATCCTTGTGAGGATCTTGACGAAACACCTACTAACGGAGGACCAACGTATCTATCTCACACATATTAAAACACATACACACACCTCCTAAAATTTACATAAAAAAAACAACATTTAAGTCATTTAGCAGATGCTCTTATCCAGAGCGACTTACAAATTGGTGCATTCAACTTAGGATAGCAACCACTCCCTTTTTTTTTTTTAATGGGGAGGGTGGGGTAGAAGGATTACTGTTATACTATTCCAGGTATTCCTTAAAGATGTAGGGTTTCCAGTGTCTCCGGAAGGTGGTCAGTGACTCCGCTGTCCTGGCGTCGTGTGGGAGCTTGTTCCACCATTGGGGTGCCAGAGCAGCGAATAGCTTTGACTGGGCTGAGCGGGAACTGTGCTTCCGTAGAGGTAGGGGGGCTAGCAGGCCAGAGGTGGATGAACGTAGTGCCCTCATTTGGGTGTAGGGTCTGATCAGAGCCTGAAGGTAAGGAGGTGCCGTTCCCCTCACAGCTCCGTAGGCAAGCACCATGGTTTTGTAGTAGATGCGAGCTTCAACTGGAAGCCAGTGGAGTGTGCGGAGGAGCGGGTGACATGAGAGAACCTGGGAAGGTTGAACACCAGACGGGCTGCAGCGTTCTGGATAAATTGTAGGGGTTTAATGGCACAGGCAGGGAGCCCAGCCAACAGCGAGTTGCAGTAATCCAGACGGGAGATGACAAGTGCCTGGATTAGAACCTGTGCCACTTTCTGTGTAAGGTGGTGTCGTACTCTGCAAAGTCTTTTGCCACTCCACTGTCAGAGCTATTAGAATGTCATTTTGTAGTCAAAACAGTTACATGTCTGACACAGACAGAGTACGTATTAAGAAGTAGTATGGGTACTCAACACTTCATATCCCATTATAAACATCTCTCAGTCAAGACTTTACAGTGTTGCTGAATGAAAGTGACTTTAGTGCTATTCTTCCCCACAGTCCCCTGCACACCCCAGCGTCTGCAGGCTAGTGTGATCTGCAGCAGTAATGTGGCCAATATGACGTGGAACATCAGCCGTGGGGGTCAGCTCTACTCTGTGGAGGCTACCGGCACCGACGGCCACGTTGCAGGATGCATGTCCCATGAGAGCCGCTGTGACCTCACCGGCCTGCACTGTGGCCAGCACTACACCACCACCGTGGTGGCACGAGACAACGACTGCACCAGCCCTGTGAGTGACACCGTGGAGCTTAAGACAGGTGAGCTCACAACACACATATGGGAAAATGTAGCGGCACTTTATAAGCATAGATATTCAGAAACACACACAGCAATGTAACAAAATCCAGCCCATTGCCTCTAAGAATGGTGAACAGTCATACAACACGCATACACTGCAAAGTATACCTTGCACTAAGCCCTTACGTATCACCCTAAACCTAACCATGTCCCTGTCTATCCCTCTACCCCTCCAGTACCCTGCATTCCTGCCCGTGTGTCCACTGTGATGGACTGTGCTGCCAACGCCATGTCTGTGTCGTGGTCTAAGAGCTTGGGGGCTGACTCATACATAGCCACCCTGCAGGACAGCGACGGAAGCTCCATCACCTGCCAGGCCCTGAGTGGAGCAGCCTCCTGTAACGTCACCGCACTCAGCTGTGGTCAGACCTACCATGTCACTGTAGCTGCCTCCGACGGATCCTGCAGCAGCCCATCTACTGATGTTACCGACACACACGCAGGTAGGAAGGGAGTCTTTCACACACATTCCCTCTATCTAGAGGGACCCATACTTAGGTCAGTCTGTAGTCAAACATCCATTTTCCTGAATATCACCAAAGGCTCCATTTTAGGGCCTGTTTTGTTCACCATTTATATCAATGTTATAGGCAAAGCATTGAAAAACTGTAAACTTAACCTATATTACTTGTATTTGCACTAACTTAGTCTACTCTCATCCTCTATCCTTCTCTCTCTCCCACCAGCCCCCTGTGCACCTCGTAACATAGAGACAGTAATGGACTGCGAGGCCCGTGTTGCCATGGTGTCCTGGTCTATGAGTAGCGGGCCTGTGTCCTACGTGGCTACAGCCACCACCCTGTCCGGCCACGCAGTCACCTGTGAGACCAGCAACACCTTCTGTGAGCTGGGAGGCCTGGCCTGCGGAGAGAGCTACTCTGTGTCTGTACAGGCCCAGGGAGAGAGCTGCAGCAGCATGGCTACCATGACAGGACAACTGGTCACTGGTGAGTTGATGCTTCCTCCATGTTACTGTATATCACCCTGATATAAAATACTTTAGAATGTAATGATATATACCGTAACTGCCAAAATAAAGGAAATACCAACATGAAGTGTCTTAATAGGGCATTGGGCCACCACGAGCCAGAACCGCTTCAATGCACCTTGGCTTAGATTCTACATGTGTCTGGAACTCTATTAGAGGGAAGCAACACTATTCTTCCACAAGAAATTCCATCATTTGGTGTTTTGTTGATGGTGCTGGACAACGCTGTAGTGCTGAGCGATTAACTGACATTTGTTATTTTTCGTTTTTTAAACAACTAATTGACCGACGTCAGTTAAATTATTTGAATTCCACTTCGCTCTGTTTTTTTTCAGTGAGCTCGATGTGCAGATCAAGCCTGAACTGTGCGATGTAGTAGAGAGTTGTAGTTTTCAACAGGCTAATATTCTACACAGTTTAGTACAGAAAACGTGGTAATTAACTACAATGACCATAATCCACTGCATGTCCACTTACTGTGATGAGGTGTGAATGAAGGAGTCAGGCGCAGGAGGTAAAACACCAAAGTCCAGAGTTTATTCTGTTTACATATAAAACGCACCAAGCGTCAATACGAAACTATCACAAGGGAAATATTCCACCTTGGCAGTAACAAATGGAAGAGTAGCTCAACCGAGCTACTCGCTCTCACAATGAAACAATTACTCACAAAGACAAGGGGAACAGAGGGAACACTTATACACATACTAATTAGGGGAATGAGCACCAGGTGTGTGTGATTGACAAGACATGACAAGTGGAGTGATGAGAATGGGATCGGCAGTAGCTAGTAAGCCGGTGACGACGAACGCCGAAACCTGCCCGAACAAGGAGGGGAGGCAGCCTCGGCGGTAGTCGTGACAGTACCCCACCCCCTTGACGCGCGGCTCCAGCAGAGCGCCGACCCCGGCCTCGGGGACGGCCAGAAGGACGCGGAGCAAGGCAAGTCGGATGGCAACGGTGGAAATCCCTCAACAGGGAGGGATCGAGGATATCCCTCCTTGGGACCCAGCACCCAGCACCCACATTGGTGCCACGTTGCCAGGACCGGTTGGTAACCCAAAACACATTGGAAGGGTGTTAGGTTAGTAGAGGAGTGGCGGAGAGAGTTCTGAGCGTATTCTGCCCATGGCAGGAACACCAACCACTCCCCCGGCCGGTCCTGACAGTAGGTCCGCAGGAACCTACTCACATCTTGATTCACCCTTTCCACCTGCCCATTACTCTCTGGGTGAAATCCAGAGGTCAGGCTGACCGAGACCCCCAGACGTTCCATGAACACCTTCCAGACTCTCTGGGGACCTCGGTCGGACACTATATCCTCTGGTACCCCGTAGTGCCGGAAGACGTGAGTAAACCGAGCCTCCGCAGATTGTAGGGCCGTGGGGAGACCGGGCAGAGGAAGGAGGCGGCATGACTTCGAAAAGCGATCCACAACGACCAGGATAGTGGTGTTACCTTGGGAGAGGGGAAGAGCAGTAAGAAAATCAATACTAAGGTGGGACCATGGTCGTTGTGGAACTGGTAAAGGTTGTAGCTTACCCGCTGGGAGGTGCCTAGGTGCCTTACTCTGGGCACACACTGAGCAGGAGGAATACTACCGGCGCCACAATGCATGAGGCCAGGAGTATGGGGGTATTGTCTCTGGGCCTCTCCTCTGTGTCATACAGCCGAGACAGTGCGTCTGCCTTAACGTTCTTCGTACCCGGGATGTATGATAGAGTGAAATCAAACTGGGTGAAGAATAGGGCCCACCTGGCCTGGCGAGGATTCAGCCTCCTCGCTACCCGAATGTACTCCAGGTTACGGTAGTCTGTCCAGACGAGGAAAGGGTGTTTCGCCCCTTCGAGCCAATGCCTCCACACCATCAACGCTTGGACAACAGCCAGCAGCTCCCGATCACCAACACCGTAGTTCTGCTCTGCCTAGCTGAGCTTCTTCGAAAAGAAGGCACAGGGGCGGAGCTTGGGTGGCGTGCCCGAGCGTTGGGATAAGACAGCGCCTATCCCTACCTCGGACGCATCCACCTCCACTACCAACGGTAGTGATGAATCGGGGTGAGCCAGTACCGGGGCTGAGGTGAACAGACCCCGCAATCTACTGAAGGCCAAATCAGCCTCAGCAGACCAGCGGAGCCGGGACGGCCCACCCTTCAACAAGGAGGTAATGGGAGCTGCGACCTTGCCAAAGCCCTGAATAAACCTCTGATAGTAGTTGGCAAAGCCAAGGAAGCGCTGCACCTCCTTCACCGTGGTTGGAGTCGGCCAATTACGCACGGCTGAAATGCGATTTCCCTCCATCTCCACACCTGTGGTAGTAATGCGGTATCCGAGGAAGGAGATTGACTGCTGGAAAAACTCTCACACTTCTCAGCCTTGGCATAAAGATAATTCTCCAGCAGTCGGACCAGTACCTTGCGAACCAGGGACACATGCTCGGCGCGTGTAGCGGAATACACCAGGATGTCATCGATGTAGACCACCACACCGCGACCAAGCATGTCCCGAAACAACTTGTTCACAAAGGACTGGAAAATGGATGGAGCATTCATCAAACCGTAGGGCATCACCAGGTATTCATAATCCCCCGAGGTTGTGCTGAATGCGGTTTTCCACTCATCCCCTTCCCGAATACGCACCAGGTTGTAGGCACTCCTGAGGTCTAATTTGGTGAAAAAACGGGCCCCATGCATTGACACAATCACTGAAGGAATGACGAGAAGAGGATAACTAAATCGTACAGTCACCTTATTCAGTGGTCGATAATCAATGCACGGGCGTAAACCGCCATCTTTCTTCATCACAAAGAAGAAACTCGAGGAAGCAGGTGAAGTGGAGGGACGTATATACCCCTGGCGCAGGGACTCTGTGACGTATGTTTCCATAGCCTCTGTTTCAGCCTGTGACAGAGGATACACATGACTCCTGGGAGATACAGCATCTACCCGAAGGTTTATCGCGCAATCCCCCTCCCGATGAGGTGGTAATTTAGTCGCTTGCGTCTTGGAAAACGCGAGTGCCAGATCATGGTATTCGGGGGGAATGCGCACGGTGGGGGTGCCGTCTGGACTTTCCACCGTGGTTGCACCAACGGAAAAACCTAGACACCTACCCGGACACTCACGCGACGACCCCGTAAGAACCCTCTACTCTGATGGGGAGTGGAATGGATAGGGGAACCAATTAAATGCCTTGACGTCGTGCAAATGCCCTGTCCATAAAGTTCCCAGCTGCGCCTGAATCGACTAGCGCCTTACACTGGGGAAACTACCAGGTGATTGGGAAAGGAGATAGATAAGGTACAGTGCGCCGCAAAGGGCTCTGAACAATTTTGGGTGTTCGTTACCTGGGGTGATGCGTGAGTACCCTGCCTACCGCCTCCAGACCCAAAAGAACGTTGACTGCGATGTGAGGTGGAATGTCCCTTCGTTCCACCAGAGTGGCACTGTCACTGTCCTCCTGCGCTCTCTCGACCGGCGGCTCCCCCCAGCTCCATCTGCTCAGGGTCAGAGTCGTCCGGAGTGGGAACGGGCAGACCCCTACCAGGATGTCCTCTGGCTGCTAGCAGATTGTCCAGCCGGATGGCCATGTCCACCAGTTGGGAGAACGATTGCATGGCATCACGGCAGGCTAGCTCCCGTCGGACGTCCTCCCTTAGGTGGCACCGGAAATGGTCGATCAGGGCCCGCTCGTTCCACCCGGACCCCGCTGCCAGCGTCCGGACCTCCAGCGCGTAGTCCTGAGCGGTCCTCGTCCCCTGCCTCAGATGGACCAGTAGTTCGCCCGCCTCTCGACCCTCAGGCAGGTGATCAAAAACGGCCCGAAAGAGGTGAGCAAACTCTCCGTAGTTCTCCAACGCGGCACCTCCCTCGTTCCACACCGCGTTGGCCCACTCCAGGGCTCTCCCACAAAGGCAGGAAACGAGGACGGATACCTTCTCCCGCTCCAGTGGCGCCGGCCTGATGCTGGAGAAATACAACTCTAGTTGGAGCAGAAATCCCTTACATCGCACTGCCGTCCCATCAAACGCCGGTGGTCGGAATATCTGGATCCCTCCAGGGGCTGGGGTGTAGGTGGCTGGATCCAGTTGACCAGCTGGTCTCGATAGATCGGGTCCTCTCCTCTCCAGGCGTTGTACGACCTGAAGAACCCGATCCATCGCTTCCACCAAGCTGGCCAGCATCGAGGAATGCTCCTGGACCCTTGCCACAACTCCAGGCATGCGTTCTTCTCCTGCTGACTCCATTCAGCGGGTGAGTGATTCTGTGATGAGGTGTGAATGAAGGAGTCAGGCGCAGGAGGTAAAACACAGAAGTCCAGAGTTTATTCCGTTTACATATATAAAACGCACCCAGCGTCAATACGAAACTATCACAAGGGAAATATTCCACCTTGGCAATAGCAAATGGAAGAGTATACTTGCTCTCACAATGAAAAAATCACTCACAAAGACAAGGGGAACACTTATACACATACTAATTAGGGGAATGAGCACCAGGTGTGTGTGATTGACAAGACAAGACATGACAAGTGGAGTGATGAGAATGGGATCGGCAGTAGCTAGTAAGCCGCTGACGACGAATGCCGAAACCTGCCCGAACAAGGAGGGGAGGCAGCCTCGGCGGAAGTCGTGACACTTACACTTGTCTGTGCGGAGCAGACACGGAGACTGAGAGAAGAAAGAACGCATGATCGAGAGGGAAAGAAAGCAGTTGCTTCACAAGTGATTGATCGTTGGTATTCAGCAGTCATAAAAGTATGTCTTATTTACTTAGAAGAACTACTAAAATAGTGATTTTGGCAGACAGCATAAGCAGCAGCTCTATAGAGATGAGATGATGACTTGGAATTAAATAATAAAGTCATCAGATAAAACAAATGTAATATACAGAACAATTAATATTTTATTAAAGTAAAGTAATGTGAATAAATGATGGTTGATAAGTGCTAAGCAGTAATGGGCAGTCACTGCCATCATGGGACTTTTGTTTTATTCAGTGTTGTTCCAGCATTCAACCCACATAATGCATAGTGCATTTAATGTCTAAAAGAAACATTGAAACCAAAATCGATAAAAGTGATAAAAAATATAAATAATCAAACCGAAACCGAACCGACCTCAAAAATCACTAATCGCTCAGCACTAAAACACTGTCTCAGGCACCACTCCAGAATCTCCCATAAGTGTTTAATTGGGTTGAGATATGGTGACTGAGACGGCCATGGCATATGGTTCACATAATTTTCATGCTCATCAAACCATTCAGTGACCACTCGTGCCCTGTGGATGGAGGCATTGTCATCCTATGGGGGCATAATAATAATAATATAATATGCCATTTAGCAGACGCTTTTATCCAAAGCGACTTACAGTCGTGCGTGCATACATTTTTGTGTATGGGTGGTCCCGGGGATCGAACCCACTACCTTGGCGTTACAAGCGCCGTGCTCTACCAGCTGAGCTACAGAGGACCACGTGGCATAGCCATGGTAGCCAAAATAATGGGCTGCCCAGCATTTTTATATATGACCCTAAGCATGATGGGAAGTTAATTGCTTAATTAACTCAGGAACCACACCTGTGTAGAAGCAACTGCTTTCAATATACTTTGTATCCCTCATTTACTCAAGTGTTTCCATTATTTTGCCAGTTACCTGTACACTAAACCTTCTACATGTGGTATAATATTGCAATTAGATCTATGCGATGGGACCTCCCCGCTCCCCAGTCTAACCTATCCTGTCTGTTCTCAGAGCCCTGTGTGCCTATCCACCTGAGTGCTGAGTACAGCCTAACCATAGGCCAGGTGTTGTGGGACGTGAGTCAGGGTGCTACCCTGTACAGCGCTGAGGCAGTGACGGAGGAGGGTCACCCTATTAGCTGCAGCACCAGCGACACCTACTGTCCCCTCTACAACATGGCCTGTAGCCAGGTGTACAACATCACTGTCACTGCACACAACAACGTCTGCCAAGGCGTGGCTACGTCCAAGTCTATCAACCTCAAGACAGGTGAGTCCCTCTCACCTAGCAATGCACGGCACATAATAATGTATCATTGCCCTCCCATAATATCCCACCCATCTAGAATAACACAAAGAACAGTATAATGTACTGTACCACTGTGGCTACTGGATACACTCCAATACCAATTGCACTCATATCTTCATATCATATTTTCATTTGAAACAATAGTTAGAAGTTTATCGAAGCAGCCACACCATCTGCACCGTTAACCATGTGTGTCCCTTGTGTGTTTCAGAGCCCTGTCCTCCCAACAATGTGGAGACAAGTGTTGACTGCGAGACTGGAACAGGTGCTATTTCCTGGGAGATGAGCGTTGGGGCATTGGGATACATGGCGCTCTTCAACGAACAAAATGGAGCCTCTCTGTCCTGCCACACCATGGCACACCACACTTCCTGTAGTGTAGAGGGACTGAACTGTGGCACAGTTTACTACGCCCGCGTCAGAGCCCTGGGAGAGACACTTAATAGCACCGACTCTACCACTGTTCTGCTGGCCTCAGGTCAGTAACATAGCAAGGAAACATTCCTTTAGTGGTGAGTACAGTAACACATCTGAGATCAGGGACCGTATGTTTCAAGCATCTGCTGATTTAGGATTAGGTCCCTCGTGTCCATATAATCTTATTGATTATGATCTAAAAAGGCCAAACTGATCTTAGATCAGTACTCTGAAACACTTGATACATAAAGCCCCAGTGCAATTGCCATTAAGAAAATCCACTGGATATAGTAGACAATAGAAAAAAATATAAAGTACTAAGTGAGTTCCTCCCTTCCCTGTCTCCAGCTCCCTGTGTCCCCGCCAGCGTGAAGGCAGAGGTGGACTGTGATAACGACTCGGCCCTGGTGACCTGGGGCTGGAGCGATGGAGCCCAGTCCTACATCCTCACTGCCATGGGCAGCGACGGGCACGAGGCCTCCTGCCACACAGAGGAGAACTACTGCAACATGACCGAGCTGGTCTGCGGTCAGGACTACGACCTCACCCTGACCACCATCAACCACAACTGCCAGGTGGAGACCATGACTGGGGTCAGCTTCAGCACACGTGAGTAGAGCGCAGAGACACAGGATCCTCAAACACTATTTATAAATAGCTGATTATTGAGGAAAGTTTTTTTTTTTTTTTTACTTGCAATGACTGTGATATATGTTGTTGTTTATCTACCTTAGTTGAATGCACTGACTGTAAGTCGCTCTGGATAAGAGCGTCTACTAAAATACCAAAATGTTAATTTAAAAAATAGAGTTGTGGGCACTAAATAATTTGGCTGTGTCACAGAATTGGCAGAACAATTGCCGGATACATGTGCAACACAGTGCTCTAGCATCTACAGCGATAGTGTGTCACAGAAACCTGTACTACGGTGCAGTTCTTTAGTGCCCGCAACTGTAATGCCTGTAAGGTCATGTAAATAAGTTCAACTACTGTACAAACTCTCACATGGTCTGTATACCGACTCAATCTGACCTCTGACCCTTAGGTCCCTGTGCCCCCCTGCATGTGGGAGTGGACCTGCAGTGTGGGACCCACACTGCCACCTTGTCCTGGGAGCAGAGAGAAGGGCTGCAGTTCTACGTGGCTAGCGCCACCTCCAGGGCTGGAGGATCTACTGGGTACTGCAACACCAGCAGGTCTAGCTGCCAGTTCCCTGCTCTGGACTGTGGGGAGACCTACAGCTTCACTGTGACCGCCCACAGCAGCCTGTGTCAGAGTGAACTCAGCAGCACTGTCGTGATCAAGACAGGTAAGACTTTTCTCTTGGTCCTTCTATGTCAATCTACCTGTCAATCCCCTACACTTCTACAATCTCTCACTGTTGTCATGTCCCTCTTGTATGTGCCTTATGTTGCACAATTCTGTGTACGTTTGATCAATTACCCCCCTCCCAGTGCTGACAATTCTATGATCAAAGAACAAAAGGTACATCAATTTATGTAGCATAATTGTTCATGCTATCAACAATTCTAAATTCAATTCAATAAAGTCACCAAACCAAAACTTCCCCTTTACCTCCGTAGAACCTTGCCAGCCAGACCAGGTGACAGCTACAGGGCCTTGTGACAGTGAGACAACGGTGGTTGTGGCGTGGGCCGAGGCCGAGGGGGCGGCGGTCTACGTGGTGACGGCCATGGGAGACCTGGGATACATGACAGCGTTCCAGACCAATGACAGCAGCCTGGAGGCGGAGCTGCCCTGCGGACAGACCTACAGCTTCACTGTGATTGGCCAGGACGAAAGTTGTGATAGTCCAATCAGTGATGCTGCAGAGTTCAGGACTGGTACGTGGAGATATTTTATTACTTCACAGAAATACACTCCTTATGTTTAGTGTTAAGTAAAGCAGGCTACGTATAATCTACTATCATGCTATGCATCTCATGATCTAGCCTATGTCTGTGCAGGTGCACAGCTCAATTCAGTGTCTCCATGTGTGGGTCTTGATTATGGAAGCAGATTCATGCCAAAACAAATCCTTTGCATGAATCTGTTTACATCCCCTGTCTCCTCCTCCAGCTATGACAGTCTGTTGTCTAGGGCCAGGCTATATCAGTGTAGTGGATTGACTGTTGTGTTTATGTCCCCAGCCCCCTGTGTGCCCCAGCATGTGGAGAGCTACACTGTGTGTGAGAACAGCCTGGGCTCAGTGAGCTGGGCCGAGAGCGAAGGGGCGGAGTCCTACACCGCTGTCGCCGTCGGAACAGACGGCCACACCCACATGTGCACCACCAACTCTACCAGCTGCACCTGGGAGGACCTGCACTGTGGAGACCTCTACACCATCCACGTCATCTCCAACGACTACCTGTGCAGTAGCTCCCCTAGCAACAGCACCACCGTACGCACAGGTAGCCACTACACACCTGCTGGTTCCACACACACATACTCCTACTCACAGTCATACCATTGTCCCAGTTACCTCTTCTCTGTGGCACAGTTTTACCCACGTCTCCCCCAGTGCCCAAATATTCATCCTGTTGGTGTTTAACTGACTTGGTTGTTATCTTCCACAGCGCCCTGCGTGCCTCAGAACCTGGTGCCCACTCTGGACTGTGGCAGGAGGGTTGGCTCCCTGACCTGGGACCTGAGCCACGGTGCAGACTTCTACATGGTGACTGCAGAGACCAACGCCGGCCACAAGGTGGAGCTGAGCACCAATGACACCAACGCTTACATCTCGGAGTTCCAGTGTGGTCAGGAGTACTTCCTGTCTGTCCAGGCGGTGGATTCAGAGTGCAGGAGCGCACCCAGCCCCCCTGCAACACTCAGGACAGGTACATAACATCACACCCACCCACCCTGCAACACTCAGGACAGGTACATAACATCACACCCACCCCCCCTGCAACACTCAGGACAGGTACATAATATCACATCACACCCACCCCCCCTGCAACACTCAGGACAGGTACATAATATCACCCCCACCCCCCCTGCAACACTCAGGACAGGTACATAACATCACACCCACCCCCCCTGCAACACTCAGGACAGGTACATAATATCACACCCACCCCCCCTGCAACACTCAGGACAGGTACATAATATCACACCCACCCCCCCCTGCAACACTCAGGACAGGTACATAACATCACACCCACCCCCCCTGCAACACTCAGGACAGGTACATAATATCACACCCACCCCCCCTGCAACACTCAGGACAGGTACATAACATCACACCCACCCCCCCTGCAACACTCAGGACAGGTACATAACATCACACCCACCCCCCTGCAACACTCAGGACAGGTACATAATATCACACCCACCCCCCCTGCAACACTCAGGACAGGTACATAACATCACACCCACCCACCCTGCAACACTCAGGACAGGTACATAACATCACACCCACCCCCCCTGCAACACTCAGGACAGGTACATAATATCACACCCACCCCCTCTGCAACACTCAGGACAGGTACATAATATCACACCCAACCCCCCTGCAACACTCAGGACATGTACATAACATCACACCCACCCCCCCTGCAACACTCAGGACAGGTACATAACATCACACCCACCCCCCCTGCAACACTCAGGACAGGTACATAATATCACACCCACCCCCCCTGCAACACTCAGGACAGGTACATAATATCACACCCACCCCCCCTGCAACACTCAGGACAGGTACATAACATCACACCTACCCCCCCTGCAACACTCAGGACAGGTACATAATATCACACCCACCCCACCCTGCAACACTCAGGACAGGTACATAATATCACACCCACCCCCCCTGCAACACTCAGGACAGGTACATAACATCACACCCACCCCCCCTGCAACACTCAGGACAGGTACATAATATCACACCCACCCCCCCTGCAACACTCAGGACAGGTACATAACATCACACCCACCCCCCCTGCAACAATCAGGACAGGTACATAACATCACACCCACCCCCCCTGCAACAATCAGGACAGGTACATAATATCACACCCACCCCCCCTGCATCAATCAGGACAGGTACATAACATCACACCCACCCCCCCTGCAACACTCAGGACAGGTACATAACATCACATCACACCCACCCCCCCTGCAACAATCAGGACAGGTACATAACACCACACCCACCCCCCCTGCAACACTCAGGACAGGTACATAACATCACACCCAGCCCACCTGCACAACAGATGTCATACATACACTCTGTGTAGACCAATGAGTTACAGACCGGTACTGTGACAGGTGCTACACTGTTATTTAGCACACCAGTATACCCATAAACAAACGCAGGTTGCCATTTATTGGGATGAATCTTGTCCTGGAAGCAGCTCTGCAGGGTGGTCACTAGCTGGCCTAGCCACAAAGTCATAAACCTAACCCTAAACGTAACCACAGAGCTAACCTTATGCCTAACCCTAAATTAAGAACAAAAAGCACATTTTTGTTTTCATGGATTTTTTACAATATAGCCAATTTTGACTTTGTGGCTGGCCCATCAAGCGGAAACCGCTCAGCTCTGACTCCAGAACAATATTAATCCCAATAAATGTCAACCTGCTAAACAAACATGTCCACTTTCACCAAGCACACCTGTATGCCTTCTTAAAGATTTTAATCTGTGCGTATTCTTTTCATCTTCCCTCCTTCAGAGCCCTGCACTCCCACCTCCATCTCTAGCGCAATGGACTGTCTCTCCAACATCGCCGTGGTAATGTGGGCAGTGTCCGAGGGCGGAGCCGAGTACTACACTGCCACGGTGGAACACGAGGACGGCCAATCAAAGAGCTGCATGTCGTCCAGCTTCCAGTGCGGCATGCCCAACCTGCGCTGTGGCCAGAATTATACCGTTACCGTCACCGCATCCAACCAACACTGTCACTCCGACCCCAGTGTCGTCAACACCCTGACCACAGGTGAGACAGACCACCAGACACTTCAACAGAAGAGAGAGAGACCAGACTAGCACAAGAGAGGTCCTTGCACCACTAACTAACAAACAGACCATGCTAACCCGTGATAGAAATAAACATGTCAGAAATAAACATATCACATATGGACCAGAGACCAGAGACCAGGCAGGGTACAGAGGTCTCTGAATCCACATCCAAAGGCTACCAAAACGCAAATTTTCCCTCTGAAAAGATGAACCCTTCTCGGTCCATCTCCACAGTTCCCTGTGTCCCTACCCATGTTGTGGCCGTGATGGACTGTTCTGACAACACAGCCGCAGTGACCTGGAGCCCCAGCCAAGGCGCGCTGTCCTACAGAGCCATGGCTCAGAGCCCCCGCGGCCTCGACTCCTCCTGCGAGAGCGCTGACCCACAATGCACCCTGGCCAACCTGATCTGCGGAGTGCCCTACACCGTGCAGGTGGTGGCGGTGGACGAGAGCTGCTCCAGCCTGCCCAGCCACATGGCAGAGTTCCAGACAGGTGAGATACTGTACACACCTGGTAGTACCTGTACACACCTGGTAGTACCTGTACACACCTGGTAGTACCTGTACACACCTGGTGGTACCTGTACACACCTGGTAGTACCTGTACACACCTGGTAGTACCTGTACACTGTGTACACAGTCAGATCACAGAGCACATAGTAGCTCTAACTGTACTCTACAACAGGTCAAACAGCCCAGGTTGATACTGTAGAAATTCAGACTGAAGGAAATATCACCTCATCTCACCTAAACACCTTCTATATAATTCTCTAATTTCCGGTAGGTCTTCCACACTCTAGTGTCTACCAGTGTACCATTCTCCCTGTATCACTTTCCCACTCATTCGAACGCTCCTCTCCCCTGCAGTCCCCTGTACCCCTGAGATCACTGCGGTCCTCCTGGACTGCTACACAGACTCAGCTCTGCTGGAGTGGGCCTACGCTGAGGGAGCTGTGTCCTACACCGCCACGGCCCAATCCGGGCATGAATTTACAGCCACCTGCAACACAAACCACACCAACTGTGAACTTATGGAGCTAGCCTGTGGACAGACATTCACTGTCACCTTGAGGGCATCTGATGGCCAGTGTGACAGCTTCCAGAGCCCCAGCGTGGAAGTGTCATCAGGTGAGTTAACTATACTAGACACAACAAGTGTCTCATTATATAATGCAGATGCCAGAAGGAGACAATTATGCGAGAGATATCACTGATACAGCATACTGTAATAACTGATCGGCATCGAGTTGAAAATTATTAGTATATTCCTCATCCCCTATTGATAGCATACAGTTCTCATTTCAAGTGAACGCATCATAAAAGTTAACGTTAGCAATGTGATTAATGGTCTCTCTCTCTCCTCCTCTCCTCTCCCTTCCCAGTCCCCTGTCCTCCCCAGGCTGTTGTATCGCAGCTGGACTGTTTAGCTAACTCAGCCCGTGTTGAGTGGGAGGCCAGCAGTGGAGCAGACTCCTACACCGTCCAGGCTACGAGCATGGAGGGAGACGTGACCATCTGCGAGACCGACGGAAACGTCTGTTCCGTATCGGACCTCATCTGCGGCTCCATCTACAACATCAGTGTCATCGCCGTAAGCAACGAGTGCAACGTATCAGAGAGCGCCATCATACAGATGCAGACAGGTTAGTCCCGCCCCTGATGATAACCCACCCTCTCCTGTGACCTGTCACCCTCTCATTCCAACTGTGTGTATTTATACTGGATGTGTATGGTCTGTGTAACTGTATACTCGCTCTCCCTCTCTCAGTGCCCTGTGTACCTGAGCAGTTGGAGGCCAATGTGGACTGTGACTCTGGCTCTGTGTCTGTCTCTTGGGAGCCTAGCAACGGTGCCACCTCCTACACAGCTGTTGCCCAGGGCAACGGTGGCTACGGGTCATCATGCAACAGCAGCGACACCTCTTGCCAGTTCCCTGAGCTGCTGTGTGGCCTGTCCTACAGCATCACCGTCCAAGCCTCTGACGATGTGTGTAACAGCGCAGACAGCAGTGCCGTACAACTCAACACATGTAGGTCATCACTCTACCTCTACATGTAGCATTTAGTGCACCTGGACACAGATTCATTATAATAGAGAACAGCTGGACACACCTACTGGTGGGTAACTTAATGTAGCCAGACACTCAGCTTCAATGCAATTGATTGAATGTTTGAGCAACGTTTGGGCAGCAAGCTGCCATTGTTAGGGTTTCGTCTGGGTCCTCACACACCACAGATGATTGACCCAGTATTTCCAGAGCCCTATATTCCCCTCTAACTGGGTGTGTTTTCTGCAGGAGATTCCTTTCTAACCTCTAACGGTTTCTCTGTGTGCAGTGCTCTGTGAGCCCCAGAATGTCAGTGCTAAGATGGAGTGTGGCAGCAACGCTGGCCTGGTGTCATGGGAACAGGGAGAGTTTGTGTCTTCCTACTTGGTGCGTGCGGTCGGCCCCGACGGCCACTGGACCCAGTGTGCCAGCAACGCCACCAGCTGCAGACTACCCAGGATGCACTGTGGCCAACGCTACAACCTAACCGTCACAGCCCAGGATGGGAGGTGTGACAACAGTAACGCATACCTCACCCTGCAGTCTGGTAGGTTATTGATTGATTGACTGATTGATTGATGAAACTATCAGTGTCCATTAACCAAAAGATGCCACAATACACAAGAGTACATCAGAATACGAAGACAATTCAAATGTTCTTACATTCTCTCTCTCTTTTCAGTCCCCTGTAACCCCACCAATGTGCAGGCATCCCTTCAGTGCCTCTCTAACTCTGCGGTGGTGACATGGGAGCAGGCCAGCGGCGCGGTGTTGTACCAGGCTGTTGGTACAACAGATGGAGGTCACCAAGCGATGTGTAACAACAGTCAGACACACTGTGTCCTGAGCGGCCTGCAGTGTGGACAGACCTACAACGTCACTGTGGTCTCTGAGGACGACACCTGCAGCAGCGTAGACAGTGACACGGCACACGTCAGAACAGGTAAAGGGAGAAGTGACCTCTACAGATTGGTGACCTCTAGTGACACGGCACACGTCAGAACAGGTAAAGGGAGAAGTGACCCCCTTATATCAGATTGGAGTTCTCCTTATTCAATCTTGTTCTGAGGGCAGCTCTGCCTTGATGCAGAAACAAATGTGACTCCACTATAGGCATCCAAACCTCCCGTTGTAAGAATGCTATTCCTATGATTATCACTAGCCTCCTCCTCTCTCTCCTCACAGCTCCCTGCCCTTCCCAGGACGTGGCTGTGGATGTACAGTGTGCTGCCGGCTCCATGATGGTCACATGGAGAGCCAACCCCAACGCCGAATCCTTCCATGTGACGGCTGTGACCAGCAGCTCCGCCGACCTGTCATGTGACTCCAGGGGTCATCCAATAAGAACCGGGTGTTCCATTGAGAACCTTCCGTGTGGAAACAGCTACAGCGTCACGGTTACCTCCATCAGAGGTGGCTGTAATAGCAAAGTCAGTGCCGCCGTAGCGGTGTCCTCAGGTAAGACCAGACCACAGGTGACCCCCGCACTGCATTCATAGGGTGTTAGACACACACTGTCTCCAGGAGGAACGAGATTATTCCATCCACACCTGTTGTGTAGAACAGAACGGAAAGAAACACTCATTTTTATGCGTGTGCTTTTCCCTTTTCTCCATGGAAGTAGAAAAGTAGAACAGTGGAACAGTAGAACAGTAGAACAGCAAAACCATAGAACAGTACCATAAAAACCTTTCTTGCTCTCCTTCCACAGCTCCATGTGTCCCCCAGAATGCTAAAGGTAGTCTGGACTGTATTACTAACTCTGTCTGGGTGTCTTGGGATGCCTCCAGCGGGGCTCAGACATACACAGTCATGGCCAACGGCGGCGGAGGTGTCAACTCCACCTGCACTTCTTCTTCTACTACCTGTAATGTGCCTGACCTGGCCTGCGGAACCCAGTACACCTTCCATGTGACTGCTGTCAACACACACTGCCAGAGCTCACCCAGTAAGACCTTCCAGATCGAGACAGGTACGTTACATACTGCCAGAGCTCACCCAGTAATACCTTCCAGATCGAGACAGGTACGTTACATACTGCCAGAGCTCACCCAGTAATACCTTCCAGATCGAGACAGGTACGTTACACACTGCCAGAGCTCACCCAGTAATACCTTCCAGATCGAGACAGGTACGTTACATACTGCCATAGCTCACCCAGTAATACCTTCCAGATCGAGACAGGTACGTTACACACTGCCAGAGCTCACCCAGTAATACCTTCCAGATCGAGACAGGTACGTTACATACTGCCAGAGCTCACCCAGTAATACCTTCCAGATCGAGACAGGTACGTTACACACTGCCAGAGCTCACCCAGTAATACCTTCCAGATCGAGACAGGTACGTTACATACTGCCAGAGCTCACCCAGTAATACCTTCCAGATCGAGACAGGTACGTTACACACTGCCAGAGCTCACCCAGTAATACCTTCCAGATCGAGACAGGTACGTTACATACTGCCAGAGCTCACCCAGTAATACCTTCCAGATCGAGACAGGTACGTTACACACTGCCAGAGCTCACCCAGTAATACCTTCCAGATCGAGACAGGTACGTTACATACTGCCAGAGCTCACCCAGTAATACCTTCCAGATCGAGACAGGTACGTTACACACTGCCAGAGCTCACCCAGTAATACCTTCCAGATCGAGACAGGTACGTTACATACTGCCAGAGCTCACCCAGTAATACCTTCCAGATCGAGACAGGTACGTTACATACTGCCAGAGCTCACCCAGTAATACCTTCCAGATCGAGACAGGTACGTTACACACTGCCAGAGCTCACCCAGTAATACCTTCCAGATCGAGACAGGTACGTTACATACTGCCAGAGCTCACCCAGTAATACCTTCCAGATCGAGACAGGTACGTTACATACTGCCATAGCTCACCCAGTAATACCTTCCAGATCGAGACAGGTACGTTACATACTGCCATTGCTCACCCAGTAATACCTTCCAGATCGAGACAGGTACGTTACATACTAACTTATGATTTTGTGCTCAGACTCAGGTGCAAATCAAATTCCGTTCAGTTCAAGGGCAATAAAATATTCATTTATAAATGTCCTCACAGTACTCTTAACTGTCCTATCTCCAGACTGTTCTCTGGCGGTGTACCGTCTGTGACTCTATAAATGAACTACCTTTCTTCTCTTCAGGTCCTTGCGCCCTGAAAACCATCACCGCGGTGACCACATGCCATAGCAGCAGTATCGTGGTTAGCTGGGAGAATACAGAGTTATCTCCAACCATCGTGGCGACGGCAGAGGGACAAGACCAATCCATGTTCACCTGTAACAGCACGTCCACTTCCTGTGAGCTTACGGGAGTGCGCTGCGGCATGCACTACACCATCATCGTCTCCGTCCCCGCCGACAAGTGCAGCACCTTGAGGAGCCCACCCCAAAATATCAACACAGGTAGCTAGACCACTCCACCACTAGGACACCTTACTAATGGTCAACACAGGTAGCTAGACCACTCCACCACTAGGACACCTTACACATGGTCAACACAGGTAGCTAGACCACTCCACCACTAGGACACCTTACACATGGTCAACACAGGTAGCTAGACCACTCCATTACTAGGACACCTTACTAATGGTTAACACAGGTAGCTAGACCACTCCACCACTAGGACACCTTACACATGGTCAACACAGGTAGCTAGACCACTCCACCACTAGGACACCTTACACATGGTCAACACAGGTAGCTAGACCACTCCATTACTAGGACACCTTACTAATGGTTAACACAGGTAGCTAGACCACTCCATTACTAGGACACCTTACACATGGTCAACACAGGTAGCTAGACCACTCCACCACTAGGACACCTTACTAATGGTCAACACAGGTAGCTAGACCACTCCATTACTAGGACACCTTACACATGGTCAACACAGGTAGCTAGACCACTCCACCACTAGGACACCTTACACATGGTCAACACAGGTAGCTAGACCACTCCATTACTAGGACACCTTACTAATGGTTAACACAGGTAGCTAGACCACTCCACCACTAGGACACCTTACTAATGGTTAACACAGGTAGCTAGACCACTCCATTACTAGGACACCTTACACATGGTCAACACAGGTAGCTAGACCACTCCATTACTAGGACACCTTACTCATGGTTAACACAGGTAGCTAGACCACTCCACCACTAGGACACCTTACACATGGTCAACACAGGTAGCTAGACCACTCCATTACTAGGACACCTTACACATGGTCAACACAGGTAGCTAGACCACTCCACCACGATAGAAGAATCAACACAGGAAGCTACTACCTTGAGTACTCCACTACGACAATAGGACATATTAGGACACATTACTCATGGTCAACACAGGTAGTTAAAAGTGCCCCACCACTATATTGCGACGCATAAAGATACATTACTCATGGTTAACACGAAACAGAACAAAATAAAGCAAACAACGATTGTAATCAATACTGATCAACACACAAAGTGCTCTACACCAGAAATACTACAGAGAGACTGTATTACTGAGGGGGTTGCTACTAGCTATCCCAATATCCTGACACTTTCCCTCTAACCTCTGCCTCTAGCTCCCTGTGTCCCTGAGGATGTGACAGTGGTAGCGTCCTGCGAGGCAGAAGGTACCGTGGTGTCCTGGGCTCACTCCTTGGTGGCCCAGTCCTACCTCCTCACCGCCACCGGCCGAGGCGGTGACATCCGCACCTGTAACAGCTCTGTGAACAACTGTACCCTGGCCAAGCTCCACTGTGGTCAGCCCTACACAATCAGCGTGACCGCCAGCACCAGCACCTGCACCAGCCAAGCCAGCCCCGACGTCACCTTCAGCACAGGTACAGGGACATTATGATACAGCAGGTAGCAGTACAGTATTCTCTGTTCGGTATATACAGTATACAAGAACATGGATCGAAGGGAACATTTTGTTCGAAGGATCAGACAATTTACATCAAATACCCAATCATTCGATCCAAATGTTCCTTTGATGCACTTCTCATCAAGTACACCATCCCTCCTTTTTCATTGAGTAAAATATAATGTAGAGGTCATCTGTAACATAACGTTGCTGTTATATTCAAGTAACCATTGCTGTAACATTGCATCTCTTCTCTCCTCCCAGTGCCCTGTGACCCCATTGGCCTGTCCATTCATGTCCAGTGTAAGACTAACTCAGGCGTGCTGTCCTGGTCCCCCAGCCAGGGCTCTGTGGGGTACTACGGCTTTGCCCAGTCTGAGGATGGGGACATGCTGTACTGTGACAGTATGGACACCTCCTGCACCATCCAGGGTCTGGACTGTGGAGCCATGTACAACTTCTCTGTGCTGGCCTCTGATGGAACCTGCAACAGCTCGTACAGCCAACCCCTGCTTGAGGGAGCAGGTAATAACCCATCCAGTTCTTTGAGATAGAGATGGTTGAGGAGTAGAGTTAGTGAATTAATGACATCAGGAGGACAGGGAACACTGCATACAGGACAATGTAATAAAACTGTCTAATCAGATACTGGTTAACTAATATAGAGATGAATGCAATAGTATAGATTATAATGACGTGTACCATCTTGATTTCTTCTCCCTATCCTTTCTAACCTCCTTCCTCTCTCCCCCTAGCCCCCTGCGCCCCTGCCACCGTGCGTAACCGCATGCAACTGATTGGCAAGACCCACTTTGCCCGTACCTCCTGGAGTGCGGTCGTCTGCCCCAATGTCGAGTACCTGGTTGAGATTACCGGCAGTATCCTGGATGACCCGCAGGTCATATTCGAGGTCTCGTCCTATTGGACAAAGTACACCTTCTTTGAGTTGGCCCTGTCCTGTGGCTCCTCCTACAGTCTGACGGTCCGTACCAGGAACTCTGCCGGAACCAGCGAGCCCTCCACCCCCGTTACCGGGACAACAGGTATGTTAACTAAACATGGAGCCATAAGGGTTTGAATGTGGAAACTGATTTAATATTATAATGGAAATGCTAATGATCAGCAATGCTACTGATCTGCAATGCTACTGAATTCAGTCAATCTATTCTGAGGGCAATGTGACCTTAGTCTATAAAAAGGGAGTGACAGTTTTGGCTGGGAAGTAACTTCTGCCCTGAGGTGGGGGATGATCCTAAGAGTAGGGCTGAGGGATGTTTATTCCAGAGCTGACATTACTAAACCAACCCTTTCCCTTCCAGCGCCCTGCGCACCTCTGGCCGTGAGCTACACCGGTGCCGTGCTGTCCTGGGAGGCTGCAGTGTTCGCCACACAGTACACCGTCTACAACCTGACTGGAGCCGGCCGAACGCAGGTGTGTTCCACCACGGAACTGTCCTGTCAGCTTAACAACGTCCAGCCAGGCGCCATCGAGGTTACCTCTAGCAACGCCGTGGGAGAGAGCGTCCCCACCAAAGACATCAACGGTGAGATGGGAAAATATGAGACAGAAGGAAAATATTCATAGTAGGCAAATTAGGCTACATTTGGATATCATTGTTTTGCCTGTTTTTATCAGCGATTCCAAGTGAATCCAACCACACTGTGATGAATAAACCAATATGGATGATGATAAATATCTACCGCACAAGGTGTTGTGCTTGTATTCAAGCTTTCAATAACACATTCTCGCTTTGATCCTGTTTCTCAGGGCCATCAAATCGCAACAGAAGAGATCTGGGGATGGCAGAGCCTGCAATGTTTGCTGACTTGTCCATTAGAGGTTAGCACATTCTCAAACTGCCACGCCATCTCGTCTTTCCACCATATATGCATAATTATATTACTCACACTCTCAAAATAGTTCATGTCTAGTCTACAAATATTCAAAAGGTCAAACAAATAGTGAAATCAATGGTTCATATCAATAACATTACTTTTCCTCCTTCCCTTCAGAGGAGCTGTCCAAACCCATGGTGCTAGTCGCTATGGTAACAGGCGTTTCCCTGCACATGGAGTGGGCACCGGTGAGGGACGCCACCCTCTACACCATTATCATCGTCCAAGAAGACACACCCTCCAGACGCCAGGTGTTGACCGTCTCTGATGAGCTGACCAAAGTGAATGACCTCGAGCCCACCACAAGATACTGCATCTTCGTCTCGGCCAAGAACGAACACACCCAGAGCAACTACTCCAAGGAGTGTGTCACTACTGGTGTCCCCATGTGATTGGCTTGACTTTCACCCCAACCAAATGGACATTACGGTTACCAGGGAAACCACCAATCGATGTAGGGTAAAGAGAATCATCAGTGACTGCTTCCTGTCTCCAGAAGTAAACACCCAAGGCAGAAGACAGAGGCTTTTCAACAGACTGAGGGAAAGGGAGGGGTTACTGTTGTTAAGCTTAAATAACTATCAATCACAAAAGGCAGTCTTTATCGCATAGATGATCCTAATAAAGCTATGTTGTTTTCGATTAACTTGTAAGCCGAAATGTGGTATATTTAAAGTTATTTTATACATCGAAAATAAATCTGCAAGTATCAATTGATTGAATGCTAGCGAATCTTTGAGAGTCACTTTTTAGAGCTAGGTTTCATTTTCTTGTTTTTTGTAGTCGGTAAGATAGCAGCATGTGTCTTTATAATGTTTAGTTATTTTTTTTAAAAGTTTTTTATTCCCCAAAAATGTTTTTTTTTATTTATCTTGAGACTGGCGCGAACAACACTTTTCTGTCCACTACATGCATTTTAGATTATTCTGCTGATTGTTTCAAATTCAATGAAATTATGTATACAAAGAAAAAGTAGATCTAGAGAGCAAATAAATGCTATCAAGCAAGTAGTAAAGAAGCAATATTTTTGTTAACCATACAGTATGTTTTCTATCTGATGTACTATAAGTCTTGTCTCAACACTATAGCTACAATAGCTCTTTTTTTATCAAGCACGGAAATGAAGAAATAAAAGTATGTGAAACATTAAAATAGTTATTTCTCCATAACGAGCATAAGATATCAAAGGCCTGGGTCATCTTTCATTTGGCAGCTATCATTGTATCCATTACATTGAACAGGCTCCTCAGCTACATTATCTACAGTAGTTATATGGGAGTCTGAATGAGGCGAGTGAATACGTTTGGTTTCATGTACTGTAGAAAACATTTCTGCATGGACCCGAAAGACAAGTTAGAATTTTGGATCCGGACCCTTCGGGCAGACAGGTCTACTGATATCAGAGCATCAGCAGACTCTCAAACAAATGGACATGCCTGATACAACCCAGCAGCCTGTGAGACCCATGTGAACATCCCTGATTCTGATTCTTCTTTCTTGTCATCGACCCAAGGCTATAGATAAAAGAAAAACAAACAATCAAATGTAACACAATCAATAACTGGGAATAATTAACATTTAATCCATGGAATAAAGTAAAAATAAAAGATAAAAGGCGAACTCAGCTGCAGCCTGTTATTTAGGCCAGGGTTTCCCAAACTCGGATTTAGGCCACTGGAACCGTCATTGCTTCAGAGAGATATTGCGCCAGCGCCATTCGACCTTGAGCAGCAGTGTTTCAAGTAGTAACTACTTAATTGTTTATGATGAACACGATATTTACTCCACCAATGTACATACAACGATACGAATTTGTCATCGACTTCGTCAAAAAGAACAAACCCAAAAAGGTACAAAACTACTTTGCGTGGTTGTTCAGTTGTGGCTGCTATCTAAACAACCCACATGTAACGTTAGCTAGCTAGCTAATCGCAGAACTACACGATTTAGATGCAGGACCGTCTTATCATATGTTAAGTCTGTCCCCCTAATTGAAAATAAATGGGGAAAATTATTTATCAACTTATCTGTAATAGGCCCATTACAACTTACAACTGTCTTTTCCGTGTGCTTGTCCATTCTCTTCTTCAGGTGGTAGACTTGGGATGCAATGACTGCACTCTCCTGAGGAAGCTGAAGTTTCACCGAGAAATTGAACTGCTTGCTGGACTGGACATTGACAGTGCAGTTATCAGGGATAAAATGTGTGTCTGAAAAGTTTTTTATTAAGTTACTTCAACGAATAAAATATATTGTCCATTGATTTGTGAGATCCTATTCAATGACCTAGGCATACCAGTATGAGACTGTCTTAATTTATCACAACCTAAAAACTAAGGACCTTTACAATTAAATCCTGAGCAGGTATGAACTGGCGCCGATTCCAACTGACTACCTGCAGCCAGGTGATCATCCCCTGACCATTGAGCTGTACCAGGGGTCAGTCACAGAGAGGGATCCCCGCACCAAAGGATTTGATCTGGTGACGAGTATTGAGCTGTAAGTGACTGGAAGTCTGGGTGACTATGGGAGTGATTAGCCCTTAGACAATGATTTACTACTTTTTCAGATACTGCATTGTATGAGCACCGACATACCGGTACATCATGTGCCCTTGTGGTATTTTAAGTTAACCACAAATGTGCTCTCTCTCTACAGCATTGAGCACCTGCAACTTGAGGAAGTGGATAGGTTCACTGAGGTTGTGTTTGGCTACATGGCCCCAGTAGCAGCGATCATTAGCACCCCAAACGCTGACTTCAACCCCCTGCTCCCCGGGCTGACAGGGTTTAGACACTATGACCACAAGTTTGAGTGGACTAAAGCTGAGTTTCAGACCTGGTATGTGTACATTACCATGGAGTCAGTATGCCTGTATTAGAATCATCAATCTAAAAGGTATACATTTCTTTCTTTCTTATTTGTACTTTAAAAGTTTGCACTCACCCTCTCTCGGTCTTCTCCCTCCATCCCTCCCAGGGCTATGAAGGTGTGCAGAGAGTTTGGTTATGTGGTGGCGTTTACAGGTGTTGGACAGATACCAGCCCAGGAGGAGAGCATCGGGTTTTGCTCTCAAATCGGAGTGTTTCAGAGAGACAGGTCAGGAGGTGACGCAACACGTCTACAAAGTAATGTCACAGAGGAGCATCTCCCTTACAGACTGGTGAGGAGAGGCACAGATGTTGAGTCTACTCGTTGTTTAATCCTGTCTCATTACCTGTGCGATCAGAGGTTCAGTGTCACTTATTTTTTGCATGCGTTTCAGAAAGTGGTCAATGAGAATAAAATAGGCCCCTCTGTCCTAACCTATTCCTCACTTGGTCTTTCCCTTAACATTCCTATTTTCTCTCCATACTCCAGCTATACAACGTGGTCTACCCAAGCCTGTGTGACAGCAATATCTTCCAGAGGACCCTGGTGAATGAGGTCCTGTACTGGGCTGAGACCCTGAGGAGACAGTGGCTGGAGGAGACAACTGGAGAGGGGGAGGAAGAATCTAAACAGACAGATGAAGAAGAAGAGGATTGTTCGAGAGAAAGAATGGAAAGAGAGGAGAGTCAGACAGGTGAAGAACAGGAGGACAGGGAGCGAGTGGAGGCGGATGGTAGAGGGTTTGAGGTAGAGAATGAGGAGGTAGAGGTACAGGGTAGAACAGACAGGGGACAGGAGGAGCCCTACAGAGAAGGGCAGTCTGTGTGTGTGTCCCTGGTCAGGTTGTGGTCCTGCCCCAGAGTGCAGGCTTTGAGTGGGACAGTCCAGCGTCTCACAGAGGTACTACTGGAGGACTCTAGAGTACAGCTAACCAACGATGGCACTGCCGTGGTGTTGGCGGACAGCGATGATGAAGATTTGGAGTGGGTTGAGACCTGTGATAACACAGGGACGGGTCAGTTCTTGGTCAGTAGTGTGGAGAACGAGGACTGGGAGACAGAGCTTGGGTGACCTTTGTCATATAAGGAGTGTATTCTTTGATGTACAAGTGGTGCAGATGTATGTTCTTTTTTTTTTTTACAATGGCAATATACAGTACTAGAACAAAGGGCCATCAGATAAGATTTGACCATATCCTTCAATGAGGAAGGAAAATGTTCCTAATAAAAATTTCATGAGAATATGGTCATTGCCTGGTTCACACACAATCAACATTTTTAAACATTTTAATTAACAGTGCATGGTACACAGGAAAAGCATACAGTACACCTGGTAAGGAAGCAAATGTTGGTCAAAAAGACAGGAACAATGGACACTGTCGACACTGACAGAAAACGTCACTTTTACAGGAGGATACGGGTTACAGCTCCTTAATACACACAGCTTCACAGAAGAGAAAAAGCAACCATGTTTGTTACATGTTAGGTACCGACTGAGATGGGGAACAGGAACTTATGCTGCCTGTCTAGCACAGGTACTGAGCGGATTTTACAGAAGGAAGGTAGTTACCAGGCTTCTTTCTACTCAAGAGGAATAGGGGTTTGGAATTACAACCTTTGGCTGTGAATGGTAATACAATACACCAAGTGCCTTGCTAAAGGACACAATACTCATATTATTAGTTTCTACCATGTTCTGGATCTATTCATCAGTTCTGTTCTTAAATTTGCCTCAAATGAGGCAGTACAGAGTTTGCCTCAAATGAGGCAGTACAGAGAACTTTCAGATAAGTGATGACACAACATAAATGAATCCCACAGGTATTTGTGCTCTTCTTACCAAACGTACAGATGTAAGAAACCTTGAACCACAACACTAGTTCAAACGTGTGATGGTGGAACCACGTGGAATTGTTGTTTTCAAGCTTTGTTTTAACTCGCTGAAGAAATACAAAGATCATGCAAACAATAAAACACGCAAATAGACATCTACACAGAGAGAAATAACACAGATTAATTCACAGTTATAATACCATACATTGATGACACACTGCAGAAATCAGCAAATGCTGGTACAGTAAAACTTATAGAGGTCAAAATATGGTTAACCTCTAGTATGGCTTAAGACAGGAGACGATCACATACAATACATGTATGTATGCCATTTTATCTTAACTTACTCTGAATATGTATTGTTATTTCTATTTAGTGAGACAGACCGATTAACAAGATTCATGATCACAAAATCGTGTAGTGTATACCATTTCTTTCCCAATGTGAGTTTGATAACAGTATATAACATAGATTATATTCAAGACATAGGGGGGCCAATCCATTACATAGTTCACAGACAACGAATAGCAGAGTCATCATCAGCCTCATCTGATGTAACTCCTGGCTTTTTGTCATAAAAGTATATCATCATCATACCATCTGATATGCTGCTGAGAGAGATAACCTTCATGGACCACACCATCTCATTCTTCTGAGTTCTTGTACTACAGAAGGTGACCAATAAGTGTGTACAATGGCAGTTTAATTGTTGACAATTTGTCCTTTAGCCTTCACCTTTACCTATATACGGAACGACGTACTGTACACCTACGTCAGCTTGGCAAGAATCACAACTGTTGACTTGCATCAGTTTCTAAACCGCAATGTCATCGATCATTGCAAAAAAAGAGCCATCCGGATTGGAACCCTGATATCTTAACCTGAGAGTCTGATTCTTTCAGAAGAAGCAAACACAAGCTTGACCTCACTCAAACAGAGCTTCTCTCCTCTGCCTCGCCATCTATTTTCCTCCCAACAAGCATCTAAAAAGAGCAGAGCAGTTAGATTCTAAGGCGGTTTCTATTTCTGCCAGTAATGAGATCAGTTCTCACTCAGACCGCAGCACCAGCAGAGGACAGGAGCAGGGTCACCTTCCATACCGAGTACATAACCTGCAGTCTCACTCCCAGCCCTGGCTCTGTATACTGCAGGATTAATGTAGGCTTACTATTATTACAACAGAATAGTGGCTTTAACACTTTACCAGAGACATATAGGTACGCACACAGTCATGCATACACACAAACACGTTGCACACACACACATGCACACCAGTGGAGGCTGGTGGGAGGAGCTATAGGAGGACGGGCTTATTGAAATGGCTTGAATGGAACAAATGGAACCGTATCTAACATATGGAAACCACGTTTGACTCTGTTCCATTCATTCCATTCCAGTCATTACAATGAGCCCGTCCTCCTATAGCTCCTCCCACCAGCCTCCACTGACGCACACACAAACGTACAAATGCACGCACACACACACACATTTTAGCAGCTTATTGGTGGACAAAAGTTAAAATCCTAAATTAAAAGGCAGTTCCAAATAAAAAACAACATTGTTGAAAAACCAAAGGACTGAAAACTAGGGAACTAGTGTTAACTAGGGAATGTATTGAAAAAGCCTGGCATCATCCTCCTCTTCAGCTAAGGCTTCATTCATTCTGGTGACAAACACAGAACCAAATCACTTTGATCTCCAGTTGAAAAGGTCAGGTTTTCCTGTGACCTCAAACTGCAGGTTTTAATAGTCTGAATCCTTTCCCAGATGGAGGCGTGGTGATGTTCTTCTTGACTTCACTGAGCTAATCTAACAGGACTACAGCCAGTGCACATAGTCTGTACGCACACCAGAGGGCGCTGTTGCAGTCCATTTCTGACAGGCCAGTTCAGTTGGATAAAATGTGCTTGCTGGAATTAAAGAAAGATAAAAACCACTGATGGTTCTTTTGGACTTCAGCTGTGCCACTCATCCTCCTGGTGGGGTTTAGGCCTAACGCTTAATCACCACCTGTTCATATGCACCAGCACCAACCCTAAAACAAACAGGACAAATTAGCAATTACAATCCATCATCTAAGTAAGTACCTGAGTGAGGGGTGAAAATGGGTTGAATTTAAATAAGCATTTTATGTAATAATTTAATAAACAAATCTATAAATGAATAAATGTGATATATCCTATTTTAAGTTTAAGTTATTGTGAGCGTAACTGTGTTAAAGACTTAGGCTACCTGGTAGGCAGGTGATGGCTTCCAAGGGCAGTGCTTCCTCCGGGACCGACAAACAACCGCAGGCCTTCCTCTGAAACACACACAGAAACAGACACACAGAAACTTTGAGTGGCATTTGTGGTGAAACAGCTTTAATTTATTTAGCAGATGGAACATCAACACTCCTCATCAGGAGCCTGGTTGCTAGGCGATCCAAAAATGAATCCAGTATTGACAGGAGCATTCTAATTCAAGCAGCATTGTGCTCGTTGTAGAGGAGGCCGGGACCTTGAAGAGTATCAGCAACACAATCCTTCCTCAGTAGAGATACATTAAAAACATGCTGATAGAAACCCCATCAACCCCCTCTGCATAGGGTATTCTCACACCCACCAACCATGGTAAGAAACTACTCCACCACTGAGGTCACCAAGGTGGAGGCAACTTCATTACTATTACTTTATTTTTACTTTATTATTATTATTCATATAATTTATTATTATTGCAGCTGCTACTTCATTAAAGCCATTAGATGCAGTTTAACATAGCGCACTGCGCTTTATTACGGAAGACAATTTTAGTGCTCATCACTGCATTCTCTACCAGAAAGTTGGTTGGCCCTCTTTGATGTCACGTAGGTGGATACAATGTTATGTTTTCATTTATAAAGCCCTTTTACAAAAAGTCCCACTGTACCTAACATCTTTACTAAACTTTAGACATATGAGTTACCACACCCAGTCTCAGGGATGGCTAACTCTGGAAATTCCTTTGGTCTCTACTGAGTTAGGTAAATCAGCTTTTAGTTTTCTTGCACCTTATTTGTTTAACGATCTTCAAAATGTTCTGGTTCCTCTAAGGCAATTCAGAAAGCTGATTGAGGACCTTATTACTGATCAATGTGTTTGTTTTTTATGACCCTGCTTGCATGTTGTATTTATATTTTGATGTGTGTATTTTCTGTCATTTATGTAATTCAGGACTCATCTGTAAAAGAGACCTTGGTCTCAGTATGACTCCCCGATAAAATAAAGGTTAAATTATTTAATATTTTAATTACAACTAATTTGTATTGACAATTTTCCCGGTAACTTGTATAAAGTATTTGAATTAATCACTGATAAATACTGGTGTAAATGTTATTGGAATGGAGTGTAATTTAACTTCATGAATTCTAATACCACATCTCAAACATGCTTTCAACTTTATTTGTAGACCCAGACTACAATTTCAGAGGTAGAACTGCCTGTAGAGGTAGAACTACCCCTCTAAGATCAAACTATAACCTGCCTTGATCTCTGACTGGCTCTGTAACTTGGTATCTGACTAGGTCCTTAGGTACCTTCATGGCTGGAGTCCAGCAGGCTGGGGGTGAAGTCTTGACTCTGAAGGATCTTCTCCACCACGTCATCAGCATCCACCCTCGATGCCTCCACCCTCATCATCTGACCTTCCATGGAGCCTTGCTTCACCAGGTGTCTGGTGGTGAGACATACAGGATCAAGTTACAACACCTAGGTTACATGTAGTCTCTTCAGATAAAAAGTGGTATCTTATTTTTGTTATTTTTGTGTGACATCCGTGATGCTGAGAATGTTGTGTAACAAGAGTGACTAGTCCAATAAGTCAGAAATGTCATTGAGATACAGTAATGTACAGACTGTTGCTGCCTTAGGCTACCTCTCTGGTATCTCAGTACAGCAGCTTGCTCAGGTGTGAGGTCGTTTATTTATTAATCCTTTGTTTAATTACTAAGTCAACATTGAGATTACAGAATATTTTTTTCAAGATAGCATTAGCATCAGGATCATTGATCAGGGGAGTCTCTCAGAGTCACCTGTTGAGGCGTTCGCAGGACGAGGCGCTCTTCACCGGGGTGTCTGTACAGGAGCCAGTGGTACTGGTGGGGGTGCGGTGTTCAGGCAGGGCTGTGCAGGCTGATGCCCCAGCAGTAGGGGGCATCATCCCCATCCTGGCTTCCCTGTCTCCTCTCTCCCCCCTCTCCCGGTCCCTGCTCTCCCTCTGGTCCCTGGTGTCCCTAGTGTCGTCAGAGGGCTCCAGGATACTGGCGATGCCGGTGGAGGCACTGCCCACAGAAGTGTTCCTGCGGTGGGTACACTCTGACAGGCTGGAGGAGCGGGAGTGACCTGTACTGTAGCCTGGGGTGGAGAGGGCCAGAGGGACAGAGGGACAGAGGGCCAGAGGGACAGAGGGCCAGAGGGACAGAGGGCCAGAGGGGTAATGGCAAGGAGGTTAGAGCACACACAAGCATTCAGACACATAGGCAGGCTACTTCAAAATATTGATAATTAGTATCAATAAGCATTAACATAAAGGCATAATGCACATACTCACACACTAAGTACATGGTCACTCATATACACACAAACACAAAAAAAGAGTCACAAGCTTGCATACACCATGTCAATTAGGTGACATCAATTATTCACCATTTTAGAGAACAGTTTTGTGTTATGGAAAAGGACTCAGTGTGGAGCAGATTGAAGCCTTGCGGCGTGATCAATGATTTAACAGCAGAGAGATGGATGCTAGCCTAGCGCCCACACACTCACATGGCATTGATGTCTGCAGGAAACTGTTAATGCAGAGACACTGCAGTCTCAATGTACCGCTAGCTAGTTAGGTTACGGTGAAGAGAACAAATCACCCACATACTAATACTCCCCACAGGATCACAACAAGCCAACCACTGTGTGTCTGAAATGACTCTCAAAACGAACCAATATAAAACCAACTCTCCAAACTAAAAAGAAAATAGACTTTTCTCTTGCTTTAATGTCTGTAGGAAGCTACCTCCTTAGAAATGGTAGGAGCGGGTTTATCAGAGTGAGTTGGCTATCAGAGGAGTTGAGTGAACTCCTCACTTCCCTACAGACCCTTCATTATAGGGGATCTGATCTGCCTGTAACAGTGTCTTCATTCACTAGCCAGACCACCTGTGTGTCTGGTTATAGGATACTGATGTCAAGAATTTTATTTGTATTAGTTTACCACAATAAACTAGGTTTCTGATGCAACATAGTTTATTTTTTAATTATAGAGATATATTACCACAGCAAAATAGGTTAAGGTTAGATCATAGACATCAGGCATGCAGACAGAGGAATTCAGCAAAGTAAAAATTGAGAAAAAGAAAAGAGTGAAAAGACGGCGAAAAGCAAAATGCTAAGACAGACAGTTGTACAATGGGCTGTATGGAAGTGACAATAGCCTTACTGGGACTTTGTGTGATGACTAGCTATTTTGTACGTTAGCATGGTTGAGAATGAGACACACAACAGCTAGATCTCCACGCTACATGTTGCATTGTACATTAGCACGGCTGTGTTGGGAGTATTAGGAGGGCCTACCTGAGACTTTAGACTGCTGACTAGCGTAGCTGGATGTTCGGGAATGGCAGGAGCCCCCAAGTTCATCGGAAACAGAGGGACACTTTCCTTCCCGGCTCTCTGTCAGGTTTTTAAAACAGGACATAGGGGTTGGGAATGGGTTGAGAGTGGACTAGGATTACAGTAATATTCCTATAATAGTATTCAGAGTGAAGAGATGAACTAGGGCCAGCCCACTGTGAAAGGGGACCATGTCTATGTTCCCTCAGTCCTGTGCTCACAGGGTGGACCACTGTGATAGCATCCAAACAGACAATAGTAAAGTGGAAACCGATAGTCATCTGTCATCCCGTTACTTACACAACTTAAATCAAAATCACTTTCACTGTGGACCTCCCCTCCCACACACACGTGTGTTCCTATTTTTAACCAATAACCATGTGAGGGTCGGCGGCAGAGAGATCAGAGAGAGCATCAAAGAACCAGCCTGAATTATACATGAAAGAGCAGTGCTTTCTGAAGCCTCCTGGGGATGAGAGTACACATCACTTCATAGACAGAGAGGGAGAGAGAGAAAGAGCGAGGGGAGAGGAGAAGAGTGGTCTTCTCTTCTACACATGTTGGATATGACACGTTAATAGCAGCTGAATCACACCGAGACAGATTCACATTCCTATATCAGCTGAGGCTTGGATTAAAGATTGAGAGAATCTATAGGTGCAGCTCGTTATACAGCAAGTCAGTCTGCCATTCAATTATGACTGAAGTGAGTCAACGAGAGAATATTATTATTAGTACAGGAACAAATCATCTCAAAGTTACTGCAGCCAGGGAGAAAAGCAGATTTAGATTAATCACAAGAATCAATCACAGAGACTGAGAGGAACAATGGTCAGTAACTAATGCTCCATATACAGTCATTTATATCCAATCATTTTACTTCTGGTTTTCCTCACTCCGGGTCTGTATTTTCTGAGGCATACAGCTCAGCAGCTGGCAGGGTTTCTTTAAGCCAATGACTCTTAATTGTCAAACAGAAGAAGAAGCAAGTGCCTTGATTAATAGGCCTACAGATGTAGGATCTTAATTTGACCTGAATTGTCGCAGCAAAATAATCCTGCAGCAACAGGATTTGAACGTTTGGTCCATAATGTTGCTTGATCGGTGGTTAGGCTATTAGCTGGTCAAAATGAGGCTACATGAAAAGTGGAATACTGTTAATATAACAGTGTATTAGTGCAGGTTTTCAGTGAATTGATGTAAATCACAAAGCTCATCTGCATTTCCTGCGGTGCAGGAAAACTCTCAGCAATGAACAAAAGAGTGATCAACTTAAGTTCCAACATCTATATATACTCTTGCCTCTGATTTGCCAGAGATGTATTATACCGGACATTTGCCAGACATGTGTTTGTTAAAAGCTGCTATATTTGATGATGCACTGAGGAACGCTGACTGAGTCATATAAACCCACTGTGGTGAGTTCTGTGGGAGAAGAGGAGTCCTAAGGAGTAGTTAGACTCGTCTCGTTTTACCCATGAAGGCCTTCTGGTTGTCCCCTCCCTTCCTCTCCTCCAGAAGGCTCTCTGCATCTCCCTGGACGCCGATGAATGTGCCTGTAGAAGGAGGACTGTGGAGGACAAACAGAGGGGATTGGTTCATGCACAGCAACACAAATGACTGAAAATATGATTACGGAAAGAGTCGTAAGTAAATTCAAGCACCATCACTACATGCAAGTGGTTTTTAATGAAAGCTCTGTCAGTGATTTGCTCTGGTTCTCAGTGTTTTTATGAAACCTTCCAAGACAGCCTGCTTTCCTCCCTTTTCTCTCTCTCTCTCAGTGTTTGATACTGTCATCTGCCCAAGGCAATAGCACATAATACATTTTGGGGTCATCTCCTGCTCCAGGGGCAGTTGGCGTTCCTTGCCATTTTCCAACACAGACTGGGGCTGAAATAACATATTGTCCACTCTACTTTATCCCAAATATCACCCCGGCCTCTTCAATGCCTCTGCCTCACCCGTCCGCCCCACTCTTCTCTCCTCTCAAAGCGGCCTGATTAGAGTATCAGTCAGTCAGGTAAGCTCTGGCATACAGTGGGGAAAAAAAGGATTTAGTCAGCCACCAATTGTGCAAGTTCTCCCACTTAAAAAGATGAGAGAGGCCTGTAATTTTCATCATAGGTACACGTCAACTATGACAGACAAATTGAGGAAAAAAAATCCAGAAAATCACATTGTAGGATTTTTTATGAATTAATTTGTAAATTATGGTGGAAAATAAGTATTTGGTCACCTACAAACAAGCAAGATTTCTGGCTCTCACAGACCTGTAACTTCTTCTTTAAGAGGCTCCTCTGTCCTCCACTCGTTACCTGTATTAATGGCACCTGTTTGAACTTGTTATCAGTATAAAAGACACCTGTCCACAACCTCAAACAGTCACACTCCAAACTCCACTATGGCCAAGACCAAAGAGCTGTCAAAGGACACCAGAAACAAAATTGTAGACCTGCACCAGGCTGGGAAGACTGAATCTGCAATAGGTAAGCAGCTTGGTTTGAAGAAATCAACTGTGGGAGCAATTATTAGGAAATGGAAGACATACAAGACCACTGATAATCTCCCTTGATCTGGGGCTCCATGCAAGATCTCACCCCGTGGGGTCAAAATGATCACAAGAACGGTGAGCAAAAATCACAGAACCACACGGGGGGACCTAGTGAATGACCTGCAGAGAGCTGGGACCAAAGTAACAAAGCCTACCATCAGTAACACACTACGCCGCCAGGGACTCAAATCCTGCAGTGCCAGACGTGTCCCCCTGCTTAAGCCAGTACATGTCCAGGCCCGTCTGAAGTTTGCTAGAGTGCATTTGGATAATCCAGAAGAGGATTGGGAGAATGTCATATGGTCAGATGAAACCAAAATATAACTTTTTGGTAAAAACTGAACTCGTCATGTTTGGAGGACAAAGAATGCTGAGTTGCATCCAAAGAACACCATACCTACTGTGAAGCATGGGGGTGGAAACATCATGCTTTGGGGCTGTTTTTCTGCAAAGGGACCAGGACGACTGATCCGTGTAAAGGAAAGAATGAATGGGGCCATGTATCGTGAGATTTTGAGTGAAAACCTCCTTCCACCAGCAAGGGCATTGAAGATTAAACGTGGCTGGGTCTTTCAGCATGACAATGATCCCAAACACACCGCCCGGGCAACGAAGGAGTGGCTTCGTAAGAAGCATTTCAAGGTCCTGGAGTGGCCTAGCCAGTCTCCAGATCTCAACCCCATAGAAAATCTTTGGAGGGAGTTCAAAGTCCGTGTTGCCCAGCGACAGCCCCAAAACATCACTGCTCTAGAGGAGATCTTCATGGAGGAATGGGCCAAAATACCAGCAACAGTGTGTGAAAACCTTGTGAAGACTTACAGAAAACGTTTGACCTGTGTCATTGCCAACAAAGGATATATAACAAAGTATTGAGAAACTTTTGTTATTGACCAAATACTTATTTTCCACCATAATTTGCAAATAAATTCATTAAAAATCCTACAATGTGATTTTCTGGATTTTTTTTTCTCATTTTGTCTGTCATAGTTGACGTGTACCTATGATGAAAATTACAGGCCTCTCTCATCTTTTTAAGTGGGAGAACTTGCACAATTGGTGGCTGACTAAATAATTTTTTTCCCCACTGTATCAGTGTGGCTGCCTGTGACACTGGGCATGTGTTCTCAGAATAGATGGCTGAAACAACTTCACAGTCATCCAGACCCCCTAGAGACAGTGAGACTATAGACCTACCCTGAATGTTAGTCTGCTGTTATAGCCCTGTACAGGATGTGGTACTTGGCCAGCCAACTCAGCTGTGACCACTGTTTCATCGCCCCACCCTGGTCTGCTCTAGTTAAGTTTACACAGGCACAGCAGCTGGGTGCAATCCTCCTCACATTCTTGGAAACGCTCCCACACGAACATGGACATGGGCCAAAATGGCCCTGCGTTAGTGTTGCAGGGATGGAGAGATGAGCACGTCCCCCTGGCTTCATCCCATGTAAAGCCTTCTCTAACGCTGTGCTGATCCCTGACTCCACATGCTACACACTCCTCACACAAACAGTCTAACAGGAAAGCCCTCAAGACCTGGAGTTTATTCAGAAGGATGCAACACCACAGAAATAACTGATACATATCTAAGAACAGACATGATTCTCTGTCATGTCCAAGAGGGACATCTCTCTGTGCAAGATTAGGCCACATTTCTATTTACAACATTGCAACCAACTGAATACGCCCTTGGTTTGAAAGAGTATTTGCAAACCTTTTCCTTTTGCTAGACTTTACAGTATAACACAGTATTTACTCTAAAGTGGTGGTGACAGTTTTATGTAACCTGAAATGTAGGACACTAAATCAGTGAGGACATGAATTGCTTTCATGGTGAATGCTTAGTTTGAAATGTTCTTTCTCTCACCTACAATCTAAATGACTCCCACTGTGTTCCTACTCTGTATTACAAATAAATACTATAGAATTATTCTCCTTTCTTAAACCCCCCACACAACTGTAGCCTATCAGAGAGAAGCAGGAAGGAACCCTTGCTGCAGTGTAGGTGGGTGGATAAACATTGGTCTCAAAGGGAAATGCTATGCAAATCTGAATGTGTTTGCTTTACTGTAGGGGGAAATCTGACTGCATTTTCTTCAATTGCATTTTAAACGTTTCTCGTATCTAAACACCACCAAATCATAATAGGCCTTCATTTTATTAGGCCTTCAGTATTATGAAGGCACCACTTACGTTTTAAAACAGGGGTCCCCGGACATCAGTTGTGTGCTGATGATAACCTGTTACAAAAAGAAAGAGGTTTGAGCTCTCTTGACACTGACAGACAAAACCTAGCCTGGTTCCAGATCTGTTTGTGCGGTTTAGCCAACTCGCTTGACAATGACCATAAGATAAGAATTGGCAAGACAGCACAAATAGATCTGGGACCAGGCTAGAAAAAAACAGCTAAGACTGATATGATATACTGTAATTGATAGAAACCCATCTCTCCCATCAGTACCTTGAGTATAGAATTGTCCTGCCGGGTGTTCTTGGTGTCGTAACCTTCTAGTAGACATCTGCGTGTCGTGTTCCCAGAACCAGCAAACTCAGCCAGGTTCAGGTCTGCAAAGCCAAGCTGAGGAGAGGATCAGGTTAACTTCCAGACAGAGCTGCAGGGTAGTGTTGTGTGCTTTGTTGTTTTTCTCCTATGAATCTCTTTCTGTACCTCAACCTTTCAGTGTCTCTATAGAGAAACCAGAGGAAGAATCTTTGGCTAATCAATTTTCTCTGACTTTATTGATTTAAACCTCTAGGAGAAAATAAAAACCTAATTTACAATTTTTAGTCTCTGGAGCGTAAACTTTAATTGGATATACTGGCTATTATCTAGGTAATTTCCCTTTTAATGTAAAAGCTAATCATTCAAATTTTAATTGTTTAACACCGTAATAAATTAGTGTTTTTTCACTTCCTGTAGGCCTAAGTGTGCATGATGAGAATATTTTTAGAGGGTAAATATTTTACCACTAGAATAAATAATTGACAGTGTACCACATGGACAGAGCTTAACTGTGACACCAACTCTAGACTACCTGCAGGCAGAGAAGGCAATCTGTTCACTAAGCATAAATGATTCAATGTAACTATGTGTTGGGAAAGAAAGCAAGAAGAGTGTAAAAAGGAATCAATCTGAAACAGTACCTTTGCGTACGTCTTCCCACCCTTCAGCTCCTACCAAATAAAATAGTGAAATCATGAAATCATTTGAATGTAAACAGTGACAAAGCAGCTACCAGTAAACTTTAGAGACATGCCTTATGCCAATCTATTTGCCAGATGAGGTTTTACAACATTAATAGGAACAGAATGTACAGGTTGAATAGGAGTCTGAGGGTCATACCTTCCTGACAGACACGCGGCACACACAGGGGTCAAGCACGCCCGTCCCAGCGGTGGCACTCATCTTACAGGGGAAGGAGAATCTCTTCTTCCAGCGTACACAGTTAGCATGGACCGGCTCCCTGTAGGAGAAATACATAAACGGTCACATATTGATACACAACATCAGCACCACTCGCATGGCATAGGTGATAGTATCACAGACTGTATGCAAGCGAGGCTAGTCAACTGGAAACATGGGATGTGCCAACTAAGGACATGGTTCAACTTGACAATCCTAGTCCATTCCAGAGGGATAGTTTTATCTTAAGGGCTGACTGTAATGGCAACATTATGATCATTAAACATGGGCCTAATAGGTTATTGATCCTCACTAGAACCCATCCCTACATGTTAATGGAGACCAACTCTACAGTACTTAACCATGTGGTCCACACAAACACTTGATAGTCCATTGAAATTGATTATTGTCCTGTCCAATCATGTCAGTTTACTAACCCTACTCAGCATAGGCCTAAGTGTCGAGAGAGAGTGAGAGAGATGAGACAGGTAGGAGGGGGAGAATGAAATTGAAAGAGAGAGAGAAAGAGAGAGAAAGAGAGAGAGAGAGAGAGAGAGAGAGAGAAAGAGAGAAGAGAGAAAGAGAGAAAGAGAGAAAGAGAGAAAGAGAGAAAGAGAGAGAGAGAGAGAGAGAGAGAGAGAGAGAGAGGAGAGAGAGAGAGAGAGAGAGAGAGAGAGAGAGAGTGAGAGAGTGAGAGTGAGGGGGGTAATATTCCAGTTCTCCAGATGGCTCTTCTTCCTCTGGCATCCTCTCCGACTTCACCCACTCAACGTTCTTACCATCTCCCTTCTGTCCAATCCCCCTGATCTAAATGGACCACTACACTGACAACTCTCACTGACAATTCTCCTCTATAGTGAACAGCTGATGATGTCCATGGAAATAAAATGATAAATTAATCATCCTTACAAGACATCTTATGAAAAAAAAAACTCCTTACATAATACTCAAACAGATTCGTTTTGTTTATGAATTATTAAGTGATTAAAACTCAAAATTCTGTTACCAAATTGGTAACGGAATTTCAGAAAAATCTGTAACGGAATCTCTGCAATTTAATTGGCTACAATGGGAAATTATACAGTAGTAGTCGCAAACCACAGTTGGGTTCACAAGTTTGGACAGTACAGCATAGTACAGCACAGTAAAGAAGAGTACAGTATAGTACAGTACAGCACAGTAGAGTACAGTACAGTAAAGAAAAGTAGAGTATATTTCAATAAAGTAGAGTTGAGTACACTATCATGTACTCTACTGTACTCTGCTGAACTCTCTACTCTGTACTCTACTCTGTACTGAACTGTTCTGTCACTGAGCTCTACTGTGCTGTACTTTGATGTCCGTTACCGGGTGTAAATCCACTTCACTTACTGTAGTTCCAAGTCAATGTGTCGTGTCATGTCATATCTGACACCCCATTCCTTCTGCAGACATTGTCAAATCTTAATTTAGTTTTTGGATAATGTGGACACAAAAAACTGAGGGAGATTTTAACAAAATTATTTTACCATGTATCTGCACGGTTCTTCCAGTAAATGTGTTTTAGTAAAAGTTTCAGTGTTAACTATTAAAAGTAGACCATGAGCATAGAGTTGTATGGTTTGTTAAACTTGAAATCAATGGTTTTTGTTGGGTATACATTTTAAGTGAGAAATCTGAGTCATAGTGCAATTCTGTTACCGTGGATTTGCCCTTTACAAAAAAGGTCCATTTGTCAGCAAGATGCATAAATTAATTCAGGCTACAAGAGGGTAGGCCTAATGACAATCGCCGAATGTCATTACACTTTTTGGTAACAGACGTCTCTTTCCCTTCATCAAATGGCAGGTGCACAGTGCACTGTTTGGATGCTGGAATTATTTTGGAGTGGACGAACGTGCGCAGGTAGCCTACTTTTTGAAGTGATTCGTTTGGCAATCAGATGAAAACATCATGACTGGTTTGTGTTGATGCCACATTAAAAGGTAATACATGTTTACCATTCAAATGCATGTCTTTGATTTGATTTACTATTAGGCCCAAAAAATAATCTCTATCTCTCTCAAATAGGAAGTCCCGTGAATAAAACCTTGAACTTGTGTTTTTTTGTTCACTGAGTCAGAGGCATCATCCGGGGACTGGGTTTTGCCGGAGAAAACGTTGCTTTTAGGCTACATTGTTGATTTTCTATTCTTCTTTTCAGCAACTTCATGAACTTTGGTAACCATAGAGACCTAATAAAACTGGCAGACAATGCAGAAAGAATGACACGCCTTCAGAGAAGGAAAGCTAGAAAAGAAAGCAAGACCGAGAGAAAATGTTTCCCCTACACAGGGACACAAGATGAATCATAGATCTGGTTCTTCTCCCAGGAACGAAACACGTTCTGTTTAGATAAACAAGTTAATGAGACATTTTTTTATTTCAACGAGAAACACCAAAAGCACTGAGAACTGTTCTCTCTCTGTTTAAAAATACCAGCCTGGAGAATGGTGCATTGTGGTTCTCCCCTCACAGATCTAACAGAGAAGGCATTTGTCTTTCACATGATTTATTTACTTAGAAATAATCTCACAGGGAATCATATACACTGGCACTTACTGTAGGATACATTACAGTAGAGCATCAGTTTATAATTTCTCCCCTCTATCCTCCAGTATAAAATATGGACTAGTAGTGGGCCTATCCATGTCAATTGATTGAGCCGTAAATATTGGACTATAAATGGTGCCTTCCTGTATTATACTAATGCTAAAATGTTTATTCTATTCTACTGAGACATTTACTTCATGTTCATATTCTTATCTTGTATTATTTCTTATTGTTGTTGCATTGTGGAGAAGGAACCTGCAAGTAAGCATTTCGTTGGACGGTGTATACCATGTCTATCCTGTACATACGACTAATAAAACTGGAAACTTAAACTCATTCCGAAAGCCTTGCCTCTCCATCCATCATTAGCGCCCTCGCCCATGCTCACATCGTTCAACGTTCCCCCTGCCTACTCTGCTTCTCTTGCTTCCGATGTTTCACCCCGCAATGCCGCTTCCTAGTGTAAATGGGGGTGTGGTGGCATTGCAGTGTTTCCACTGCAGTCATTGCTGCCACACCCAAAACATATTTCTGCCGAGGCGCACTTTGAAGATGCTAGAACCGTCCACATTTACTTTTCCTCTGCAAAACAAAACAAGTAATGAATAGAAATATCTGACAACCCCATAGTGTACATTAATGTGGATGCTACCATGATTACGGCTAATCCTCAATGAATCGTGAATAATGATGAGTGAGAAAGTTACAGACGCACAAATATCATACCGCCCAAAAATGGGAACCTCCCCTGTTATTGTAATGGTGAGAGGTTAGCATGTCTTGGGGGTATGATATTTGTGCGTCTGTAACTTTCTCACTCATCATTATTCACGATTCATTCAGGACTATGCGTAATCATGGTAGCGTTCACATTAATGTAGAAGTGTTTAGAAACATATTCCATTCTTATTTAGTGACTCCAAAATGACACAATACATTATTTACCATTTATTTCTATTGGGCACAAAATAATCTGAAACACAACCAAAACAAACAGCAAATGCATCCAACAAGTCTGTAGAGTCCCAATCTTAGTGTAATCATTGCATGCTGGGAATATGGGACCAAATACTACACCTTGACTACTTTAATACACATCAGTGAACTTGTCCCAATCCTTTTGGTCCCCTAAAATGGTGGGACTATGTACAAAAAGTAATTTCTAAACGGTTCACCTGATATGGATGACAATACCCTCATATTAAAGCTTACAGTGCACTTTAACCTCATAGTCATTGTATCACTTCAAATCCAAAGTGCTGTAGTACAGAGCCAAAACAACAACAAAATTGTCACTGTCCCAATACTTTTGGAGCTCACTGTATCTTTAAGATTTTTTCTAATTTCTCTCCCTCATGAGGATGGAGGATAATAAAAGTTCCAGAAGTAACAAGTAATGGTAGACCTACCAATTAGTTATATACAATGGGAATGGGATCTCTCTCTCTCTCTCTCTCTCTCTCTCTCAGCTCTTACTGACACCTACCCATGAGCCCCATCTCTTTCCATTTACTGTAACCAGCATCCTCACCCACTGAGCACCGACCGACACCGAATGTCGAAAAGTATTTAAAATTTGGTCAGTCCACCCTGGCCTTGATCTTAACGTCCATAGACGGACCAGACTGGACCAAATCTGATCAATAGGCATATGTTTCAGTTCGGATAGCACAGTACAGTACAGTGGGTAAAGCACATTAGAGTACAGTATAAAACAATAGTACAGTACAATGCAGTACATTAAAGAAAAGTACAGTATAATACAGTGCGGTATATTGTACTGCACTGAACTATACTCTACTGTACTGAACTCTACTGTACTCTAATGCACTGTGATGTCCAAACTTGTGAAACATGAAAATGTCATTTATATCCATAATTATGTGTAAATCCACTTCACTTACTGTAGTTCAATTTCAAACTCAAGGTGCCATGTCATAGCTGACACCCCATTCTTTCTGCAGACATCTTTGATTCTTAATTCGGAGCCCCTATTTATTTATAGCCACTATGCTGCATCAGTTGGGCTACAGGTTATAATGCTTATTGCCAATAGTATACCTGATAATATGGACCACGCACAAGCTATATGCATGGTCCAATATGTTAAAAATAATTTTACAATATTTTAGATGGTGTCATCATAATTTTTATTCATTTTGGAGTAGAATGTCCTTTAAAAAGTCACCAGAACTGAGCTTCTCAGTCCTTCTACATACAAATTCTCCGGAGGGGACCCCGGATGCCGAAAACAAGGGGGTCAACACCTTTTCCCCCAAATGCTACAAATTCTTCTAGAGGAAACACTGTGGCACTGACAGACTCGTAAATATCCATTACTGAGGCCACTTCAGACGCACCCGCACACACACAGGCTACAGGAATCAGCGATGGCATCAGGGAGGCTGGCGTGGTGTGGCCTGGCTTAATCACAGTGAAAGGAACCCAAACAGACAGAAACACATAGAGGCTCTCTATTCATACACTGGCCTACCACTCAGTCAGAGGAAGTTTTCAGCAGATTAATAGAAGGATTTGCCAAAGGCAAAGCATTTCGAAATTAAAGTATCAAGCTTGCACACAACCCCTGCATAGCGCATAGGCTAAGCTCCATCTCATGTCCGCAAATCTGACAAGCTTATCCGGGCCTGGGGACGTGTGCGGTGCTACGGACAGGCTCCAGAGTCCAGATGTTGGGTAGGCTAATCTGACCCAAGCCAGCCCTTTTCGGATACCCAGACTCAAGCCCTGTATTCTGCCTTGCACAGAGAGATGCAGCATCATGCCCATAAATCAGGAAGAAGCTGCTGTCACATCACTGCTGAATGGGTGGCACTGTGAAATCTAAGATTCGTATCTATCAATGGAAAGAGAAAGCAAAAAAAGTTGATGTAAATGTATGATGTCATAGTGAATGCTGGAGGCTTGGACTGACAACAGCAAGCCACACTGACTTTGCTTATGGATTGTTGTACATGTTTAGCCTCCTCAGCACATTTCCTCTCTCCTCCTCAGGAATCAGGTTAATGTGGAGTTAGAGCTACAGTAGGAGATGGCTTTCAGAGGCAAGGAGATTGGCTACCTGATTAGCTAAACATGATGAAATCTAATATAATCCACTCTGGGAAAGGAACTCACATCATTCATCATAAAACCAAACGAGTGCACTGTGCACCCTATGAACCCAGTCAGTGGTTGTCACACTCTACTTAGAGGAATAATTACACAGTAATACAGACACTAATGTAAAGTTTTGCCTCTTTATTTATTATTTATCTATCACCCATTTACTGAGCCTGGACTTTGACCATGTCATGCACCATGTAGTGCGATACTGACACTGTTCTCAAATGTAACACTTTTTTTTTTCTTCTACTTGTGACTCTCTCCACTCCATCATCCTTGCAGACAGACATTTATTGTGCATGCTAACGACAGGGTTAGGCAGTACCTTCCTTGCTAACTATACATGCCGATCCTGCCTGGCATTGTTTACAGCCGAAGCTGTGCACTGATGTGATGATGGTGCTAGTCAGATGACGGTTGCTAGCCTGGCAGCTAGCTAACGTTATCTAGGTTACGGTAACAATGTTATACCTAGCTAGCTATCAATGTATGGCTATTGCCTAATGTTGAAAAGTCTGAACGTAACAGATAATAGACACAGGTACAAGATAATAAAACATTATCTAGCATTGAGTTGCTTGCTAGCTAGCAGTTAACGTTAGCATTCTTACCGAGACGACTCCTCGGAGAAACCTCCGTCAAGGAGTCGGACTTTACAAAACAGGACACCGTTGACAAAGGGGACGGAGGAGAGCTCATCCAGCTCGAAATCCACTTTAAACTTGAATTTCTTTTTCTTCATCATCATGAAATCCATAAACCGTTAGTTGAGCCTGATAATGTGTCTTTCTTCTAATCTCAACACACCCCCATAGCAGCGGCGATGATTTGTGAGTGACAATGTTCGTGCTACGGTCAGCCGCCGAGGAAGTCTTCGGGCTCGTTCCAGGTCACCTATATTTATAGGGGACTGCATGGCGCGTTCCAGGTCACCTACATTGTAAGCACTGCGGTCAATCTGTTTTCTTTCTTTTGGTTTACTTGTTTGTTATTGATTTTAAAGTTGGGATCTATTCTGCTTCCATATTTTATTAACTACCCAGCCAATAAGTAACATTAAAGAAAACATTTCAAGAGGGAAAGAGGAGTGTATCCCGTCCTTAATAGTACAGTGTATCGGTGTAGTCTGAATGAAAAAGGCAGCAGTACTTTGTCACCATCTTGTGGCAAATGAGCGGACTTTTTTTTATTAATTTTTTTATTTAACCAGGTAAGCCAGTTGAGAACAAGTTCTCATTTACAACTGCGACCTGGCCAAGATAAAGCAAAGCAGTGCGATAAAAACAACAACAACACAGAGTTACATATGGGGTAAAACAAAACATAAAGTCAAAAATACAACAGAAAATATTTCTGTATAATTTCAGGACTGGTCATTCAACTGAGACTGCTCTTCTCTGTGTCACGGAGGCTCTCCGCACTGCTAAAGCTAACTCTCTCTCCTCTGCTCTTGTCCTTCTAGACCTGTCTGCTGCCTTTGATACTGTGAACCATCAGATCCTCCTCTCCACCCTCTCCGAGCTGGGCATCTCCGGCGCGGCTCACTCCTGGATTGCGTCCTACCTGACCGGTCGCTCCTACCAAGTGGCGTGGCGAGAAGCTGTCTCCGCACCACGTGCTCTCACCACTGGTGTCCCCCAGGGCTCAGTTATAGGCCCTCTCCTTTTCTCCCTATACACCAAGTCACTTGGCTCTGTCATATCCTCACATGGCCTCTCCTATCATTGCTACGCTGACGATACACAACTAATCTTCTCCTTTCCCCCTTCTGATAACCAGGTGGCGAATCGCATCTCTGCATGTCTGGCCGACATATCAGTATGGATGACGGATCACCACCTCAAGCTGAACCCTGGCAAGACGGAGCTGCTCTTCCTCCCGGGGAAGGACTGCCCGTTCCATGATCTCGCCATCACGGTTGACAACTCCGTTGTGTCCTCCTCCCAGAGTGCGAAGAGCCTTGGCGTGACCCTGGACAACATCCTGTCGTTCTCCGCTAACATCAAGGCGGTGACCCGATCCTGCAGGTTCATGCTCTACAACATTCGGAGAGTACGACCCTGCCTTACACAGGAAGCGGCACAGGTCCTAATCCAGGCACTTGTCATCTCCCGTCTGGATTACTGCAACTCGCTGTTGGCTGGGCTCCCTGCCTGTGCCATTAAACCCCTACAACTCATCCAGAATGCCGCAGCCCGTCTGGTGTTCAACCTTCCCATGTTCTCTCACGTCACCCCCCTCCTCCGCACACTCCACTGGCTTCCAGTTGAAGCTCGCATCCGTTACAAGACCATGGTGCTTGCCTATGGAGCAGTGAGGGGAACGGCACCTCCGTACCTTCAGGCTCTGATCAGTCCCTACACCCAAACGAGGGCATTGCGTTCATCCACCTCTGGCCTGCTGGCTCCCCTTCCTCTGCGGAAGCATAGTTCCTGCTCAGCCCAGTCAAAACTGTTCGCTGCTCTGGCACCCCAATGGTGGAACAAGCTCCCTCACGACGCCAGGACAGCGGAGTCACTCACCACCTTCCGGAGACATGTAGCAAGTTATGGAGGTAAGGCAATAAATAGGCCATAGTGCAAAATAATTACAATTAGTATTACCACTGGAATGATAGATGTGCAAGAGATGATGTGCAAATAGACACTGGGGTGCAAATGAGCAAAATAAATAACAATATGGGGATGAGGTAGTTGGGTGGGCTAATTTCAGATGGGCTGTGTACAGGTGCAGTGATCGGTAAGCTGCTCTGACAACTGATGCTTAAAGTTAGTTAGACTTACTTACACACGCACACACAGATAATTCGTTATATAAGTTATAAATACATTATGTAGCAGCCAGTGAGTTACAGGAAGATCATAGAATTTACAGACCATACACTGCATACTCAGCTGTCAGAGTTGGGCATATTATTATTCAGATGACTAATAGAAACGTGGCGATGGGGGAGGAGGGTGGTTTATAAGGAGGGGAATTCAGAGACCGTAAACAAACTAATTTGTCGAACTTTCCTTCCTATTGCTATGGCAGAGTAAAATGGCAGAGTAAAACAGCATATCTGTAGGCTTTACTGTGGAATCCACACGCTTCCAGAGGGGCACAAGCAGCAGGGAGTAATGTAGACTTGGGGAAGACACACTGCTAGAATAGACTAGCCTACTTGTTTACACTAGGGTGTGTCCATCCAAAATGAAATGAAAGAAGCAGTCTCAAGTCCCACCGTTTTTTCCAGACAGTTTACCCTACCAGGAGTTATTCTATCTGAAAGTAGTTAAATAGATGTTAACATACATTATTGTTGATCAGTGAATGCTACTGAATTATGACAAGTATTTTCTAGGCTGCAAATCGCGGAAGTCCTCTTGAAGCTCAAACAATGATGGTGGATTATTGAAGACAGTTCACTCAGGCCGTTTACCGTTGAAAGAAACTGTAAGTTCCGGTCTGCTTAACGGGGTGGTTCTCCCTCAGACATCAATGCAATAGCAGCTGGGTCTGGTCCGCTTAGTTCATTGACTGTAATGTAACTAGAAAAAATGAGGGAGTTAGATGTCTCGCTTCCTCTTCCGTCTCAGGCTCAAACCATAGTTGGCAGTGGCACGCAATTGCTCTTCCAGTTTTTCTCCGCAGTCTCCTGTATTCATTATCCTGTCGAGTTTTTCGAGTATCTCCGTTGATTTTTGGATACTGCCGATTTTTGGACAACTGCAATAATGTATCAAGTCATAAGAAAACTCGTGTTTACAGATTCATATTGTGCCAGTGACGCTGCGAAGACTTATGAAGAATTATTTGAGAAATTAGATGCCAACAAAGATGGGAAAGTGGATGTTGCAGAACTCAAGGAGGGCCCTCTCTGCTTTGGGCATTGCTTTCGGGAAAGGAGACGCGCAGGTAAATAGCATTTTACATGTGATCAGATAGACTGTCTATATGACAAAAAAAAGTGTTATTTTAGTGTCAAAATGACATTATTGTGTAGAGCAATTTATAGATCTACACAATATGATGGTTGTAGCCCCTCCCATGGGCAAATAGTGATGACAGATGCCAAGCAAATATATGACCAAAAAAACGTGTTATTTTAGTGTCAAATGGACATTATTTGTGTAGAGCAAGTTAGATCTACACAATATGATGGCTGTAGCCCCTCCCATGGGCTAATAGTGTTGACAGATGCCAAGCAAATGTGGCATTGCAACCAGTGACAGGTTTTAATTACTAAGTTATACAAATTGAAATGTATTCTAGTCTAGTCATTTTTGTTGTTGTCATATAGCAGATGCTCTTATCCAGAGCGACTTACAGGAGCAATTAGTGTTAAGTGTCGGCTCGGGATTCGAACCAGCAACCTTTTGGTTATTGGACCAACACTCTAACCACTAGGGGCAGCAGGTAGCTTACTTGAAGTACTGCATATCTTGCATCTTGGATTACCATTAAACAATCCGTTTACTGTATTACACCTATCTTATATCATAAAGAGAGCAAAGCACATGGGCATCCCATGTCATAATTTTGCTAGATATGACTGAGGAGGTTGGTTCTTGATAAGACTCAGTATCTTAACATTTCCATATTTATTTCCATATACATATAGATAACACCTGAACCTGTCATATAGTACCAGGTAGCCTGCTGAACGCTGCAAGGAAAGGGAATCGTTAGAGGGAATTTTGCCTGTAGCTTCAAAAGTTGAAACAGGAAAGGCAAGGCTTTATTGTCAGGGTGCGACTAAGGATAAGGCCACACCTTTAAAGGTCAAATATGGCATTCCTGCGATCCTTAGTTTGCTCCCAGTCACAGCCTTATGACTTTTCATTTATCTGTTTGCACAGAAAAGTGAAAGGCAACTCCTAAAACACTCATTCACGAGGGTCAGCATCAGTTCATCCTTGATACATAATGATATGAATGCCCTATCCCCTGTTGTATGGGAGTTGAGATGACATATAGATTAGATAATCTGCTCAGTGCCTGTATAGCCTACAAGCATAATTTCAAGTCAGGTAGCCCATCCCTGGGTGAGGCAACACACCAATGCACTTTGACCCCATTACACTTTGACCCCATTACATTTATTTGGTCATACAGTCTACAGTACACCATCCCTGTAAATCCAATGAATCCTCAATGTTTTCTATAAAGAAAACAGTAGGTGGCACAATAGTCCAGCTGAAGGTCGAGCAGCCAACTGCCACTCTCCATTGAAAGTGTTTAATGTAAAGGTTTTGGAGAGATTTTACAATTATTATTTCAAGCTAGGAATGTCTACACTAAGAAAATGTACAATGGTGGTGGATTGTAAATGTGTTTTTGTTTTATTATTCCCAGAAAATAGTTTCATCTGGAGACCAGGACAACGACGAGGGTCTTGACATCAATGAGTTCTCCAAGTACCTGAAGGAACATGAGAAGAAACTGATGCTGACGTTCAAGAGCCTGGATAAAAACAATGACGGTATATTAGGCTACCCCCACTACAATATATCAATACTTAAAATACAGTAAATTATTTGATTCAATGTAAATTATTCTATATTTTATCTCATGGCATTGTTTTTTCCTACAGGACGCATTGACTATATGGAGATAAAGCAGTCCCTTGCCGACCTGGGGATGGACATCAGCAAGGAAGAGGCCGAGAAGATCCTTCAGACGTAAGCCCTCAGTCATATATCTCACTGTCACATGTATCACGTTTGTTGTCTGGTGTCATGGCGACATCAGCTGTTAAACAACCCACATTGGGCATATATTTATTTTGATGATACAGTATATCCACTCCAGCATGTTAGCTGAGCTCACTCTGTGGTTGTTCTCAGTCATTGAATGTTTATGTTGGGCCTGGCACTTTCACTATCCTCTGGTTGTGATGGGCGGGGACCCCTGCATGGTTTCACTCTAGCCTCCTGCTGCGGTGGAGCTGATAACATTAATACAGCCCCTGACTGGGGGAGGGGGGATAATAAACACCTAGAATGAAAATCAGAAAGTAGCCATTACATGTATGTGTAGTTTCTTTGCTGTGTTGACATCATTAATATTATATTATTTAAATAGATTATATTTGAGTTGGAAGGGTTACTACAGGACAGGGCACGACAGAGAGTGTTAATTTCCATAACCAAAGCAGTCAGATAGACTGACACACTTTTTGTCTAATGAATACTGGAGAGATAAGTGGAAGGAGAGAGAGGGATGGGCAGGGAGAGCAGGTCTCCAGTAAAGTACAGCATGGATCAGTAATCTCATTTACTTATTGATTATTGTGGCTGTTGTCTGCTCTCAGCGGAAGTGCAGCCGTGAACTTATCAGGAGTTAAACCAGGTTGGGATTTGAGATGGCAGCTGAGAAATATCAGTGTCATTTTCTATCCTAAATCCACTAGTTGTTTTGCAGTCTGCAAAATAAAACAAAAATGTTCGCTCTCCTTCTTACACTTTGTTGGAGTAAATCCAAAATACACAACCAATACTTGAATGTCCTCTATTTGCTGCACCATTATTGTTATTTTTCCCCATTGTACTGACCCAATGACAGTGTCTCCCTTCTGTCTCTCTGTCCTGCAGAATTGATGTGGATGGAACCATGACTGTGGACTGGAATGAATGGAGGGAACACTTCCTCTTCAACACTGCCACCAACCTGCAGGACATTATCCGCTATTGGAAGCACTCCACGGTGAGTGTGTGTGTGTGTGTGAAAGAGAGAGACAGGGATTGCATGTTTGTGTGACTGAGTTTGTTTGTCTCTGTTTGGGAGTGTGTACTTGCTGAGTTGTCCTACACATCACTACAACCTGTTACATCGGAGTCAACAGTAGGGTCGCTTTCAAGGAACGGGACATGTACGCTTGCAAGAAAGCCTGCTACGACCTCCGACGAGCCATCAAACATGGAAAAGGTCAATATAGGACAAAGATAGATTTATACTACACCGGCTCTAACCCTCGTCAGATGTGGCAGGGTTTGCAGACTATTACGGATTACAAAGGGAAACGCAGCCGTGAGTTGCCCAGTGACGCAAACCTCCCAGACGAGCTTGAATGCCTTCTATGCTCGCGTCGAGGCAAACAACACTGAGCCAGGCATGAGAGCCCCTGCTGTCCCGGAACAACTGTTTGATCTCGCTCTCCATGGCCGATGTGAGTAAGACTTTTAAACAGGTTAACACACGCAAGGCCGCTGGGCCAGACAGAATACCAGGGCACATTCTCAGAGCATGCCCAGACCAGCTGGAAAGTGTCTTCACAGACATTTTCAGCATCTCCTTGTGCCAATCTGTAATCCCAACATGTTTCAAGCAGACCACCAAGAACTCAAAGGTAACCTGCCTAAACGACTATCATCCCGTAGCACTCACATCTGTAACCATGAAATGCTTTGAAAGACTGTTCATGGCACACATCAACATCATCAACCCAGACACCCTGGGCCCACTCTAATTCGCATACCACCCCAACAGATCCCCAGATGACGCAATCTCTATTGCACTCCACACTGCTCTCTCCCACCTGGACAAGAGGAATACCTATGTGAGAATGCTGTTTATTGACTACAGCTCAGCGTTCAACACCATAGTCCCCTCAAAGCTCATTACCAAGCTCGGTACCCTGGGACTGAACACATCCCTCTGCAACTTGATCCTGGACTTTCTGACGGGCCGCCCCCAGGTGGTGAGGGTAGGGAACAACACATCTGCCACGCTACCCTCAACACGGGGGCCCCTCAGGGGTGTGTGCTTAGTCCCCTCCTGTACTCCCTGTTCACCAACGACTGTGTGGCCACGCACGACTCCAAAACCATTATTAAGTTTGCTGACGACACAACGGTGGTAGGCCTACAGGGAGGAGGTCAGAGACCTGGCCGTGTGGTGCCAGGACAATAACCTCTCCTTCAACATTAGCAAGACAAAGGAGCTGATCGTGGACTACAGGAAACATCAGTGGGGCTGTACTGGAGCGGGTCGAGAGCTTCAAGTTCCTCGGTGTCCACATCACCAAAGACTTAACATGGTCCTCTCACACCAGCTCAGTCGTGAAGAAGCCGCGACAGTGCCTCTTCCCCCTCAGAATGTTGAAAAGATCCTTAAAACTACAACTGCACCATTGAGAGCATCTTAACTGGCTGCATCATTGCTTGGTATGGCAACTGCACCGCCCTCGATCGCAAGGTGCTACAGAGGGTGGTGCGGACGGCCCAGTACATCATTGGGGCCGAGCTCCCTGCCATCCTGGATCTCTATACCAGACAGTGTCAGAGGAAGGCCCGGAAAATTGTCAAAGACCCCAGCCACCCAAGCCATAGACTGTTCTCTCTGCTACCGCATGGCAAGCGGTACCGGAGTGCCAAGTCTGGGACCAAATGGCACCTGAACAGCTTCTACCCCTGCTGAACAGTTAATCAAATGGCTACCCGGACTATTTGCATTGACCATTTTTTGCACTGACTCCCTTACACAGACTCTAATGCACACTCACTGGACTCTACCAACACACTCACACATACTTACACTGACACTCCTACACACACACACACACACACACACTACACATGCTCACACACACAAAACACACTCACACATGCATATTGACGCCACACACATACACACACTTTCACACTCTTCAAATATGCTGCAGCTACTCTGTTTATTATCTATCCTGATTGCCTAGTCACTTTTACCCCTACCTACATGTACATATTACCTCAACTACCTCATACCCCTGCACATTGACTCGGTACCTGTACTCCTGGTATATAGCCTCGTTATTGTTTTTATTGTGTTACTATTTTTCTATTTTTATTTGCTAACTTACTTACTTTTTAACTGCATTGCTGGGAAAGGGCTCGTAAGAAAGCATTTCACAGTAAAGTCTACACCTGTTGTAGTCGGCGCATGTGACAAATGAGCTCAACAATATCACAATCAGATATCAAAAGATTGGTGGTGACAATTTTGCACCTTGCATACAAGCTCAACTTGTAACAACACTTGCTTGAATAGAGTAACTATTGTTGTAACAGTGCTACAACTGTCATTACATAAGGACAGTGCAATGTCTGCCCTTCACAACCGTTTGACAGACAGTAGAGGGGAGAGTTGTGCATAAGAGTTCCTTCCCTGCTGGTTCTGGAGATGTCCCAGGACTTGTGTAATGACATGGTTCCTCTTTATGTCAATGGAATCAGACGGAGTCAAGAGTCAGTCAAGAAACAGGCAAAGGAGGGAGGGAGGGAGGGAGGGAGGGAGGGAGGAGAGATAGAGGTGAAGTAATAGGCTTTGTCTTCTGTTTACACGCTCATGTATAGGGGAGTATTGGCTCCTGAATGAAAGACAGACAGTGATGTGGAGAGAACTAGCCAGTCACAGTAGAGGAAGGAACAGTCAACAAACTGACAGGTCATGTGGCAGTGCAACCTGGGGGTGCAGTTTTTATTGCTGAATATTTTGATATCCTCATGTCCTACAACAGGGCTCTCCAACCCTGTTCCTTGAATGCTACCGTCCTGTAGGATTTTGTTCCAACCCTAATCTAGCGCACATGATTCTAATAATTAGCTGGTTGATAAGCTGAATCAGGTTAGTTACAACTGGGGTTGCAGCGAAACCCTACAGGAGGGTAACTCTCCAGGAACAGGGTTGGAGAGCCCTGTCCTAGAATCTGGATTCTCGACCAAAGTTCTGAAACTAGGACTTCCTGAACAATAAGAACATCAACCACTCCAAGAACCTCATAGTCAATTCACACTGTCAAGTTTTATAGCTGTTATTTAGATTGAATAGGTTATTGAATCTGCCAATTTTATATTTTATTGGGAAGCACCTGCAAACTGTCAAAGTGCACTGTACCAATCAATTAATACAATTTTCCTTAATGAAATGTAATACTGATGCATTGCATGTAAGCCAACACAACAACACTCAAACAGATCCGGTCAATGCCAGTGACTGGTAACCTTTGACATTGGATCCTCTGCCCATTCATCCACCCAAGAGAGAGATGTTGAATAAACCTGCATGACTTAGCTAAGCTAGGCTACGGTAAGCTAATTTAAGGCTGTCCTAGGAGGGGATTAGCTTGTTAGTGGCTTGGGACGGTGTGGGAGGTAAGGAAGTCAATGTGATGTGAGTCTGGGCGGGATAGGACCAGAGGAGGGTTTTATCTGGTTGTTATTGGGGCGGAAGTAGGCTACAGTGCCACTGGGACATTGACTGGCTGGCCCAGTACATACAACTGGCTATTGCATGGCTCTGAACCGACAGACCGACCAGTACCAGGATCAGTATCACGGCTCAGATTCGGGCTGGGGCGACATGGCACTGCTGCAGCATCCCAAAGAAAAGTGGTTCATTATTGATTTTGAGGATGATGGAAATATCTGTGAGGTGGAGATTGAGGTGGTAGGTTCCATAGAGATCCTATTAAATTACAAATTCCTAATTCTATGGTAGGTTCACTCCTCCGTCCTCTATTAAGTGAATTTAGACTTTATTTTGTCCATGATAAAGTATCTTTCTTTACCAACACTGAGCACTGAGGAGATCGTATTGGACCTGGAAGTCAGTATGCCGATGAATTATTTGGTTTGTATATGTTTTTGGTGGCAAATTATTATTATAGTGAGATGCCTTTACTTATGGAAGCCCATAGACATCTGTTGATTATGTTTATTACTGCATCCAGAGTTGTCTTCTGAGTTGTTTTGTTTTTGTTGTTGTATTGAAAATAGTGTATTGAATTTGCATTACATTGAAGGCAGTCATTTTTGTCTTCGAAAATTGGAGCAATCTGCTGTCACGATAATAACACAATTATACCACAGTAATAATATACTGGTATGTAATTGTTGAAATGGGACATTTGTTTCCGTTGTACCATTTTGTTAAATGAGTGTTCTGCAATGTTGAGCTAATACGCTGTAATTGGCATCAGTGGCATCCATGTAGACACACACATAGACACACCATGTTACATAAAGTGAGAATTAGGCCAAGGTAAAACATCAAGGGTTCGGTAGGATTAGGTTCAAGGTTGGCGTGAGGTTATGATTGGTCAGGGTGTTTGGGCAGTACTGAGAGGTATACTACAAAGCTGGATCAATGAGTTAGCCAGCTAACTTTCCTACATGTTCTGAATTTTTTGAAAGATAAGCTTGAAATGGGCATATTCTCATTGTCTCAACAACCACAAACACATATCTAAGTTTAGCTTTCTACTGAACCAAAAAATCTATAGTTATTTCAGGTTGTTCATCAAAGTTAGCTGACTAATTCATTGATCCTGCTAGTATACCCCTCTGGTGTTATGTCACAGGTCTTGGGAGGTGAAAGGGTTTGTTGCTGTGCAGTGCTGGTGTTGTGGGGTTCAGGTCTCTGGTGAAGGACGGATGTAATTAGGGAGTGGGACTTAAAGATCTTAGTGAGATGTGATCAAATAGGCCCCATCTCCTTTACATGTGGGTCACCCTGTTGCTTTAGATGAAGCTGATCTTGCTGCTCATAACTGATCCTCCATCGTCTCATCATTCATCAAAATATTCATAATCAAATGTTATCAGCATTTGTTCTGCTTGGCGCTCTTTCGATGTGCGTTCTTTTTTTTCCGCGCTTTTCCGACCAATGCGCTCTGCTACTCCCAGACCCACATATATTTTAATTCGCTACTAGAATATTTCAGCACACTTTGAACCAAAATGGATCGAATCAAGTTTAGTATGGAGGCGCAACCGTCTTTCCACTCAATGTTGTTGTCGGCCTAGAATTAAACCTGTTCCACGTCACGCGCTTCTATAGTTTTATGCATTAATATGCATTTTATGCGATGTATAATTGCATTTTTGTGTAGGCTACTGGTAAAAAATGTTTTTGAATGAACTACTTATTTCTTCGACCTGCAAATCAATAGTATTGATTGGGGGTGCGTGAGAACAAGCGTGCTAAGACTTTATTGGGGGCAAACTCAGTGTTTCAAAATGTTGGCTATATTCGTTAACAGTATGCATGTGTTTCTGTGTATTGTGATAGGTGCTGGATATTGGGGACAGCCTCACCATCCCTGATGAGTTCACAGAGGAGGAGAAGACAACAGGTGTGTGGTGGAAACAGCTGGCAGCCGGCGCCATGGCTGGGGCGGTCTCTCGGACAGGCACCGCCCCTCTGGACAGGATGAAGGTGTTCATGCAGGTATGTACTGTGGGCCAACATGCCTAACTCTATTAAGCATAGTCCAAGAAATGTATTGTGTATGTCCTTCTTGGTAAAGTTAGATGCAGTATACAGTAAATGTGAAGACCATATCAAATTAATTTACCTTTCTTGTGATGCTTGGAGGACATGGGGAGATCCTACCTGCAGGGATCGAATTACAGGGAGCTAAGGAGGTGGCCCTCACAATAATTGAAATATCAATGTGCCCCCCACAAATGATACCGACAACAGGCACCAAGAGGTATTTGGCACCCACAAGAGTCAATGTGTAATTCGAACCCTGATTATCTGTGATTTCTCTTTCTCAGGTGCACGGTTCCAAGACCAATAAGATCAGTCTGGTAGGGGGCTTCAAGCAGATGATAAAGGAGGGGGGTGTCAGCTCCCTGTGGAGGGGCAACGGGACCAACGTCCTGAAGATCGCCCCTGAGACTGCCATCAAGTTCATGGCCTACGAACAGGTGAGAAACAATCAAAATTCTATCTTTGTTGTTTTTAAGACCTGTGGATCAGATCTATTTCGAGTTACTTTTTTCTTATCTGGTTAACCATGTAGCCACATAGACCGGGCATTATGTCTACTGTAATTGTATTCTGTATGTCTCTGGGCCATCAGCACAGTTTCACTTTGCTGGCTCTGTTCCTCTTGGCAGTATAAGAAGATGCTGTCGTCAGAGGGAGGGAAGGTCCAGACCCACGAGAGGTTCATTGCTGGATCACTGGCCGGGGCCTCCGCTCAGACGGCCATCTACCCCATGGAGGTGAGGAGAGGATGCGAGTGAAAGGGAATGGGAGGGGAGAGAAGTGGAGGGGAGTAGAGAGATAAAGAAATGGGGATAAACATGAGCGGGAAGGAGAAGAGGGGAGCGCAGAGAGAGAATATATTCAGTGTAGTTTTATAACCAGCTAAAGTCTCTTTTTACTTTGTCCTTTTAGGTAATGAAGACAAGGCTTACGCTGAGGAAGACTGGACAGTACTCAGGAATGTTTGACTGTGCCAAGAAGATCCTGAAGAAGGAGGGAGTGAAGGCCTTCTATAAGGGCTACGTTCCAAACATCCTGGGCATCATTCCATATGCTGGGATAGACCTGGCAGTGTACGAGGTGTGTCCAAACATTTCTAACTGGATAAAACCGTTTTTTAAGGGTTTGGACAAGTCATTGATGTAGTCTGGTCCCAGATCTATGTGTGCTGTATGGTGTTGTACTTCTTTGGTTGTTGGTTATACAGCAGAAACCTTTGAAGATGTCAACCCAGTTTTACCAGTAAATGTAGGTGATTGTGACCTCTTGGCCTAATCATGATTCCTGACTCTCTCTTTGTGCTCTACTCTACCCCTTCTTACCTCAGAGTCTGAAGAATGCGTGGCTGGCCCGTTATGCCAAAGACACAGCTAATCCTGGGATCCTGGTGCTGTTGGCCTGTGGTACCATCTCCAGCACCTGTGGCCAGCTGGCCAGTTATCCCCTGGCTCTGATCCGAACCAGGATGCAGGCAGCAGGTAAACCTCAGAGATCACTCAAAACCCAAACCTGTGACTGCACAAAGTGTTACAACACTGTCACATATTGAAACAGACTGGTCTCATAGACTAGACGTAACATAGTAAGGGAAAGGGGGATACCTAGTCAGTTGTACAACTGAATGCATTCAACTGAAATGTGTCTTCCACATTTAACCCAACCCCTCTGAATCAGAGAGGTGCGGAGGGCTGCCTTAATCGACATCCACGTCTTTGGCGCCCGTGGAACAGTGGGTTAACTGCCTTGCTCGGGCAGAATGACAGAGTTTTACCTTGTCAGCTCGGGGATTCGATCCAGCAACCTTTCGGTTACTGGCCCAACGCTCCTATGGTATGGTTACATAAGACAGAAGGTTACTTAAAGCAAAAGGAGGATGGATGGATGGATGGATGGATGGATGGATGGATGGATGGATGGATGGATGGATGGATGGATGGATGGATGGATGGATGGATGGATGGATGGATGGATGGATGGATGGATGGATGGATGGATGGATGGATGGATGGATGGATGGATGGATGGATAACGCAAATGTCTAGCAACCCACAGGTTGCGTGTTTGAATCTCATCATGGACAACTTTAGCATTTTAGCTAATTAGCAACTTTGAAACTAGTTACTACTTGTAGCTAGTTTGCAACTAATTTACTTAGCATGTTAGCTAACCCTTCCCCTAACCCTTGAACCTAACCCTAACCTTTTAACCTAACTCCTAACCTTAAACCTATCCTTAACCCCTAAAGGCATCAGCAAGCTTCAGTTCGGCTGGCAGCTAGCCGAAGTCGGCTAGGCGAACCGAACGAGTGTGCTCGCATACTCCCTTAAAAGACCTTCGCTTAAAAAAATGAGAACAAAGCGGCAATAGTACTGTTTGGCCATTTTGAGATGCCATAGCCAGTATACACTTCCTCAAAATAGTCAGAATTAATCTAAGATAACTCAAGAAATCTGTCATTAATTTGGACTTTTTTGGCAAAGGAGATCTTAGTTGCGCAATTTTACATCTAAGATGTTTGGTGCAGTATTTCTCAATTAAAAATGTGCATGAAAACGAGTCGTCTCTCGTTGAATGACAACAAAGAATCCCTACAGTTGACGGACGAAGGGGCGTACACTTAAACTCCTGAACTTCGGCTGGCCTTGAGAAAAAAATGTGTGTGCCCGAACAGCCGAAAAATCACTTACCGAAGTCCAAAACGAATAAAAACATCAACATGTCGTCATAATATCTGCAGAAACACTTCCAAACTGTTTCAGCTAGAAAGCATGCGGACGTCTGTTATGATGAGTTTCGGGTATGAATAAGTACAGGATGTAAGAGAAAGCAGCAGACACTCAGATGGAAGTTTGACTCTACATTTATTCAGTACTGGATCACATAATAAGATGAATGTGCTTTGCCTCTTATCATGTAACGGAATTACATAGACTCTCTCTCAGCCTATATAGTGCTCTTCCAGTCTACTTTTGTCTTATCCAGTTGCTAACCATAATTGAGTTGTCACTCAACTACGCCCATATCATTCCTTTCCTTGGTTTCGTGTGGCAAACTAGTCATGACATTTCATCACGCACCATTCCTAAGATTAGCACCAGTGGCCCCCCAATCTATCTTGGCACACCAACCCTCTAGTACTCACTCGTGATACTACGAACACATGGCTTTCCTCGCTTTCACATACAATTTACAATCTTTATAATATTGGATCAAACACTCTTCATATCAACGTCTTAACCCTAACCCCTAGCCTAGCTAACGTTAGCCTCAAATTGGAATTCATAACATATTGTACGAATTTAAATTCGGAACAGGACATCCACAAATTAATACATACCATACCATACGAAACGTAAAATATCATACTAAATGGAGTGTTTCGGATTTATGTACAGAAAACGAAATACTCTGAGACCACGTTGAGAGAAAAACCAAATCCCACTCCGGTCTCAAACATGATGTATTATCATGGCCAAGATGACTGACTGAATTATATCCACTAAACCGAAGTCTTCAAAATATATAACTGTAGCAACAACTCCTGATTGATTTAACATGTCAAATTAGTCCATGGTAATACCAACTTAATTTCCTCCCTATCTTTCCCTTTTCTCTCAGCATCCATCGAGGGCTCGGAGCAGATGACCATGAATCATCTGGTGAAGAAGATCTTGGAGAAAGAAGGATTCTTTGGACTGTACCGTGGAATCCTGCCCAACTTCATGAAAGTCATCCCAGCTGTCAGTATCAGCTATGTGGTGTACGAGTACATGAGGACTGGGCTGGGCATCTCTAAGTGAGGAGTGGAATTGTATTAGTGTGTGTGGGTTCACATATGTGTGTCAGTCAGATTATTTGAAACCATTTCCCTCCATATTTTCAGTGACATTTGTTGTTGGAAATTGCATGTGAAATAAAAATAACTGTTTACCTGTTCCACCAAAACCTGGACTCAATCTAGCTGTTGCTAGGGTGTTAGTCCATTGTCTTGGGACCTTTTTTATTACAACCACGCACACAAACTTCCCAAGGCAGTCTGAATGGTCATCAGTCAAACACTATGGTGGTTTACGTATTCCAAGTTTCCCCAAGTATACCCAGTTACCAAAGAAAGATAGAGGTAAGATGTTTCACCTGAGATGCACAAACCTGAGATAGTTATATATTATTTTTACATAACACACTAGACAAGGTCAGTTACTGGAGAAATAAAATAAAACATTCTGGGGGAATTAGGGTTGCGTTCTAAATTTGAGTGTCAGGGTGAAATAGAAGATGGCTCCTGTCTTGTTGGAAGGCAGAGTCATGCAAATGTTGTTTTGCACATTTTGGGTCCATGAAAAAGGAGTATGTGCCTTATTGTGTGATTTGTTCAGATCTCTGACCTGTGGGCCTGTCCATCCATCCAATTTGTCTTGCCTTTTTTCCAAAGTTTTGTTAAATTAGATACTCCTGTGTAAAATAAAATAAATATTTTAATACAAAGATGTGCTGAGTCCATTCTTTCAAGCCTTTCACACATTAATTCATTGTAGGCTGAGGCTGGTCACGCCGCCACGCCGTTGTTTTATTATCTGCAATAATAATGCATGACACTGACACACCACATCGATATAAAGCAGATGTCTGAAACGTACCACCTGCTCATTACAGTTTTGCCAGAACCAGAGCCTAAAGGATACACTTTCAGTATCAGTCAGCCTTTTTTAAGAACCATAAATAACACAATCAAACATATGCCATCACAAACACACTCTTTGCCCTTTTAGATATCTTTCCATTCACACTTAAAATATGTTCAATTACAAATGTGTCTATACTCTGTAGCATGAATTCATTGCTCTGAGAATATCTTCTTCTCTGGGTAGACTCCCTTGAGAACCAGTGTGGCCACCAGTGAGAGGAAGGCCACCACCGACAGTATAGTACGCAGGGCTTTGAACCAGCTGGGGTAAGTGGGCAGCAGAGACAGGTCATAGTGTAGGGAGATACCTAGCCCCATGATGACCATCATAGCTGCTGGGGTAATAGTGTCGCTGAACAGCATGGCCAGCCAGGCAAACAGGGACGGAACCACGCTATTGGCCAGGTTGATCCAGTCTGGCTTGGCCGGGCTAGTCTCTGGGATGGCAAAGCCCCAACGCGCCCCACCCAGGAAAGACAAGATAGATGCTCCATAGGCCACCTGGGCGAAGGCCACCTCTGGCATGTAGGTCTCGGTCACAGCCATGACGAACGGAGCAGAGATGAAAGGGATGAGGCCGGAGAGGCCCAGGTACAGCGCTGGTTTGGGGCTCTTTCCCAGGTCTCTCATGTCATAACGGAGCAGGTCCAACTCTCTGGGTGGAGGCTCTGGTTGTTGTCGTTTCTTCAGCCTCGCAGCAGAGCTGTGGAAGTACTGGGTCCTCAATAGACCAAGTCCAACAGCATCACTTATTTTAGGGAGCAGCCTGGCCGAGGAGCCCCTGCAAGGCCACAGGGGACAGGAACCATAGGAGGCATCAGACACCCTGGCTGAGGCAGCAGCAGACAGGCAGGACATCTGCTGTGGAGAGCCCCAATGCCATCCATGGAAATAGAGATTAAATAAGATCAGTAGATGGACATGAAACAATGTTTATAGTCTCCTCTTACAGGTAAACTCACCTTGTGAGCAATAAGGATGTGTCTTCTAAATATACCAGCCAACATCTTATCTGAAAAGATAGAACATTTTAATAAATAGGCCAAAATCCGAATAGCATAGTGCTATCTGAATGTCTGAAATCTCTGCATGCTAAAAACTAACGCACGTAGTTGCTTGTGTAGAAAGTCATATATTGTTAATGTCTCATTCAAATCACTGTCTCTGCGCAGAGAACATTTCTATACTATCTCGGATTATTGTATTCTTACTTGTTTTTCAAATCGGAATTAAAATGTTTGTCATAAATAAGTAAAAAGCCGCTGTCCCGTATGTCAGATATGCTCACGGCTGGCTTGTGTGCGCACGGATATGTATTCCGTCCGTACAGTGACCTATGAGAAGTCTGGTTCCACAACAGTATCGATGAATTGTTCAATTAAATGTGGTGGATATATGTTCTACATCATTTGGATTAAACCAATAAACTGACAGACAATAGACCACATGTTACAGGCACAGCGGAGACCACTGTTTATAAACTTGTTATAACGCGCGGACATGTGCTCTTCCATCGATTAGTATGTCTAGGACAAACAGGAACAAGTAGCAAGCTAGGATAGCTACTGTTATCTAGTCCAAACGAAAGTCTGATAAAGCGGGATCTCACAACCCAAATGTACTAACTACGATACCTCAAATTATATATTTGCAGTTACAAGACAGGCATGTTCCGTTTACACGTATATATCGGATATTAGCTGACAGAGACAATCGATGGTGGTATGTGTGAGGCTCGAGCCATTGATCTCTATACTAGGTAGGTGGCCATTTTGACACCGTTGATTTCGTCTGCTGCTAGCTCCATTTATCATCTATGGCCGTTGACAGTTACACTTTTTGAGTTTCATTTGTCATCACGTCAAGTAATGCATGTATTGTATTTTATGTAGCTAGCTAATATAATACTATTGAAAGTTGCACCATGCGTAATCGTTCGTTGTTGGCGAGTCTCACTCATTCAATGGCCTACTAGCAGTAACGTTAGCTTGTACGTAATGCTTGTTTACAACCGAGCCTGCTAACTAGTTTGCTAGCTGCTAGCTATATTACATAACTCTTAACTGCCCATTGCCATTCTCTTGCCTAAATGTTGTTTCTTAACAGTGTTGATCTGCTGCAAAGGTGTGAAGAAGTAATTTGAAAAGACGGCTGAGAAGTAAAGAAGAACACTTCGTTTTGTTAAATGCCAAGCCTTACAACACAACTTCAGCAACAATCTCTTCTGCCAGATGCTACAGCAAAGTCAGGATTGTACAATCTAGTAAAAGGCAGACAGTTGTTAGATATACTTTGAAAATTATATGAGTGACCTTTTATTAAGGAGAGTTGCCTCTGTATGACTCGAGTATAATTTTACAGCTAAGAAGTGAGTCAGTTTACATGAGTATGTGCTTTGAATGAATGGTGTATCTGACCAACACAACAGCCTAGGTTTTGCGTGTCTGAGGGTAAGATAAATGCAAGTGTGCACAGAACCAAATCTCCAGTACATTCTCTAGTGATACAACCTCTACAATAGCGAGTTAATGAGAATGTCAGGCTCCTTCTCACACCCCTTCCCAGAAGAGTCAGGATTTAGTGTGTGTTGATTGATACTACTAACTAACACAATGCTAGTCACATCATAGCTATAGGCCCCCTTGGGTTTTGTTATGTGACTGAACCGTGACCCCCCGTTTCTCTCTGTCGTAGCCCTCAGGCTGTGTGGATGAGGTGAACACAGGCTTTTCGCTGTTTTCTCCTTGAAGCAGCACTGTGAGGTAGATTTTCATTTTTCAGAGAGTGTCCACTTCTGGAGACAGGATGTGTTGGTGAGGAGGAATCAGTGTCAGGGCCCGGCCGGCACAAAGTGCTGCTTCCATACACCTTTTGAGAACATAGAACAGTTGAGTTGACTTTCCTCACTGACTCACACAGACACAGATCCCTACTACATATGCGTGCTTTTCATTCATGTCTGACTGATTCAATCGAATCATCTTGACACCGGCCAAGACCTGCAGTACCAATAACTGTGCCAGTCTCCTTACCACCCTTCTTCACTCATCGCCTCACCCTGGAAACTGGAGTTTCTCTCTGCCAGGGGCTCTGTCTCTCTCAGGCTGAAGAGTGGTCCTCCCTCCTGGTCTGCCTCAGCTTAACACACCAGGGCTGGGCCAGCGGTACCAAGCGGAACACATACCACACTGACAGAGAGAAGGGCCACTGGACTACAGAGCTGACTACTCTGGGTAAGAAGGTGATTTGTTATGTCATTCTGGTCAAGCTGTCAGTGGGTACAATCAGTGTCCTCTCTTTATACTGAAGTGAAATGACACTAACTACCAAGTGATTTGGCAGAGTTTACATTTGCACACACTCAAAGAAACTGCAATGATGATCGATGTAAATCCTAATTCATTCAAATCATTCATTTTCATTATTTGGGTAAAGATGGATAAAGACTACCATAAATTGTCTGGCATAAGCAGCCTGAGATTATCTTGCATGAAACACCAACTCCTCTGAAGTAATACCGATTCACACTCATTTCTGTCTGATGTCTGTTATTGGAGGTCTGGCAGTGATATCCCTCTTTCCTTGCCTCTCCAGATCTTGGCCATGAGGTTTGATGCCACGCTCTACTGACGGGAGACACTGGACCTAAATGGCGAAGCATGACTTTGTTCCAGCCTGGCTTAACTTCTCCACTCCCCAGCCCGCCAAGGTAAGTGAGCAAGACCGGTACTGGCTGTCCTAGTATGTTGCTCCTCAAGCAAGGGGGAAGGCTGATGACATCACGACTTCCCATCAAAACCTTGAAGTTTGCAGTTGTCTAAAAAACACTATTTTGCTGAAAAAGTTTTTTTTTTTTACACCCTTTAAGCCAGGTGTACACTACACGATTTAGCTGTCCCAGACAAGTTTTTGAGATTGGAGACAAAATCCCCCTGTCGTTGCCCTCTCATGGTGTGTGAGCTGGTCAGAGACGCAATCTGAGTGCTACCGATCCCGTCTTTGAGCAGTCCCAGACGTCCCAATATTTTCAAACGTTTGATTTTATCGGCACAAAACCTGCAATGCTCTTGTAGTGTAACATGTGCAATGACAAGTTTTGAGAACAGTGATCAGCAATAGCCAATGAGAGCTCGCCAGTGAGATGACGTTGTTTTGAATCACCCAGAATGTGTAGACTTGAGCTGGAGCGATGACTACTTGCGTTTGTACTTGCCAAAGTCACTTTAACCAAAGTCAGTGTCAAATCATGTCAACTCTGAAGTTCACAAGCAATGTTATTTAATTCAAAATGTTGGCTAGATATTTCAACTCTGTATGGCAAGCGGGAATGAGGCTGCGTTAACAATCTATTCACATCATCACGGGACAGCGTGGTATGGAGAATCCTCACGACCAAGTGAAGAATCTTGTAGTGTGTGACCCCCGTCTGTGCCACATCGTTTAGTGAGCGCACCACTAAGTTGGCAAGACAACAAACAACAGGAAAGACAGTCGTTTAATGTGAGCGGCTCGGCGATGTTAGGATTTTGAAAGTTGTGTGTTGTACACCCGGCATTAGTATGTGTACTTTACAGTATTTATACTTGGAATATCACTTTTCAACCTTTATCAGGAGTTATCTTGAGCCTATTTGCAATGAGAATCCATGTGTTTATCCAGCGGAAATGCAGAAGTCTTTTCTTTTTCGCTGTGATGCAGCTCGTCAAAAATGTACGAATACAAACTTGAAATCACTGATTATCATGACAATTTAGCCCACTGGGTGAAACTCCTAGACAGCAGTTGTGAGTAGCCTGATTTTCCATTCCAGATATTGTCCATTTTACTTTGACCTGTCCTGTTTTTAGGATATACTGTATTGTTTGTTAACATGTCATATTCAACATTTTAATTGATTGAACGCCATTTAGGTTAGGCCAGGGGTGTCAAACTTAATTCATCAATCAAGTACGAGGGAGGAGCGAAAACCCACAGACACTCTGCCCTCCGTGGAATGAGTTTGACACCTGTGGGTTAGGCTATTTGATGGGAAAAAGGTGCATGATGTAAAAAGTGTCTCATTACATTGTCATAAAGTTGATCTCCAGCCTGTAGGCTACAGAAAACACCACTCTTTCTACCGTAGGCTATAGGCTACATCATTTACAATGCCTTCAGAAAGTATTCAAACCCCTTGACTTTTTCCACAGTCTGTTGTGTTACAACCTGAATTAAAAATGTATTAAATTGAGATTTTTGGTAACTGGCCTACACACAATACCCCATAATGTCAAAGTGGAATTATGTTTTTCGAAATGTTGACAAATGCATAAAAAAGGAAACACTGAAACGTCTTGAGTCAATAAGTATTCAACCCCTTTGTTATAAATAATAATAATATGCCATTTAGCAGACGCTTTTATCCAAAGCGACTTACAGTCATGTGCGCATACATTTTTACGTATGGGTGGTCCCAGGGATCGAACCCACTACCCTGGCGTTACAAGCGCCATGCTCTACCAATTGAGCTACAGAGGACCACCACTTGTTATGGCAAGCCTAAATAAGTTCAGAAGTAATAATTTGCTTGACAAGTCACGTAATAAGTTGCATGGACTCACTCTGTGTGTAATAAGTGTTTAACATGATTTTTGAAAGGCTACCTCATCTCTGTACCCCACACATACAATTATCTGTAAGGTGCCTCAGTCGAGCAGGGAATTTCACACAGATTCAATCATAGGTTGTCCACTGCCTTACAAAGGGCACGTATTGGTAGATTTTAAAAAAACAGCTGACATTGAATATCCCTTTGAGCATGGTGAAGTTATTAATTACATTTTGGATGGTGTGTCAATACAACCAGTCACTTCCTAATTCAGTTGCCGGAGAGGAAGGAAACTGCTCAGGGATTTCACCATTTCACCATTTCAAATATTGTACAATCCAGATATGAAAATCTCTTAGAGACTTACCCAGAAAGACTCACAGCTGTAATCGCTGCCAAAGGTGATTCTAACATGTATTGACTCAGGTGGTTGAATACTTATCTAATCAAGGTATAGTGTTTTATTTTTCATAAATGTTATACAAATGTTAGAATCTTTCTACCACTTTGACATTAGAGTATTTTGTGTAGATTGTTGACAAAAAATTACAATTAAATCAATTTTATTCCCAATTTGTAACACAACAAAATGTGGAAAAAGTCAAGGTGTGTGAATACTTTCTGAAGGCACTGTATGTTAGATTATTTTTTGACGAAACGTTGGTGGAGTGCCTCAGCGGTGCGTCTCTCCAACAGCACCCTGGGTACTACACGGGGCAGCCTCAGCGCTCACCTAAATAGCCCATATGCCACTGGGTGAGATAAATGTTCATTGTTTTTGGGCCGAATTATGTAAGGTATATGTGTTGTTGGATGTTCGTCTTGGTCTGTTTAGCTCGGGAAATGTTCCAGAACCTCTCTAGGTCTCTCTTACAGGGCCGGCTCGCCCTAGGCCGCTGCTGGGGGTTAGGACAGGACAGGCATCCTATAATTCCTACTACAGACCAAGCTTTGTTTGCCCTGCTGTGCCTGGTTGAACTTTGACACCAAAGATATGTTGTGGTCTTGAATGACCCAGGTAGTCATGGCTGCCTGTCTCTGTTACATTTTCATTTTAGTCATTTAGCAGACGCTCTTATCCAGAGCGACTACAGTTAGTGAATGCATACATTATTTTTTTCCTACCCCCTATGGGAATCGAAACTGAGCTACATCCCTGCCGGCCATTCCCTCCCCTACCGTGGCAGATGCTGGGCCAATTGCGCGCCACCCCATGGGTCTCCCGGTCGCGGCAGAGCCTGGATTCGAACCAGGATCTCTAGTGGCACAGCTAACACTGCGATGCAGTGCCTTAGACCACTGCGCCACTCGGGAGACATGTAGAGGAGGATACACTATAGTCTTTATCACTACTTTCCAGTTGTATCACTTCTTTCTAGTAGCACTTGTCGGAATGCTGTAGCTGTTCAAATCATGGTTCAAAGTAATATGGATGACAGTGTAGACAGTTGTTTATTTTTTGGAGATTTAAGAAGTTTAAAGAATTTGATGTCTTAGTGCAGCTGGGGGTGGGCCATCCAGTGCATTAATACTGTATGTCAGGGCAGGATTTTATCAGATTTCAGTGGCATTTGGTTTGGTCATTTGGTGTTGTTGGTTGTGTCGTCATGGTGCCATGTAGTATGTTGATTTTGGTATTAGGGATGTGACAAATGGACAATTTTGCTTAACGTTTAAACTGCCATTTTCTTTTATTGGTGTTCCGTTAAAACGATAAGAAAAAATTCCACGTCAATTTAAAATGCAGAATAATGGTCGTATTACGTACACTGCTCAAAAAAATAAAGGGAACACTAAAATAACACATCCTAGATCTTAATGAATGAAATAATCTTATTAAATACTTTTTTCTTTACATAGTTGAATGTGCTGACAACAAAATCACACAAAAATGATCAATGGAAATCAAATGTATCAACCCATGGAGGTCTGGATTTGGAGTCAGCCTCAAAATTAAAGTGGAAAACCACACTACAGGCTGATCCAACTTTGATGTAATGTCCTTAAAACAAGTCAAAATGAGGCTCAGTAGTGTGTGTGGCCTCCACGTGCCTGTATGACCTCCCTACAACGCCTGGGCATGCTCCTGATGAGGTGGCGGATGGTCTCCTGAGGGATCTCCTCCCAGACCTGGACTAAAGCATCTGCCAACTCCTGGACAGTCTGTGGTGCAACGTGGCGTTGGTGGATGGAGCGAGACATGATGTCCCAGATGTGCTCAATTGGATTCAGGTCTGGGGAACGGGCGGTCCATAGCATCAATGCCTTCCTCTTGCAGGAACTGCTGACACACTCCAGCCACATGAGGTCTAGCATTGTCTTGCATTAGGAGGAACCCAGGGCTAACCGTACCAGCATATGGTCTCACAAGGGGTCTGAGGATCTCATCTCGGTACCTAATGGCAGTCAGGCTACCTCTGGCGAGCACATGGAGGGCTGTGCGGCCCCCCCAAAGAAATTCCACCCCACACCATGACTGACCCACCGCCAAACCGGTCATGCTGGAGGATGTTGCAGGGAGCAGAACGATCTCCACGGCGTCTCCAGACTCTGTCACGTCTGTCACATGTGCTCAGTGTGAACCTGCATTCATCTGTGAAGAGCACAGGGCGCCAGTGGCGAATTTGCCAATCTTGATGTTCTCTGGCAAATGCCAAACGTCCTGCACGGTGTTGGGCTGTAAGCACAACCCCCACCTGTGGACGTCGGGCCCTCATACCACCCTCATGGAGTCTGTTTCTGACCGTTTGAGCAGACACATGCACATTTGTGGCCTGCTGGAGGTCATTTTGCAGGGCTCTGGCAGTGCTCCTCCTTGCACAAAGGCGGAGGTAGCAGTCCTGCTGCTGGGTTGTTGCCCTCCTACGGCCTCCTCCACGTCTCCTGATGTACTGGCCTGTCTCCTGGTAGCGCCTCCATGCTCTGGACACTACGCTGACAGACACAGCAAACCTTCTTGCCACAGCTCGCATTGATGTGCCATCCTGGATGAGCTGCACTACCTGAGCCACTTGTGTGGGTTGTAGACTCCGTCTCATGCTACCACTAGAGTGAAAGCACCGCCAGCATTCAAAAGTGACCAAAACATCAGCCAGGAAGCATAGGAACTGAGAAGTGGTCTGTTGTCACCACCTGCAAAACCAGTCCTTTATTGGGGGTGTCTTGCTAATTGCCTATAATTTCCACCTGTTGTCTATTCCATTTGCACAACAGCATGTGACATTTATTGTCAATCAGTGTTGCTTCCTAAGTGGACAGTTTGATTTCACAGAAGTGTGATTGACTTGGAGTTACATTGTGTTGTTTAAGTGTTTTGGGGAGTGTATATATGACCCCTAGGGCCGGCAATGAAGTTACACTATATATCCAAAAGTATGTGGACACACCTTCAAATTAGTGGATTCGGCCATTTCAGCAACACGTTGCTGACAAGTGTATAAAATCGAGCACACTGCCATGCAATCTCCATAGACAAACATTGGCAGTAGAATGGCCTTACTGAAGAGCTCAGTGACTTTCAACATGGCACCGTCATAGGATGCCACCTTTCCAACAAGTCAGTTAACCAAATGTATGCCCTGCTAGAGCTGCCCCGGTCAACTGTAAGTGCTGTTATTTTGAAGTGGAAACGTCTAGACGCAACAACGGCTCAGCCGCGAAATGGTAGGCCACACAAGCTCACAGAATGGTACCGCCCAGCTGTTCTCGGTTGCAACACTCACTACCGAGTCCCAAACTGCCTCGGGAAGCAACGTCATTATAATAACTGTTTGTTGGGAGCTTCATGAAATGGGGAAAGAAGTAATGTGGTGTGGGGAATTTAATGCCCACAACACACTTTGTGGGGGAAACGGATGGATGGAAATGGCCAAGTGATGGAAAATCTGGTAGAAATGAAAGATCTGGTGTGCCTGAATGATGGCCGAGGGACCAAGATTGATGTAGCCACAGGGAAAGAGTCTGCCTTGGACCTCACTCTGGTATCTAGTGCGATGGCAGGAATATGTGAGTGGGAGGTATGGGATTTGACAGTAGGGAGTGATCATTACCCCATAGTATGTACAGCAGGCTGGAGGGAGGAGGAGGTGTTAGTGGATGGAGTAGGCAGGTGGGTGTTTGGAAGGGCAAAGTGGGATCAGTTTCAGGAGCTCAGTGAGCAGATGATGGCTCGGGTGGATATGAGAGGGGATGTGGATAGTATGAATAACTGGGTGAGAACAGCGTTAGTGGGGGCAGCTACTGAGGCTATACCTAAGAGTTCAGGGAGGAGGAGGAAAGCAGTCCCATGGTGGACGGAGGAGTGTGGGACAATGGTGAGGAGTAGGAACAGGGCATTTAGAGTACAGAAAAGGACGCATAACTTCCAACATCTGATTCCGTATAAGCAGGCCCAGGCCCTGGTGAGGAGAACTATCCGTCAGGCAAAGAGGTCATGTTGGCATCGGTTCTGTGACACCATTGGAAGGGCGACAAGTGTGGGGGATGATTAAGAGGATGAGTGGGGTCAGAAGGGAGTGGGATTATCCAGTGTTGATGAGTGGGGAGGATGTGGTAGTAGCAGATGAGGAGAAGGCAGAGATGATGGCCAAAGTGTTTGTCCAAGTGCATAGCTCGGCAAATTTGGCAGAGGGGGAGAGAGAGCACGAGAGACGAGCATCCTGGAGTGCTGGATAGGAGGGAGGATGTAAATGATGCGTTGAATGCACCATTTACCATGGCAGAGGTGAAAAGAGCAATAGGAAAGGCTGGGTTAACTTCACCTGGGAAAGATGAGGTGTGCTATGTTATGTTGGCCCATCTTAGTGATGAGGCACTGGATAAGGTATTGGCGTTGTACAACAGAGTGTGGGAGGAGGGGAAACTACCAGGCAGTTGGAAGGAGGCAGTAGTGGTACCAATCCGGAAGCCCGGGAAGGACCCAACGAGGCCAACAAGCTATCGGCCAATAGCTTTAACATCACATGTATGTAAGATTATGGAACGTATGATTACGGAGAGGCTAATTTACTTCCTGGAGAGCAGAGGGCTAGTATCGCCACATCAGAGTGGGTTCAGGAAGGGTAGGGGAACTATGGACCCAGTGCTCTGCTTAGAAGCAGTTCAGGAAGGCTCAGGTGAGCAAGGAGACTGTTGTAGCTGTCTTTTTTGATGTGGAGAAGGCGTATGATATGATGTGGAAGGAGGGATTGTTAATCAAGCTTGATATTATGTTGGTGGAAGAACGTAAAACTGGATTAAGGATTTCCTGTTTGGAAGGTCTATCCAGGTGAGGGTGGGGAAGTCTCTATCAGGCAGATACCTGGTGGGTAACAGTACACCACAGGGGAGCATGATTAGTCCTCTGTTGTTCTCAATCATGATCAATGATGTTTACTCTCAGGTACAGCCGGATATTGGCAGGTCGTTATTTGCAGATGATGGGGCCTTATGGAAGAGGGGAAGAAATGTGCCATACATAGTCAGGAAGGTACAGGAAGCAGTTGATGAGGTAGAGCGGTGGGCATTAATGTGGGGATTCAGGTTCTCTGTAGAGAACTCAGACAGTGTTCTTTTTTTATTTTTATTTTATTTTATTTCACCTTTATTTAACCAGGTAAGCCAGTTGAGAACAAGTTCTCATTTACAACTGCGACCTGGCCAAGATAAAGCAGGAGGAAGGTGGGGGATGAGGTATGCTTGAGGTTATATGGGAGAAACTTGGAGAGGGTGGGGGCCTTCAGGTTCCTTGGGGTATACTTTGACAGTAGACTGATCTGGGCAGAACACATTGAGAGAGGGGTGGGAAAGTGTAAGAAGATGCTAAATGAGATGCGCTGTCTGACGGGAAGGAGTGGGGGGCTGGGCATTCCTCATGGAGGACCATGAATGCTGCATTGATCCGATCTGTAATAGACTATGGCAGTATAGTGTATGGTTCGGCAGCCCGGACCGCATTGCAAAGGCTAGATGTCATACAGGGGCAAGGACTCAGAATATGTAGTGGGGCGTTTCGGACGTCCCCAGTGGCTGCATTACAGGTGGAGATGGGGGATATGCCATTGCAGATTAGGAGACAGCAGCTGGCAATGAATTATTGGGTCAACCTACAGGGACATGGGGTGTCTCATCCTGCGAAAGGGATTTTACAGGCATGCTGGGAACATGAGCGAAGACAGAACACGAGCTTTGGGTGGGTGGGTAATACCCAGGCAAAGGAGATGGGGCTGTATGGAAGGGAGTTTAGTCCAACGGTAGTTATTCCTGTAAATCCACCATGGCTACTCCCGCCTCCAGTAGTTGATCTAGAAGTGTTGGAGAGACTACAGAAAGATAGGGAGGGGGTTGATCCATCTGATTTCTTTAAGAGACGTCTGGATACTGTGTATCAGGATTTTGTGGCCATTTACACAGATGGTTCAAAAGATCTAAGGACAGGACGTACTGGGTCAGCATTTGCAGTGCAGGAATGTGGGGTGGAAGTCAGGAAATTACATCTGGCTGTATCTACGGCGGAGCTGATGGCCATACTGTTGGCCTTGCAGTGGGTGGAGGAAGTTAAGCCAGACAGAGTAGTTATTTGCTCTGATTCATGTGCAGTGTTAATGAGTCTCTAGTCCTTAAGCTCACATAGCAGACAATACCTGCTTTATGAGGTGCTACAAACCCATGGCAGGATTAGACAGATGGGTATACAGATAAGATTTACTTGGGTCCCAGCCCATGTGGGGGTGGAGGGGAACGAGGCAGTTGATGTACTGGCTAAACAAGCACTTAGTAGTGGGGATGTTGATGTTGTAGTTTCAATGAGCAAGGCAGAGGCAAAAAGCCTGATATGGACAGTGATGGTGCAGAGATGGCAGGAGCAGTGGAATAGAGATACTAAGGGCAGGCATTTATTTCAAGTACAGAGGAAAGTCGGCGAGGGTAGGTCGGCAGGAAGCAACAGAAGAGAGGAAGCTATTTTTACAAGATTAAGGGTGGGACACAGCCAGTTGAATAAGACCTTAAATGTGATAGGAAAGCGTCCAACAGGAAAGTGTGATTATTGCCAGGGAACAGAGACCGTGGAGCATGTATTGCTACAGTGTGGGCAGTATCAGATGGAAATGGAGAGGATGAGATCTAGTATGAGGGAGAAGGGGATACAATAAATTAGTTTAAAGAGTATATTGAGTAGAACGTCATTAGATATAGTCTCAAATATTTTGTTATCTTTTTTAAGAGCACCGGGGCAGGCAGGTAGGATTTACTTTATCCCTGTCTCTGGCCTACACTCCAGTAGGTGGCGGTAATGCACCATAACGTTGGATGCCAACTGCCGATAAACCCCACTGAAGAATAATAATTAATGAAATGGGTTTACGTTGCCATGCAGCAGCACACAAGCCTAATTTCACCATGCGCAATGCTAAGCGTCAGCTGGAGTGGTGTAAAGCTCGCCAACATTGGACTCTAGAGCAGTGGAAACGCGTTCTCTGGAGTGATGAATCACACTTCACCATCTGGCAGTCCGACGGACGAATCTGGGTTTGGCAGATGCCAGGAGAACGCTACCTTCCCAAATGCATAGTGCCAACTGTAAAGTTTGGTGGAGGAGGAATAATGGTCTGGAGCTGTTTTTCATGGTTAGGGCTAGGCCCCTTAGTTCCAGTGAAGGAGAATCTTAACGCTACAGCATACAATGACATTCTAGACGATTCTATGCTTCCAACTTTGTGGCAACAGTTTGGGGAAGGCCCTTTCTGTTTCAGCAGAAGGTCCATATAGAAATGGTTTGTCGAGATCGGTGTGGAAGAACTTGACTGGCCTGCACAGAGCCCTGACCTCAACCCCATCAAACACCATTGGGATGAATTGGAACACCGACTGGGTGCCAGGCCTAATCGCCCAACATCAGTGCCCGACCTCACTAATGCTCTTGTGGATGAATGTAAGCAAGTACCCACAGCAGTGTTCCAACATCTAGTGGAAAGCCTTCCCAGAAGAGTGGAGGCTGTTATAGCAGCAAAGGAGGGACCATTTTAATGCCCATGATTTTGGAATGAAATGTTTGACGGGCAGGTGTCCATATACTTTTGGCCATGTGGTGTATGTCTACCGTAACCCTAAACAGACATAGAACGCATCTACAGTAACATGTCGATAGCGACAATTGTTAACTTTTCAGACAAATCAAATAAAGTTACGCATCAGGTCTGTACCTTTTCAGACAGTAGAATTCTGCTCCGGGGTAAAATGTAATGTATTTTTTCCCTGACAACAATACACGTTGCTGATTGATGTGCAGCTATGTTGTTTTTGTATATATATTTTTTAATTGGAAGGTAGCTAGATGTGTTTTATTTCTACAAATTGTCTTGGTAAGTCACGGTATTTAACAAACTTTAAAGTACTTTTCTAGGAGAGAGTGGCCTGCTTGCAGCAGCTCGAGATTATTTGATTGACACTTCTGGTTGCCTAGTGATGGATTTTTGTCAGGTTTCAGAAGCGGCAAACCTTCATTACACACAAGTGAAAATGTCTGTTCATATCACCAGATAAGGTTTCGTGTCGTCATTTTAAAAAATGTAGTGTAGTCTACCCTAATAGACAGACTAACAAACATGCCGTAGCCCGAGTCGCTTTCAAGGGGACACCTTCCATTATGTCTGAAAAACATTATCGATACAGGCTACTGTAATTTAATATGAGGGTAAAACGAAAAGTAGGCTCGCAAGACTGGCCCGAAGACATCGGTTCCATGAATAGGCTAGGATATTCTACACGCAACAGACCGAAGACTGAACACACACTTGCATCATTAGTGAAGAGACAGAGCAGGCAGGCCAGCGTGAGGGAGAGAGAGGCAGAAGCCTGCTCATACAGTGGGGGAAAAAAGTATTTAGTCAGCCACCAATTGTGCAAGTTCTCCTACTTAAAAAGATGAGAGAGGCCTGTAATTTATCATAGGTACACGTCAACTATGACAGACAAAATGAGAAAAAAAGATCCAGAAAATCACATTGTAGGATTTTTTATGAATTTATTTGCAAATTATGGTGGAAAATAAGTATTTGGTCAATAACAAAAGTTTCTCAATACTTTGTTATATACCCTTTGTTGGCAATGACACAGGTCAAACGTTTTCTGTAAGTCTTGCTGGTATTTTGGCCCATTCCTCCATGCAGATCTCCTCTAGAGCAGTGATGTTTTGGGGCTGTCGCTGGGCAACACGGACTTTCAACTCCCTCCAAAGATTTTCTATGGGGTTGAGATCTGGAGACTGGCTAGGCCACTCCAGCACCTTGAAATGCTTCTTACGAAGCCACTCCTTCGTTGCCCGGGCGGTGTGTTTGGGATCATTGTCATGCTGAAAGACCCAGCCACGTTTCATCTTCAATGCCCTTGCTGATGGAAGGAGGTTTTCACTCAAAATCTCACGATACATGGCCCCATTCATTCTTTCCTTTACACAGATCAGTCGTCCTGGTCCCTTTGCAGAAAAACAGCCCCCAAAGCATGATGTTTCCACCCCCATGCTTCACAGTAGGTATGGTGTTCTTTGGATGCAACTCAGCATTCTTTGTCCTCCAAACACGACAAGTTGAGTTTTTACCAAAAAGTTCTATTTTGGTTTCATCTGACCATATGACATTCTCCCAATCCTCTTCTGGATCATCCAAATGCACTCTAGCAAACTTCAGACGGGCCTGGACATGTACTGGCTTAAGCAGGGGGACACGTCTGGCACTGCAGGATTTTAGTCCCTGGCGGCGTAGTGTGTTACTGATGGTAGGCTTTGATACTTTGGTCCCAGCTCTCTGCAGGTCATTCACTAGGTCCCCCCGTGTGGTTCTGGGATTTTTGCTCACCGTTCTTGTGATCATTTTGACCCCACGGGGTGAGATCTTGCGTGGAGCCCCAGATCGAGGGAGATTATCAGTGGTCTTGTATGTCTTCCATTTCCTAATAATTGCTCCCACAGTTGATTTCTTCAAACCAAGCTGCTTACCTATTGCAGATTCAGTCTTCCCAGCCTGGTGCAGGTCTACAATTGTGTTTCTGGTGTCCTTTGACAGCTCTTTGGTCTTGGCCATAGTGGAGTTTGGAGTGTGACTGTTTGAGGTTGTGGACAGGTGTCTTTTATACTGATAACAAGTTCAAACAGGTGCCATTAATACAGGTAACGAGTGGAGGACAGAGGAGCCTCTTAAAGAAGAAGTTACAGGTCTGTGAGAGCCAGAAATCTTGCTTGTTTGTAGGTGACCAAATACTTATTTTCCACCATAATTTGCAAATAAATTAATTAAAAATCCTACAATGTGATTTTCTGGATTTCTTTTTCTCAGTTTGTCTGTCATAGTTGACGTGTACCTATGATGAAAATTACAGACCTCTCTCATCTTTTTAAGTGGGAGAACTTGCACAATTGGTGGCTGACTAAATACTTTTTTTCCCCACTGTATGTTTTGGTAATCTGCATCTCGCAATGTCTTGTTTTGCATACCTTGCAAATTCAAGTAGCCTAAAGCCTCTTCCTCTGTGGTTTTATTTTAATTACACAACTTCCCCAGGCCTTTATATCCTATCGGTTATAACACGGAAAATAATATGTTTTGTGATAATTGAACTGTGATTTTAATTAAGAAAAAACATCGTTTTTCGGTTAGGGATTTTTCTTAACGTTAAGGATCCCAACTTAATTTAAACGTTTACGTTCACTCCCCTATTTGGTATATTGAAATAGCTTGTGAGGTATTGCTCTGAGTGGTTACTGAGGCTCTTATAAATGTGCCCCTCTGTCTCTCTTTCTGTCTGTCTCTTTCTCTATCTCTCTCTGTACATCTCTCTCTTTCCCTCTCTGTATCTCTCAGTCCCTTGCAGCGTTTGAGAGGCATGGAGAGAGTCTTGCCCGCGGTGATTCTCGGCCCGCTGTGAGCCGCCGCCGCCATAACTCCTCGGATGGCTTCTTCAACAACAACCCTCTCAGAGCACCTGCAGGTAGCACACATACACACACGGACTCACCCTACCTGACCCCAACACCCAAATCAAAGTTTATTAGCCACAGATATACAGATGTTAAAGCAGAGTTGACCAGTATGTGTGTGTGTTGGATGTATGTGGTCCAATGTATGTGGTCAGTTCTTAACCTTGATTTTCCTTTCCCCCTCCTCTGGTTGCTAGGTGATGGGTGGCACCATCCCTCTCTCCTGCGGCATGACTCTGTGGACTCAGGCGTGGCTAAGGGAGGGCAGGGGGGCCTGGGCAGCGGTCTCTGGGGGCAAGAGGGACCCCACCATGGGCGCCACCCCATGCGCCCTGTGCGGGATAGGGAGAGTGACAGGAAGCGACCAGGGCCCCACCACCAGCGCAACGGGACCTTCCACCCCCAGAAAGGAGGCTTCCTGCCAGTTGAGGGAGGCCATGAGGACAAGCTGAAGTTTGTGGAGGAGGATTTTGTGGGTGCCCTCTCATCTTTCTCTAGATTGTCTTTGCTTGAATTTAAAACAACTCCAAAGCTTTGGTTTATCAGGCTGTTGCAGAGAATTTTAAAATTGTTAGCGACCTGCTGGGTTATTACTATGTTTAAATTACTTCAGACAACGTTTGTTAAGTTAAGGGTGTTCTTGCTTTTTTCCTCAGCCCTCACTCAACCAATCAGAGAGCAGTGGGAAGCCGGTGGCCCAGCCTCATGCCGTAGGGACTCCTGTAGGAGTTTGGGGTGAGTACGGAGCTCTGCCAGTGACTGGCTTTGAAGGGGAGCATGCCTGATTGATTGATTGATTGGTCGATCCTTCCCCCACAGAGCACCCTCCTAGTGCCAAGCAGACCATGAATAAGATGTTGGTCATCAAGAAGGTTTCCAAGGAAGACCCCAACGCTGCTTTCTCTGCTGGTTTCGCCAACACGACGGTACCCCACCTAACCAACGGCACCAAAACCCCTATCTCCTCATCCAGTGTCTACAAGAGCCTGGTGCCCAAGCCAGCTATCACCCCAACCAAGGTAGGTAAGCCCTAAATATAGTCACCTCCCCAGCCAAGGTAGGACCTCACTACTGCCATCTCCTTAACCAGGACAGGGTATAATCACTAGTCACATCCCCAGCCAAGGTAGGACCTCACTACTGCCATCTCTTCAACCAGGACCGGGTATAATCACTAGTCACATCCTCAGCCAAGGTAGGACCTCACTACTGCCATCTCTTCAACCAAGACCGGGTATAATCACTAGTCACATCCCCAGCCAAGGTAGGACCTCACTACTGCCATCTCCTTAACCAGGACAGGGTATAATCACTAGTCACATCCCCAGCCAAGGTAGGACCTCACTACTGCCATCTCCTTAACCAGGACAGGGTATAATCACTAGTCACATCCTCAGCCAAGGTAGGACCTCACTACTGCCATCTCTTCAACCAAGACCGGGTATAATCACTAGTCACATCCCCAGCCAAGGTAGGACCTCACTACTGCCATCTCCTTAACCAGGACAGGGTATAATCACTAGTCACATCCTCAGCCAAGGTAGGACCTCACTACTGCCATCTCTTCAACCAAGACCGGGTATAATCACTAGTCACATCCCCAGCCAAGGTAGGACCTCACTACTGCCATCTCCTTAACCAGGACAGGGTATAATCACTAGTCACATCCTCAGCCAAGGTAGGACCTCACTACTGCCATCTCCTTAACCAGGACAGGGTATAATCACTAGTCACATCCCCAGCCAAGGTAGGACCTCACTACTGCCATCTCCTTAACCAGGACAGGGTATAATCACTAGTCACATCCCCAGCCAAGGTAGGACCTCACTACTGCCATCTCCTTAACCAGGACAGGGTATAATCACTAGTCACATCCTCAGCCAAGGTAGGACCTCACTACTGCCATCTCTTCAACCAGGACAGGGTATAATCACTAGTCACATCCTCAGCCAAGGTAGGACCTCACTACTGCCATCTCTTCAACCAGGACAGGGTATAATCACTAGTCACATCCTCAGCCAAGGTAGGACCTCACTACTGCCATCTCTTCAACCAGGACAGGGTATAATCACTAGTCACATCCTCAGCCAAGGTAGGACCTCACTACTGCCATCTCCTCAACCAGGACCGGGTATAATCACTAGTCACATCCTCAGCCAAAATAATGAATCACTACTTGACTTTATTTTTTCCCTTTGCAGGCTGGTCCCTGGAAGCCAAGCGGGAGAGAAACCAAAAGCAGTTTTAATTTATCCGGCTGGGACTCCGCCTTCACCAGTCCTGCTGCCTCTGTGACCAAACCTCTTACGCCTGTCACTCCCCCGACCTACGGAACCCCCAAGGAGGTGAGTCTGACCTCTGACAGGGACCAGAGGGCAACTTACGTAAGCCAACAAGAGTGGGAGTCTGAAAACTGCTTTAGCATTCCACCACTGACCCACCCTTGATATGATACAATTTATTTCTGAAGACTTACAATTTATTTCATATGACCCTCTCCCCCCAGCCTCCCTCCAGCATCACCTCTCCCATCGACGTCACCCTTCCTCGTCTGAAGCTGATGCGTCGCAGCACCGACCGGAAGAGTGAGTTCCTGCGAGGCCTGAAGGATGAGAGGAACGGGGATGGGCCCACCTCTACCAGTCCCTCAGACCCTAAGGAGAACAGAGGAGACTTACAGGAGAATATGATCCCTCACACTCTCAGCGACTCAGACACAGATCACCTTTCCAGCTCGCTGGAGGCAGAACACAGGTAAGTTGCACCCACATGTACATACCCTCTCTTCCTTCACACCCCTCAGTGACTCAAACAGTAAGATCTTGAAGCTGAGTGGGGTGTGTTGGGTTGGGGCGCTGTAGAGCGGTTGACCCCTGGGGTCAGGGTGGGGCGACCAAGCTATTTTGTGTGAAAGTAACGAGAGCCCTACATTATTATGAAATGAATTCTATGGAGGCTTTGCTGTTGCTTTATGTATATGCATGTACACTGTACAAAACATTAAGGACACCTTCCTAATATTGAGTTGCACCCCCTTTTGCCCTCAGAACAGCCTCAATTCGTTAGGGCATGGACTACAAGGTGTCGAAAGCGTTCACAGGGATACTGGCCCACGTTGACTCCAATGTTTCCCACAGTTGTGTCAAGTTGGCTGGATGTCCTTTGGGTGGTGGACCATTCTTGATACACACGGGAAACTGTTGAGCATGAAAAACCCAGCAGCGTTGCAGTTCTTGACACACTCAAACTGGTGCGCCTGGCACCTACTACCACACCCCGTTCAAAGGCACTTAAATATTTTGCCTTGCCCATTCACCATCTGAATGGCACACCTACACAATCCATGTCTCAAAGGCTTAAAAATCCTTCTTTAACCTGTTTCCTCGCCTTCATCTACACTATTTGAAGTGGATTTAATACTTAAGAATCTGAGTAACATAATACAAAATCCCCATCAAAATCTGTTAGTTTAAGATAGAGATATCCGGTTTTTTGCATGGGCTGCGTCTCAATCCACCGCATCCACCTATGTCGGCCTTAGGCATCTGCAGTGGAAGGTGGCCGAGCTACAGCTGTGTTTGCCAGACAATGAGTCATCCCGAAAATCAGTTCTCACGAAAACGCATGTAGCGTCCAAATGGTTTCCGTTTTGCTCTACGACCCCCACAAGTGTCACGGGACATGTCGGAAGTCGGTAATGCTGATGTGCCAACTTTTGTCTGTAGCGTCCGAACCGTTTGGGCTTCAAACTAATATGACCCCAATGTGGATGGGGAGACTCATTAACACGATGGTGTTCTCCGTTTTGCTCTACGACTCCCACAAGTCACGGAACTCGTCTGAAGGTAACCCATACAAACAAATGGAAGTATGGAGGTAGTTTTGTGCCAACAAAAATAAGGGGTTAAATATGTGTCCAAAAAAAACCATATTTCCTGAGCTTCATTACATTTTTTTTTTCTTTTTCTCCTAGATATAGGACAGACACTTCAAAGCTTGTTTGACCAGTGTTATGATGAGTTTCTCAGGTATCAAATAATCATTATACCATAAAAACATAATATCAACCAGTGATCTCCTCCTCTTCTGGTAGGTTGCTCAAAGCTATGGGCTGGCAGGAGTACCCAGAGAATGATGACAACTTCTTGCCCATCACTGATGCCGAGCTCCAAGAATTTAAAGCTAAAACTGAGAAGGTAAAAGCTATACATAGTTATTTACCTGTGTATACATGTGTTACTGTGAGCCTGTGCGTGGGTCTCTCTCTATAGCTAGGTTTCCATCCAATTGGCGACAGATTTTCAAGCAAATATTCAAAAATTAGCACCATGTGAAGTTCATCATAACTTATTTTGTCTGCCTATAAACCTTTCATGCTTTTCCATGTCGTGGTGGAAGGCCATAGACTGTGGTAGGCCTACAATGTGACATATCATTGCGGCGTGACTCCCAAGTTTACTTCAAAACGATGGCTATTATATCAATATATGCGCATAAAGGCATTTTCACCTCCATTTCACCATATCCCACCATGTCGAACAAACAAATTGTCGACATTTATGAATTTGGACCGACATTTCCTGTTTCCAATAGCCCTGTCGTGACTTCTTATGTGTCAGGTCTGCATGAAACGTTTGGAAACCTGGTTAGTGTTGTTATTAATCTAGCTGTCTGTTCTAGCTGAAGAGGAACGGGCTGGGCCAGAACGGTGTTCTCCTGAAGCCTCTTCTCAAGGGTGCGCCCCTGCCCCTGCTGTCCTGGAGAAACCCTGTTGAGCCTGAACTAGAAGAGGTCTCAGAGTCCGAGAGCACTAGCAGCAGCCAGACATCAGACGACGCAGACACCTAACATGCAGACACCCCTCCTCTTCTTCTTCCTCACGTCACGCTCCCTCGCTCATTGCACTCGTCTGTTTTACACTTCCTCGTTCACACAAGACTGTTCATTCAGACACTGGGGTGACAGAGAGGTCAGAGGTGAGGCCTGCCTGCCTGAGGGTCTTTCTGCTTGGTTTTCATTCTGTTTTTTCTTTCCTTTCTTTTTCTTTCTTTTGACCCCTGTTTGTTTGGTATTTTACTAGAAGCTAAAATGATTATTGAAAGCAAAACCCATCAGCATTTTTCTTTTGATTTTGTGATGAAAAAAGCTAACCCATGATGACATCAACCAAACCAATAATGATTTTACTTGCAAATGACTTCATCGATCAATACATTCTTTTGAAATATGGCTTTGACACCTGCTGTTGCTTAAACAATTTGTAGCATTTGTGTTGAGATGAAACATTCATTGTGAGCAGTTGATATTGACATTGCAGTCCCCTAAATAACCCTTCTGGATGTATTTAGGTTTGTTTTGTTTTGGTCCATTTAAAGCCGACAAATGGTAATGTCTTTGTCTTATTTGAACAGTGTAAGGCATGCGTTTGCTCATCATTATATTTTCTCCTAAGCAGTAGGAGAACAGTCATTTACAGTCATGGACCACCATTACTTTTATTGCAATACTGATTGAATGTAGCCAGGAAGGGCATAAAGAATAATAAAACAAAGTTTCAAAGTAATGGAAATGCCAATTTACCTAACTTATTCTGGAGAAAAACTAAATTATCCCATTGTAGCTGTTCAAGCTGATTATCTGTTCTTAGTTCACCAACCGCCATCATTTTCAGATGTGCAAAATTCCAAGTTCTGTGGTTGATAGAGTCCCCTGTAGCTCAGTTGGTAGAGCATGGCGCTTGCAACGCCAGGGTTGTGGGTTCGTTTCCCACGGGGGGCCAGTATGAAAAAATTTATGCACTCACTAACTGTAAGTCGCTCTGGATAAGAGCGTCTGCTAAATGACTAAAATGTAAAAATAGAGACTGTAAACTTGCAGCCCCCCAAATATTCCTATTTGTATTAAGATACAACCTGGTTTTCTTTCTTACATAAGGGACTGCTTTTGTAAATTATGCATTTACCAGATTTTGAAATTGCAGCTATTTTCCTGACTGGTAGAATGTTCAGCTGGCTTTACCACAGATTTAAGGCTCTTTGTTGGGTTTTTGTTTTATTTTCTAATTTGGTACAGCTGTAAATCCCACATTGATATATTTTTTTTTGCATATTGTTCTTGCAGCCTTGATATTCAGGGTGGATTGTAAAAATATATATAATACAAATTGTGAGTTTTGAAAAATGTAAGATTATTTTGATAACATTATTTACATATTTTTAAAGATAAGGTATCCTGAATGGGACTGTCTGTATGAGAAATAAACTACTGCATCTTGGAAAAATGTAATTGTAATAAATATTTTGCATCAGTTTGCCAAACATTTGTCTGCTTCTCTATCTAAGAATCAAAAATTATCCACAAGTGATTCGTTTAGTACTAGATTTATCCAGTGACACCTGTAAAATCAATTTGCGTAGTCAAAGATTATAGAGCTGATTTGAGAAGTCTGTGTTGAGGCCCTCCACTCCCCCACAACACAGCCATCAACATGGTGACTGTAACCAACAAACATAGACCTCACCAGAAGCATAACCAATCCTTTATGCACAAGAGTAAGCTAACCTTATACCTATGTTGATTTGGAGAAAGTGGTAAATAGATTAATGATAATAGCTGAGCTCATTTAGGAGTATATTTAATGTTCACTCTTTTGTGATACGTGGTGTGTGCTTTTGTTGTTGCCCAGTGAACTTGGTTAAACAGAGGCAGTGATGGAGAAATTGGGAGAGTTCAGCTGTCCTGCGTGTAGTATGGGATTCCGCTCCCTCCGACTCCTGGAGAAACATAAAGCATTGTTCTGTATCGGGAACAGCATTGGAGATCCCGTGGTGCTAAGACAAGGGCAGCCAGAGCGCACGGGAATCTATCCAGAACCGGCACACACCCCTGATCTTATAAGGGTAAGTGCGTTGGCTCTTATAGTGGCCCTTGTAGTGTGTGTGTGTGTGTCTGTCTGTCTAACATTGATTGTTTCTGACAGCTGAGAGAGCAGAGCAGTATGCCCCTCCAGAACATGCAGGGGAGGACCAGTGCCACAGTATGGAGGGCTGGGAGAGAAGACAACCTACAGGCAGTGGGTCAGAGAGTCTAGCCTTAAGGAACCTCACTGAAGAGGTGCCTACCAACGCTCAATCCCACCCATCTAGACATGCAATACAACATAGTCACCTTGATAGTCCCTTTAATATTACAGAATATTAACATACAGACCTTAGACAAATGTCATGCTTTAAATTACAGTTTCACAAGCTGAGGATGTCGATTGAGGAGAGCATGCCCAACCTGCCTAAATGGCCCACTGAGGCAGAGGGTCTGGAGGTCAAGGTGTTAGGGAGGCAGTGGGGCCACAGGGAGAGACTGAGAAAGATGGCAAAGCAGCACGACTGCCAGCTGGCAGAGATACAGGCCCACAACCCCCTCCTGGAGCAACAGAGAGTGGGTAAGTAAGGGGCCGTAGTGATAGAGAGTTTACACACAAATAAATACTGTAGATTGATCTGATGCTGCTGTTCTCCCATGTAGAACATGAGCTAATATGGAGACAGGTTGACACCATACAACACAGAAAAAAAACAAGACACCGGTATGCAAAGCAAGCAACAGTGTGAGTAATTCAACACACGTTACATTTTCGTCATTTAGCAGACGCTCTTATCCAGAGCGACTTACAGTTAGTGAAAACATATTTTTTATTTTATTTTTATACTGGCCCCCCGTGGGAATCGAACCCACAACCCTGGCGTTGCAAACGCCATGCTCTATCAACTGAGCTACATCCCTGCCGGCCATTCCCTCCCCTACCCTGGACGACGCTGGGCCAATTGTGCGCCACCCATGAGTCTCACGGTCGCGGCCAGTTGCGACAGAGCCTGGATTCGAACCAGGATCTCTAGTGGCACAGTTAGCACTGCGATGCAGTGCCTTAGACCACTGCGCCACTCACGAGACGTTCACTTTGTGTGTGTTGGTCAGAGATAGCGCGGCAGCCTGGGGCCCTGGCAGGGCAGGGCAGGGCAGGGCAGCACGGCCCACCTGGAGACTCTGCTGCTGGAGCTAAGGGATCACGAGGAGCGGAATGAGGAGGTTCTACAGCAGCTCAGACCACATGACCACCCTGCACCCGGGGTGAGTTAGTTATAGCCACTAGAGGGCAGCAGAGGACCCTCTAACAACAGGGCACACAACGGAAAACGAAAATGGGTGTTTCCTGGGGCAGGAGGAAGAGTGAGTGTCAGTCCTGCATGGTCTCTCATTGGGGTATGGAGGTAGTCCCTCCCTGTTTCAGTCCATTTACCTCCTGTTTGGTGGCTAATGACCATGACCCTGATGAGTTATAGATGTCTGTCAGAAAAAGAAAGAAAGATGTTCTTCTGTGCTCTTCATAGGGTCAAAGAGGTCAGGTCTGACTCACACATATGTTTCTAAACACTTTTACATTCATGTGGGTGCTACCATGTTAAGAATAATCCTGAATGAATCGTGAATAATGATTAGTGAGAAAGTTAGACACACAAATATCATATCCCCTCAAAAATGCTAACATTCCCTGTTATTGTAATGGTGAGAGGTTAGATGCTAAGCTACAGGACTGTTTTGCTAGCACGGGATTCTTCCGATAGCATTGAGGAGTACACCACATCAGTCACTGGCTTCATTAATAAGGGCATCGATGACGTCATCCCCACAGTGACCATACGTACAGTTGAAGTCGGAAGTTTACATACACTTAGGTTGGAGTCATTAAAACTCGTTTTTCAACCACTCCACACATTTCTTGTTAACAAACTATAGTTTTGGCAAGTCGGTTAGGACATCTACTTTGTGCATGACACAAGTAATTTGTCAAACAATTGTTTACAAACAGATTATTTCACTTATAATTCACTGTATCACAATTCCAGTGGGTCAGAAGTTTACATACACTAAGTTGACTGTGCCTTTAAACAGCTTGGGAAATACAAGAAAATTATGTCATGGCTTTAGAAGCTTCTGATAGGCTAATTGACATCATTTGAGTCAATTGGAGGTGTACCTGTGGATGTATTTCAAGGCCTACCTTCAAACTCAGTGCCTCTTTGCTTGACATCATGGGAAAATCATAAGAAATCAGCCAAGACCTCAGAAAGAAATTGTAGACCTCCACAAGTCTGGTTCATCCTTGGGAGCAATTTCCAAACGCCTGAAGGTACCACATTCATCTGTACGCAAGTATAAACACCATGGGACCACGCAGCCATCATACCGCTCAGGAAGGAGACGTATTCTGTCTCCTAGAGATGAACGTACTTTGGTGCGAAAAGTACAAATCAATCCCAGAACAACAGCAAACGACCTTGTGAAGATGCTGGAGGAAACAGGTACAAAAGTATCTATATCCACAGTAAGACGAGTCCTACATCGACATAACCTGAAAGGCCGCTCAGCAAGGAAGAAGCCACTGCTCCAAGACCGCCATAAAAAAGCCAGACTACGGTTTGCAACTGCACATGAGGACAAAGATCGTACTTTTTGGAGAAATGTCCTCTGGTCTGATTAAACAAAAATATAACTGTTTGGCCATAATGACCATCGGTAACTTGCAAGCTGAAGAACACCATCCCAACTGTGAAGCACGGGGGTGGCAGCATCATGCTGTGGGGGTGCTTTGCTGCAGGAGGGACTGGTGCACTTCACAAAATAGATGGCATCATGAGGAAGGAAAATTATGTGGATATATTGAAGCAACATCTCAAGACATCAGTCAGGAAGTTAAAGCTTGGTCGCAAATGGGTCTTCCAAATGGACAATGACCCCAAGCATACTTCCAAAGTTGTGGCAAAATGGCTTAAGGACAACAAAGTCAAGGTATTGGAGTGGCCATCTCAAAGCCCTGACCTCAATCCTATAGAACATTTGTGGGCAGAACTGAAAAAGCGTGTGCGAGCAAGGAGGCCTACAAACCTGACTCAGTTACACCAGCTCTGTCAGGAGAAATGGGCCAAAATTAACCCAACTTATTGTGGGAAGCTTGTGGAAGGCTACCCGAAACGTTTGACCCAAGTTAAACAATTTAAAGGCAATGCTACCAAATACTAATTGAGTGTATGTAAACTTCTGACCCACTGGGAATGTGATGAAATAAATAAAAGCTTAAATAAATCATTCTCTCTACTATTATTCTGACATTTCACATTCTTAAAATAGAGTGGTGATTCTAACACATTTTTACTAGGATTAAATGTCAGGAATTGTGAAAAACTGAGTTAAAATCTATTTGGCTAAGGTGTATGTAAACTTCTGACTTCAACTGTACATACCCCAACCAGAAGCCATGGATTACAGGCAACATCCGCACTGAGCTAAAGGGTAGAGCTGCCGCTTTCAAGGAGCGGCACTCTAACCCGGACGCCTATAAGAAATCCCACTATGCCCTCTGACAAACCATTAAACAGGCAAAGAGTCAATACAGGACTAAGATTGAATCGTACTACACCGGCTCCGACGTTTGTCCAATGTGGCAGGGCTTGAAAACTATTACAGACTACAAAGGGAAGCACAGCCGTGAGCTGCCCAGTGACACAAGCCTACCAAACGAGCTAAATCACTTCTATGCTCGCTTCGAGGCAAGCAACACTGAAGCATGCATGAGAGCATCAGCTGTTCCGGATGACTATGTGATCACGCTCTCCGTAGCCGATGTGAGTAAGACTTTTAAGCAGGTCAACATTCACAAGGCCGCAGGGCCAGACGGATTACCAGGACGTGTACTCCAAGTATGTGCTGACTAACTGGCAAGTGTCTTCACTGACATTTTCAACATGTCCCCGACTGAGTCTGTAATACCAACATGTTTCAAGCAGACCACCATAGTCCCTGTGCCCAAGGACACTAAGATAACCTGCCTAAATGACTACCGACCCGTAGCACTCACGTCTGTAGCCATGAAGTGCTTTGAAAGACTGGTCATGGCTCACATCAACACCATTCTCCCAGAAACCCTAGACCCACTCCAATTTGCATACCGCCCCAACAGATCCACAGATGATGCAATCTCTATTGCACTCCACACTGCCCTTTCCCACCTGGACAAGAGGAACACCTACGTCAGAATGCTATTCATTGACTACAGCTCAGCGTTCAACACCATAGTGCCCTCATAGCTCATTACTAAGCTAAGGACCCTGGGACTAAACACCTCCCTCTGCAACTGGATCCTGGACTTCCTGACGGGCCGCCCCCAGGTGGTAAGGGTAGGTAACAACACATCTGCCACGCTGATCCTCAATACGGGGGCCCCTCAGTGGTGCGTGCTCTGTCCCCTCCTGTCCTCCCTGTTCACCCATGACTGCATGGCCAGGCACGACTCCAATACCATAATTAAGTTTGCAGACGACACAACAGTGGTAGGCTTGATCACCGACAACGATGAGACAGCCTATAGGGAGGAGGTCAGAGACCTGGCCGTGTGGTGCCAGGATAACAACCTCTCCCTCAACGTGATCAAGACAAAGGAGATGATTGTGGACTACAGGAAAAAAAAGAGGACTGAGCACGCCCCCATTCTCATCGACGGGGCTGTAGTGGAACAGGTTGAGAGCTTCAAGTTCCTTGGTGTACAGGAGACTGAAAATATTTGGCATGGGTCCTCAGATCCTCAAAAAGTTCTACAGTTGCACCATCGAGAGCATCCTGACTGGTTGCATCACCGCCTGGTATGGCAACTGCTCGGCCTCCGACCGCAAGGCACTACAGAGGGTAGTGCGTACGGCCCAGTACATCACTGAGACCAAGCTTCCTGCCATCCAGGACCTCAATACCAGGCGGTGTCAGAGGAAGGCCCTAAAAATTGTCAAAGACTTCAGCCACCCTAGTCATACACTGTTCTCTCTGCTACCGCACGGCAGACCACCAAGTCTAGGTCCAAAAGGCTTCTTAACAGGTTCTACATGTACATATTACCTCGACTAACCGGTGCCCCCGCACATTGACTCTGTACCGGTACCCCCTGTATATAGCCTCCCTACTGTTATTTTATTTTACTGCTGCTATTTTTATTTTTTACTTATCTATTTTTTACTTTACTCTAGAATCATTGCAATTTGATAGGATTCTATGTTCCCCTGATCCACTAGCAGTGGGGTCTGAGCTCCATAAGATCCAGAGAGAACACACCCACCACATGGCCAGCATCCAGGCTGAGATCGAGAGCCTTCACAGGGAGGTAGAGAGGGTCAGAGAAGCCCCCAGGAACCGGAGGCTGCTCCCACCCCCTCCACCTCCACCTTAACCCCTGTTCCCTGCCCCGCCAGCCATGCATCATCCCTTGGCCCAGATGCATGCTCCTCCAGCCCTGGTAAAGCTGTGACATCAATATTGCTTTCATCTATCCAGTTCTCTCTGATCAGTGAAAATGATGTGAACAAAAGAAGACATTAGACCCATATAGTATATCCACCCTATGTTCCTGTTACAGACCCAGCCCAGGCCCCATTCCTCTCCCTATGACCCTGCGTGAGTCCATTATGACATCTATGTTGTCTTTAAGGCAATTTGAGTTTATATATTAGTATTAACCCTACCTTTACTTACAATTATTAGAAACAATTTTGTTACCTCTAACACATTTTTCTAACTCTAACTCTCTACAGGTGTACAGGTATGAAATACCTCTAAACTACTCTAAACCCTGTTGGTTTCTAATGCTGGTTTCGTGGTCTTCTATGACCTGGTGCTGGGGTTAGATGCCATGCTGAGGGTTCTGCGTCTAGCGTCTGGTCTCTACTCTGGGGGCCAGGAGGTGGGGCGGCCTACCCCACTGCTCCCTGTGCAGTGCCAGCCTGGAGGGGCTTCTCCTTACTCCCACACTGTGCCCCTCAGGAACTATGCCCCACTGGCAGTCAAACAGCCTATGCCCAGGCACCCTGAGAAGAAAAAGTAACTGTGAAACTCAACCATAGCATGATGGCTGGAGTACATCAGTGACATCACACCTTCCCTGAGATCAAAAGGCAATTGTTACTCACAGAGTGACAGACTTGTCTCTTGCTCTGTTAGCTCAGGTTGACTTTGAGTTGTGTGTATTGTTCAGAAGGTTGCTGGTTTCGCCGTTCGTGTCCACTCGGGGTGGAGCAAAATGCACTCTGTTACATTTGTCTAAGACAAAACTCTCTCCCTTCAGGATGCAGCCGTCTCCCTCCCTGTCTCTGGTGGTTGAGCTCCAGGCTGCTGGGGGTCTGGACGCCTATGGTCAGGAGGTCCAGAGGCTGGTGTCCCAGGGCTGGGCACGGCTGGAGTTCTTCGACCAGCACAACCAGTTCCAGAGCGGGTAATGGAGGGTTCCAGTACGTGCCCTCCCCGTCAAACCCTCCCTCAGCCCAGGCCAGCTCAACTCAGTCCCTCAGGTGAGGGAAGACACCTGTCTGGCTGACTGCTAGTGGTTAGAATTAAGTTGGATTGGAATATCCATTATATGTAATGATGGCTTAAAATGACAAAGAATGATGACATGGGATACATATAAAAAAAAATCCAACAAATGCAATGCTGTTATGTGTTAGGAAGTTATGAGTTGTGAAACCCATGTGAAATAACGTGACACACATGATGAAACACACATGAAGGGGTCAAAGTCTAAGATGTGTATCTGTTTGTCTCCTCTAGATGGGCAACATGGAGCTGTGTTACGGGTGGTCAATGCTTGGGACGGGGACGTTCAGTCCCTCGCTAAGATTGACCCTAGCAACACCAGCCAGTATAAGTACCCCTCCATGGTGCGGTTCATGATACTGCCAAATACTCTACCTTCTCTGACCGCATCATTGTACTGTTTCAACCTGACTGTTAGCCAGTAGAGTGTGGTAACCTTCCAAAAATGGGTCTGAACTATAGTACTTAGTTATTTGCTCAGGAGGACTGGGGTAGGAATCACTGCTGTAGATGCTGACCTGGGGTGTTCAGTCCATCATAAAGCTTCAGAGTTTCTTCTGTTGATAGCAGTTCTTCTGTCATTCCAGGTTTCAAATCTCCCTGCAACTCTTCAAGGAAACACACCCCTTACCATGCCAGCAGCCAGTTACTTTCTCTCTCTCCTTCCCTACACTGATCACAAGGACCATCCCCCCGTGAACACAATCAGAGGTGAAAAAGAGAGATGTTGTGGGATGGAATCTCTTCCTCACCTCTGATGATGATGATGACTTTGATGATTGCAGTATTTGGTAATCAGTAAAGGAATACTAATTCAGACCATAGAGTTGTGTGACTTCATTTGACCTCTTCCATTGATTGTTGTAAGTCAAATAAAATGTTCTTGGTTGCATACACATATTTAGCAATGTTATTGTGGGTGTAGCGAAATGCTTGTGTTCCTTGCTCCAACAGTGCAGTAGTATCTAACAATTCACAACAATACACACAAATCTAAAAGTAAAATAATGGAATTAAGAAATATATAAATATTAGGACGAGCAATGTCGGCGTGGCATTGACTAGAATAAAGTAGATATATACATATGAAATGAGTAAAACAGTATGTAAACATTATTAAAGTTACCAGTGATTCCATGTCTATGTACATAGGGCAGTAGTTGTCTGGAAGTCTTGTTCATTTTACAAATAAATACATTTTTCATTGTTTGTTTTCTATTATGGTAATGATGAAGACAGTTAACATAGCTCAAGTACAGGTAGTATCTAATTTAGCTCTAATCTCTAATACATTTTCACAACACACACATTTCCAGTGAGATCGATCCCTTGCTTCTTGGAGGAAGAGGAGGTAGAGAAGTGTTGGGTGTCATTGTGGACAGGGTGAGGGGGGCACCTCAGGGAGAGGGAAGCCTTCGACTGAAGGGATACAGCCAAAGGACTGGAAAGGTGAGCCAAGGCCCGGGGAATTATGTGTGTTAAATGCTGGAGTTTGTAGTGGTGTGGGATTATTAATCTCTATGTAAGTATTTGTCTCTATCAATCTTCTGGTCAGACAGTGTATGTCTATCTGTGAGGCAGGTTTGAGAGCCTCATCAGACTTTATTTCCCCTAATTGTTGCCTCTCACAGGTGCTAATGTGTGGGGACTCAGGATTACACTGCTTCACTTCCACAGCATGCTACTCCATAATATATGGCGACTTCATCTTTGGGGAATCCCTTTGAGCCATACGGTGATGATGCTGTGGCCAGACTGCAAATCTACAGTGGAGATTAGGCACAACCACTCTTACCCCTCTAAGGACTGCTTCCAGGTCAGCCTTCTCCACCTGGTGTTCCTTTGATTTTATTGATCAATCAATCAATTATTACACTATGTCTGGTAGACCATCTTTGGGCCTCTGTATCAGTTATGCGTTACTGTTTTGTGACAGGTGTCTGTGGATGGAGCCTTGGACCTGCCAGGGTCAGGCTATACCCTAGGTCTCTGGTCCCTCAGCCCCCCTGGAGCATTCTTCCACGGGTCCCGCTGGGTGGCCCAAGGTCCCCCAACACCCATCCTCCACCCGGACCCCAGCAGCAGCCTGACTGCACCCCAATGGACAGACAGATTCAAGGTAGCCAGACTCATCTTTCTGGTGGGCTACTAATCGCAGTCCTACTAGGGTTAGGCTCTGGTCACATCCTTGAACTGCACTTTGTAATGACCATATCACATCTGAGGACTGGGTGAGAAGGGTACAATACAACTTTTTACTGTCCATATGTTACAGAGAACAACTTCTACTCAATTCAACCCTGTCAAACATAAGTGAGTTATTCAATTATACTAACCAATTGTACTGAGACTAAGAAAAGACAACCTATATTCTGAAAGCCCCCACAGCACTCAATCTGCTCCTATGAATGAACCTGTAGGGCTACCACCCGGTACTCTATCCTGCACCGGAGACTGCTGCCCTATGTACATAGTCATTGGACACTGGTCACTTTAATGTTTACATACTGTTTTACCCACTTTATACAGTGCTTTTGGAAAGGATTCAGACCCATTGGCTTTTTACACATTTTGTTACGTTACAGCCTTATTCTAAAATTGATTAAATTAAACATTTTCCTCATCAATCTACCCACAATACCCCATAATGACAAAGCAAAAACAGGTTTAGACATTTTTGCAAAAAAACTGAAATACCTTATTTACATAAGTATTCAGACCCTTTGCTATGAGACTCGAAATTGAGCTTAGGTGCATCCTGTTTCTATTGATCATCCTTGAGATGTTTCTACAACTTGATTGGAGTCCACCTGTGGTAAATTCAATTTATTGGACATGATTTGGAAAGGCACACACACCTGTCTATATAAGGTCCCGCAGTTTACAGTGCATGTCAGAGCAAAAACCAAGCCATGAAGTCGAAGGAATTGTCTGTAGAGCTCAGAGACAGGATTGTGTCAAGGCACAGATCTGGGGAAGCGTACCAAAAAATGTCTGGGAATGGTAGGGAGCTTCCGGTAGAGGGCAGGTATACAAGATGGCGTATTGAATACACAGCGGTACAAATCACCTCAAGATAAAAACATGATATTCAATATTTAGACTAAATATTAACATTTCATATATTCGAGGGTAATAACATTCAATCTGGATAATAACACAAAACAAATTATAAGGCTAGAGAAATGTATCGACAAATATTACAACAACACGCAACACCCAAACATGCTGGAAGATAAACGAGGAGAATCAATCTCCAATAGAAAACGCGACTCCTCGACTGATACAGATGATTTATGCTTTTCACCACTGGGACTGGTATGTGTGGAAAGCGACCTGTTGAAGTCGATAAATGACAAACTGGGCATACTAGAGTTGGTCAGTAATGATGTAAAAGAGTTGAAGGTGAGTCTTGAAATGAGTGACTGAAAAGCTGGGATAATGGAGAACGATACAAAAAAACTAAAAGGGACAGTCACTAGGATGGAAACGGACGTTAAGGAACTTAAAAAGGAGAACAACTTTCTGTGAGAAGCATTACTAGACATAGAAACTAGATCGATGAGAGAAAATCTAGTACTTACGGGTATCCAGGAAAAAGAGGGAGAGATTACAGAAAAACATGTGAAGGACTTCTTTCTTACAGCGCTTCAAATTCCACTCAAGGCTGTCGACAAAATCCAACTTGAACGTGTACACCGTTTCGGACAAAGAGGACAGAGATATGAGCGTCCAATCATTGCCAAATTTTCTTTTTTTAAGGATAAAGTAATGGTTAAAGACTTGCTGGCACGAAAATAGGCATGAATGATCAGTTCCCGATGGAGATTGCAGAACAGCGCAAAGTTCTGTACCCAATCTTCAAGGAAAATAGATTAAAAGGGAAGTGTGTTGCTCTTGTTGTCGATAAACTGTATATTGACAACCAAATGTTCCGCGACACAAAGACTACTCCATGGCTATTCTGAAAGTTCTAATAGAGGAGTCGAATAATAGAACACCCAATACTAGCCATGGTAGGGATTGTAATAATAAAGCACATTTATAGTAGGTATAGTATTTTATAAAGGGATAAAACGGTCTTACAAGAAAAGATAACAAGCAAAATAATTCATCTTCAAATACAACTAAATTAGAACACATGTACTTGTGGGGATCTATTTTCTTATAACTAGATGTGATGCCTAGCTTAGAAAGAATACATTAATGATTAAACATAATAGGTTTGTGCTGTACTGATATAGACTGTTTAACATAACAAGCTGTGATTAATGTGGGGAACTATTAGGGGGTAGGCTGAGATAAGGCTTGTGTCTCACTTACACAAACACAGCCTCTTTATTAGAACGCTCAAGGACATGTGTTCTGCTACAAAGATGTCTGAGGTTGCTGACTCTCTGGACAAGTTGTGGAGAAAACAACTAAACACCTGGCAACAGTGAAGCGCCAAGGGGCTGGGACCAGCCTGTGCGCCAACGATAGGCTGAGTAAGTCTAAACCACACTCAGTCTCTACTCTGATAGGCCAACAGGGAGCGGGAACTATCTCTGTCAGAGTATTTAAAGAAGAACTTATAACAATGGACCAGTTCTCTGAGTGCCCTGTGTGGTATTTCAGTGGACCCGTATATACAAACATCATATTTACCATTGAAGTGTTTTGCATTAATTAAAATACTAGTCTATTTTAGAAGACGTGTATTGACCTCTTTTTGTTCCAATACCAGATTTGAATTGACACAACTTATCATACTCAATCAACATAGTTGAGATAATAACATAGCAAACAGAAGACATAGAAGGCACAGTATTTGGGTATGTGTGGATGAATTGTGATGGAAGGTGTGGTGTGCGTTTTTGTGTTTGAATAAGTGTGGCGTTGAGTGAGAAAGGAAATGGTTGCA